ATTTTATGGTTTATCTGTACTGTACTGAGAAACAGTAATAGTAAGTAGCGCCAAGGTGGAACCTTTGGCAGGGGAGGCGGTGACGCCGGGGTTATTTAGGGGGGACACTTCCGCCCCATCCAGTCCTCAGAAGCAATCCAGATATGCGCATATTTTTAACACATTTCAGGAACCAAAATCTGAATTTTGGATAAAGCCAGGTTCAAAATTCTTGTTTATTTTCGTAGTCATATTAGTATCTAAGGCTTTTACAGAAGGGATATTGGATATCTCTTTTTATCACTCCATAAATCAGAAAATACTGTCATACGCCCTAAAATATAAATTTTCGCCATGTTTTTAGGTATACAATGTTGTATAATTCAGGCTATGAATGATATATGAACAAACCCTTCATTAAAAGCCTTCATAATATTGATAGGAATATAACTGGAAGGTTTGGTGTATCTACGTGCTACTGAAGTGGACATTTCGAACTCAGAGTAGGAGAAAAAACTCATTTTGAGAAAACAACCTTTTAAAGATTGCAGTGAGGCGCTAGCTAAACCCTCCTGTTCTTTGGATGACAGCTTGCGCATCGACGCACTCCGTGAAGGTATTTTATGTTCCGGGTCATTTGTTTTTTGTATAATCTTGCTTCGTGCAAGTGACAATTGTTGTCGCCGTTCTTTTGCCGTTTTTGAGATTTAAATGTCTAGCGGAAAGCTAACCAGGAGTGTTTTAGCACACCACGTGACGCATCTGAACGAATCACGTTGTCAGAAGTTGACACCAGCCAATGAGATTTCGTTTTCTTGGTTTAAGACCCTTTTGTACTTTCACGATTGGTTGCTGATACAAAGGAATGACCATATTTGGATCCGATGAGATTGTGCAGGAGAGACGGAGCTTTCCAACGATACTTCTGATGACATGGTACAAACAACGGTCGCGGGTACTTTATGTTACGTTAGAATGCTAACTTTGGTGAATTTAGGAGAAATCTACAGACGCAAATAGACAAACTATAGTAAAATAAACACTTAAATGTGTATTTTGTACGTTTTCCTTCCAAAAGCCTGAAAGAAAACATGTTATGGAATCAAAATAGCACAACATCTCAACATTTACCAGTGCATGAAAAACGATGTTTTTGCCTGCCGCTGACAGCCGGGCACCGCGGTTTTTCTTTTTTTTAAAAAAGCGGCCCCCCTCCCACTTTTGGCAGCACCCCCTGAGCAAAATGACTTCCCGCGGCTATGTGTTATAAAGAGAGTAGCGAGTGACGCAATGTATAGTTTTAATTTGTACGTCACACCAGGTGTAGGACTCAAAGGACTCGGGTTAATGGAGAGGGGAGAATCGTCACGACCAGCTCATTTCTAGGATCCGGGTTAATGATCCGGATGAATCAGGACTCGCCCATCTCTACTCAGAAGCAATCCAGACGATCAATCGGATCCTGTGTCTAATTCTTGCTGCTGCATTTTTCTGTTTTCTACAGGTCAGTACATGATAAAAAATGATCGATGTTAACTTGTGTAAATGAGATATAATGTTAAAGATGTTTAAGAGAGTGTGTCAGAAAGTTTTGAGCATGTCAGTTTGACATAGTAACGGTATTTTAAAAATACTAAACTGTCGGCAACGATGCCATTTTCGCGGGCTTCAGCCGCACCATGTGTAAAGGTGACCTGAGCGAAGGCTCGCAGGCAGGTTAGCTGCTGCGCACGGATAATCTGTTTTGTTCACCTGAGCGAAGTCTTGCAGGCACATTGCCTTGTTTTTTGTTTATTAACACTGACAGTGTATTTATGTGAGCTCCATAATGTTATATTTGGTAAAGATAGATATATTGATAGAAAGTATTATTTGATAGCGTGATGTGTTTATATTGTTTATTGTTGAATTTCTCCTTGAGATACAGTAATTGACTGTGACAGACGGATAACTTCAATGGAGAAATGTGATATGTTTGTAAAGTACAGCTATTTGAATGTAACTATGTGTACTTTGAATGTTGAGAGAAGCAATCCAGACGATCAATCGGATCCTGTGTCTAATTCTTGCTGCTGCACTTTTCTGTTTTCTACAGATATCATTTATTGTTGCTGTGCTACCAAAGCTTTTGGGACCCGTAACATATGCAACACTTTAAAACATGATTCAAAGATACGGCAGGTCTGGTGTTTCTGTTTAATTGACACAGGGGCACTTATAAGTGGGATCCAATTTTTCAGTTTTAAAAATATGTTTTCTTCCAGATTTAATATCCGCAAGCATCTTACATTAATGCTGATGTAAGTAGAACTGTAACACAAAAAGTATTGTTTGCATTAACTAGAGCTCAGATTATGCTTCAAAATGTATAGTAAAAAGTGACAAGAGATGGACAAAAAGAAAACAAGGTAGATTCATTGATTAATTAAAGTAATTCATTAAATAAATAACTCGGTTTTTTTCTCACAAATTAATCAAACACTGATAACTAACTGTTTTATATTAAAAACTGAAGATAATAAGGCACCTTTGGAAATATGTTTTCCAATACACTATTTTTAAGAACTTTTTTCTCTGTTTTGGAATGATTGTGGTTTTTATACTCAGCTAAATATTGACAATTAATAACAAGATTACATTTGCTGCAATGTGACAGAACTTACTCCACAGACATGATGACAGAGTCCAGGTCTTCCGCCATTTTACGACAAAGATGGTCATATGATCGCATCCCTGTGAGGCAGATAAGTGATATCATGTCAACAATACTCTAATTATTACATGTCCCACTGGCTTTCCACAGTGATACATGTTAACCCAAAAAGTTGAAATGTTCATTGTCAATCTTCCTTTTTCTTTGGGCATCTTTCCAACTTTTTAACACTCACTTCCACTGCAAAGCGCCCATCCTCCACCGTGGAAATATATGACTCCTCTCTTCAGCTGCTTGCCTCCCTTGGGCTGGAAGACTCGGGTCGGCACGCCGCCCAGCACGGTGTCCGTCACGTGGACCGCGGGGCAGGAGCGAGCCTCAATCTCCTCCACCCAGGACACCACGTGGTTCAACAGGTGGATCCGATGGCACACACCCAGAGCGTGGGCCACGTCACTCTGAAAATACAAACACACATGGCAGTTATTTCAAGGATTTTCTATACCGGAGAGAACAATGTTTTCATTCCTGGGTAAAGAAAAGACACTGAAATCAAAATTGTATTGGTAGAACATTTCTGGTGACAACGTAACTTCCATACATGTTTTATCCTTAAGCGTATAACTTAGTATTTATTCATTAATTTAAATGTAAATCAGGTGTGATCTCTCTCTGAGTCTGGAGCCCCTCCCTGCCGTTACAAAGCTTGACAGGCTGGATGGAAAGAATGTGCAGGGTGTGAAAACCGCCCTGCACTTTGAACTAGAGTAGAAACTTGTTGCCTCACAATGCTGCATAAGATTATAGGATTTGGATGTTTAAGGACAGTTAGCTGAATACTACCGTACCATTTTTTATGTTATACAACATTTCTATTAATAAATGTTGTGCTGCCGTCACCTCTCCATGTTAATGTTTATGTACTGTCACATTCATCTCTCCTCACTTCTAAATAGATATATGGATTAGATATGGATTAAAAGTTGGGAAATGATTGTTACAGCAGCAGTGTGTTCAGGCATTACACTATTTGAAAGGTATAATAAATGATAGACATAATAAAATACAGCAAAAACACATCTACAGTAGAAAATACATATATCACAAATAATACACAATATAAAATATTCCGGATAATTGAAAATGTTCTATACAAGAAAAAAAAAAAGCAGCAAGAGAAATATAGATTTATACTACAAGGGCAGACATAAACCCAGGATAGTATACCAATTCAAGATGTGCATGGTGGCTGTTGTGGATACTGTGTTTTCTTGTAATTCCATAACCCTGACGGCTCGCTGTTCCCCTCTCAACAACCTGTTTAGTGTAAATTATCCTCCGGCTCTCACACCGCCTGCATGAAGCTCCGGAACAGCGCGTCCAGCAGCATCAGCTTCCACGGCTCGCTCACCCCGCTCGGTAGCGGCAGGTAGACATAGTAAGCGGCCGCCGACAGCAGCACGGCACCGGCCAAACGGAGCCTCATCGCGGCGTTAGTTTACCTGTCTAAAGCCCACCGTTCTCCACACGGATTACACTTTACCGGCTGCAGGCGATCGGTGTCTCCGCAAGGGATTGACAACATACGGAGGAATGACCCCGATTACAAAATAAAAGCTGATTTAAAGATTTGGAGTCAATCTCATAGCGGCAACTGCAAACAGAATAGGGACATTCTCTTATTTTGAAAATTGTTTCCAGGAAGTAGATTATGCATTAGGTAATGTGGTTGCTGATGGGAAATGTAGTTTATTTTATTAATGAAAACATATTATGTATAGAAAAGACACCTTTGATTTATATATATATATAAATGCTTAAATTATATTTATTATGATACATTTAGATACATTATATATTCTCAAGTTATAATTGGTTATGTTTATCGTTCCTTGGTCTAATTCATCAAATATTCATCAAATATATATTATATTAAATTGGAAGTTTTAAGAGCCATATAACAAACAGATATATGTGTCTGTTTTATAATGCCTGTGATTTATCCTGTATATTTTTAAGTCATGATATTAAGTGTGGCTGAAATAACATAATAATGACAAGGTATACGTTTACAAAAAGTATATTGTGCTGTTGTACTTTCAGGAGAGGATACCAAACGTTTTGCAACAACCTTTTTAAACATACGGAAAGAGTGACATGCAAATGGCCTCTGAATAGTTCCCATAATGCAGTGGACCTCAGCCAATTAGACACACCTGCCTTTAATGACTCATATGTCCAGCTAATCAACAAGGAAAGATGGGTGAGCTTAAAAAGGGCTCCTGAGTTTCTGCAGTCACTTCTTCTTTTCTGACTGGTTCAGTTGAGTGTTTGGTGTTCAGACAAAGTGACTCTGCTAGCTGTCGCTATGGGGTTCCGCCTCAGGTGAGTTTTACAAAATGTTTGTGTAATTATTTAAATTGTGAAACTCATTATTTCTTACAGTATATGATAGTAACTTGGATTTTCTTGTCTAGATGGTTGCTGATGTCCTTGCTAGCTGTTGGGGAAATCAAGCAAATTGTAAGTTTAGTCACGTTGTGAAGCTGCTTGGTTTTTTCTGCATGGGCTAAAAAACGTTTGTTCTGCAGTTCGCGTTATTAGATCTACTGAGGAGTATGGAGATGATGTGCCAGTTGCAGGCTATCGCCCAGACTCAAGTAGCTTCAACATTGGAGACTGGTCTTCATCTAGCACTTGGCCGCACGGTGTTGCTTCAACCTCAAATGCATACAAGGTGAGCAGCTACAACATGCCACACATTACCAATTACCATCTAAAAATGTATTTCAGCAACTTATCTTCCAATCTTTGCCTGGAATCCTAAATTCATCCTTGTACTATACATGTTACACCTTTCATTTTACGCATTTTTAACTTTTCATTTCTGTTGCTGCTGAGACACCTGAGTTTCCCTGTGGGTATCAATAAAGATAAGATAGAGCTTTATTGTCTCCCTTAGGAGAAATATGTCTTGGGCATCGAGATGATACACATAAAACATTCAGGTCAATCAGTCATAGATACAGAACAGAGATCACATATCACATGGCAAAGAAACATACAGGTACAGCACTTTCCCTATTGCACATATCCCTATTGCACATACATAATCAAATGGCACTTTCCCTATTGTATTTATACATAAATCAAATATTGCACCTTCCCTACTGTATTCATACACAAATCAATATTGCACTTTCCCTATTGCACCTATGCATAGTGTCCGTCAAATTGCACATGTCCATATCTATTTACACATAATGCACTTCCCCTATTTAACCTTCTCGATTGCACAAACTACACTGTAAACATTGCACCTCCCAACAACTCCTAACACAGCATAATCACAATTGTTTCTGACTGTTCAGCAGCTTGATTGACAGCGGAACAAAGGAAAACTTATACTTATTCAATTTACAGCTTGGTAATCTATACCTTCTGCCCTCCGAGGGCAGCAACTCAAACTCTCTACAGGATGTGTTTGGGGTCGCATGTGATTTTACGGCCTTGCTTTCTCACCATCTCCTGAAGAGAGGATGGTGGAAGCACGCCAATTATTTTTCCAGCCCTTTTTATCAAGCTCTGGAGTTGTGATTTAGATTTAGCTGACAAGTTACCAAACCGTGTTGTGATGCCATAACGAATAATAGACTCAATTGCTGCCCTGTAGAACATTAACATGATGCATGTATCCACTCCATGAACCTGAGCCTACGCAGAAAAATGCAGGTGCTGGCTTATCTTTGAGCATACCTGATCCACCTGATGGGCCCAGCCTAACTGAGCATCAAAATAAATCCCCAAATATTTAAAATGTGTGACCTGCTCAACTCCCTCCCTGTTGATAAGGACTGGGCTGTGATCACCTACTGACTTGGGGTCAAAGATCATTTCCTTTGTTTTTTTAACATTTAACACCAGGTTGTGCGCCTCACACCACTTCACGACCTCTTCAATCTCAAGTTTATAAATAGAAATGTCTGAGTCTCTAGTCAGTAGACTAAGTATGGCTGTCATCAGAAAACTTTATAATGTGGTTGTGTGTGTGCTGACTCCTACACTCATTTGTGTGAAGAGGAGAGCTAATGCAGCCTTGTGGTGCTTATGACCTGTGTGTCAGAGAGGGTCGCGTTTACTTTCACCTGCTGCTGTCTTTCAGTTAGGAAGGAGTGATACCATCTGATTAAGTAAGGGTTCACATCCATCTGTTTGAGCTTTTTTAACATAATTTGGGGAAGAATAGTATTAAAAGCTGGGCAAAAGTCCATGAACATTAATCTAGCTTAAACTGAAGGATTTTTTCAGGGTGTTTTAGAATAAAGTGAGTTGTAGAGGTCAGAGCATCATCTGTACCTCTACCATCGCTGTACGCAAACTGGTAGGCGTCCAAGAGGTGTTGCCCCTCAATTCGCAAGTTCCCTACAATAATCCGTTCTAGTGACTTCATAACTATTGAGGTCAAAGCCACTGGTCTGAAGTCGTTGTCATGTGGGCATGGTTTTTTTTGCAACTGGTATGATGACAGCTTTCTTCCATATTTGAGGGATGCTTCCCGAGTCAGCTGGAGTAATGGACTCCAGGTAGGGGTGAGCTCAGCTGCAACGTTTTCAGCAGAGTGCCGAAATACCGTTCTGGCCCACTGGCCTTCTTAGGCCCCGGCCACACGAGGACGAAAATGGTCGTTTGCGTTACTGTTACTGTCATATAGACCATTCGGCCACACGAGGACGACCAATACGGCACTAAACGACTGCGGGAAACGATAACGGGTCCCAAGATGGATTAGAACGGCATACGCAACGCTCTGGGGGGTCAAACGGCTCTGTATGTACGCCCTATACGATCATTTTCTGATAATGATGAGGCAATAGCCCCCGACTCTCCCCACCTCTGCTGCTCACCCCGCGTCAAAGTAAACTGCACACTGAATTCAGATTATTTATCTTTCTCTCGATATGGACATAAACGCGAGTGAAGTCTAATCTGACAGGACGGAGGGACACCTCTCAAATACCTAAACTAGTTATAAATATGTTTATTTTTACTGTCGGCCGGGTCACTCATTACTGGATCAGCTGCTGCATGAAACAGATACTGACGCTGTCCGAAGAGAGGGAGGAAAAAGAGAGGCTCCGTGTATTTTTATTATTATATTATATAGATTCGTTATTCATTTGTTTTAAAGCTCAATAAATAACAAAGACCTTTGACCGGCACTTTTATAATTTTGTCCGGAAGATTTAAACTTTAATTCACGTTGATTGGCGAAAAACTCTGCCCGGTTCCCTCGGCCCCCACCGCGGAGAATAAACAGAAGGGCAACCATGACAACCATGCTTCTTCGCTGCTTTTGTGGAGGAAGGTTACACCGCCACGTACAGGCTCCTGCATATGTACTGCAGCTTCTCCAGCGGTTGGAGCTAAACGGAGCTGTCCTCGTAGTGATGGGCATTTCGATTCCCTTCGGGGACACGAATCTTTTGATTCAGTTCACTTTAAAGATTCGTTCACTGATTCGTTCACCGGTTCGCGAACGACTTCTGGTGATTTGCACGTTCGCGAACGATTCGTCTTTGTACTTAATTCAGTGAGTCTTCACTACTGCCGAAGTCCGTACAAGAAGTTTGCTGGAGTAAAATGTATGATATTAAAACACATTTTACACCTCACCTTGTTGCCCCATGAATTATGCTCTGGGAATAGGCTACATATTATTTAAGAAATATAATTGGCCATTGTTAAATCTCTCATACATTTGTGCCTGACTATACGATGTATTACAGCAGGCTAGCACGTTATACTTTCAAACCCATGCACGTACTATGTGGCATAACTGAAATCCCAAAGCATTTGGCCGAGTTCAAAGTGAATACAAAAATATATCCTCTACATCGGTGACCATTTATTCATATTCTATGTACCCATCTATGTTTACCTTTAGCTAAGCAAGCTGGACGCTACGGAGCACAGCTATCCGCCCTCTGAAGCTTTTAGGGCCGAGGGGGAGGAGAATGTCCCGCTAACGCTGTGTGTGTAACGGAGCTCAGATTAGAGGGCTCTGATTACAGTTTTAATCCTCTGTCAAACTGCATGTTTTCTGCTATATTTGATGAGAGATAAAATGATTTTCTGCCACAGGAGTTTGACAGAGAATAACTGAAAAAGTACACAGTAAAATAACTTCATAGTAGCCTACTTGTGGTAGAAGTCCAACTAGTACTGAGTCCAACAGTAAAGTACTTCATTGTATTGTGGTAGTTGTCAAACTGAGTTCAATTCTGTGTAGATGGAACATCCAGTATTTCGGAGGGGCCCTAACGGGACCCTCCTCTTGAAAGAAAGGGATATAAGATAAAAGAACTGTAGGAAACGGTTCAGAACTGTTTCCGCCAGTTCTTTAAGTTCGTCGTTCACGAACAGCTTCTCTTTAGCTTTTGGCGGAAGGCGGGCGACTCAAACAAACGAATCGTTTTGGTGGGAGGAATCAGTTAATCTCGTTCACTTCAAAAATTCGTTTCAAAAAGATGCGTTCCCATTGGGTGGGATGTAAAACAGCACAGATAAAAATGTTCCCATAGTCTCTAGGTGGGTAAAATGGTCTCAGACTTAAGCTAAGAGTAATAATAATAAAGGTACATTTTTGTCCTCAACAAGCCACAGATGACAGTGTACGGTCAAAAAGCCTCAACTAAAGAACTACAAACCCCAGCAGCTTCAACTACAGCCAGAGCGACTGTTGCCCCAGCAACCTAGCTACCCTCCCAAGCAGCCGGAGCTTCAGTTGCCCCAGCAGCAAAGCTACCCTCCCCAGAAGCCTCAGTTGCCCCAGCAGCCAAGCTACCCTCCCCAGCAACCGGAGCCTCAGTTGCCCCAGCAGCCAAGCTTACCCTCCCCAAGAAGCCTCAGTTGCCCCAGCAGCCAAGCTACCCTCCCAAGCAGCCGGAGCCTCAGTTGTCCCCAGCAGCCAAGCTACCCTCCCCAGAAAGCCTCAGTTGCCCCAGCAAACCTAGCTACCCCTCCCAAGCAGCCAGAGCCTCAGTTGCCCCAGCAGCCAAGCTACCCTCCCCAGAAGCCTCAGTTGCCCCAGCAGCCAAGCTAACCCTCCCAAGCAAGCCTCAGTTGCCCCAGCAGCCAAGCTACCCTCCCCAGAAGCCTCAGTGCCCCAGCAGCCACGCTACCCTCCCCAGAAGCCTCAGTGTGCCCCAGCAGCCAAGCTACCTCCCAAGCAGCCGGAGCCTCAGTTGCCCCAGCAGCCAAGCTACCCTCCCAAGCAGCCGGAGCCTCAGTTTCCCCCAGCAGCCAAGCTACCTCCCCAGAAGCCTCAGTTGCCCCAGCAGCCAAGCTACCCCTCCCCAGCAACCGGAGCTTCAATTGCCCCAGCAGCCAAGCTTACTCTCCCCAGAAGCCTCAGTTGCCCCAGCAGCCAAGCTACCCTCCCAAGCAGCCGGAGCCTCAGTTACCCCAGCAGCCAAGGCTACCCTCCCAGAAGCCTCAGTTTGCCCCAGCAACCTCAAGCTACCCTCCCAAGCAGCCAGAGCCTCAGTTGCCCCAGCAGCCAAGCGACCCTCCCCAGAAGCTCAGTTGCCCCAGCAGCCAAGCTACCCTCCCAGAAGCCTCACTTGCCCCAGCAGTCAAGCTACCCTCCCAAGCAGCCGGAGCCTCAGTTTGCCCCAGCAGCCAAAGCTACCCTCCCAAGCAGCCGGAGCCTCAGTTTGCCCCAGAAGCCAAGTTACCCTCCCCAGAAGCCTCAGTTGCCCCAGCAGCCAAGCTACCCTCCCCAGCAACCGGAGCTTCAGTTGCCCCAGCAAGCCAAGCTACCCCTCCCCAGAAGCCTCAGTTTGCCCCAGCAGCCAAGATACCCTCCCAAGCAGCAGGAGCCTCTGTGCCCCAGCAGCCAAGACTACCTCCCCAGAAGCTCAGTTGCCCAGCAGCCAAGCTACCCTCCCAAGCAACCGGAGCTTTCAATTGCCCCAGCAGCCAAGCTACCCTCCCCAGAAGCCGCAGGTTGCCCCAGCAGCCAAGCTACCCTCCCAAGCAAGCCGGAGCCTCAGTTGCCCCAGCAGCCAAGCTACCCTCCCCAGAAGCCTCGTTGCCCCAGCAGCCAAGCTACCCTCCCCAGAAGCCTCAGTTGCCCCAGCAGCCAAGCTACCCTCCCAAGCAGCCGGAGCCTCAGTTGCCCCAGCAGCCAAGCTACCCTCCCAAGCAGCCGGAGCCTCAGTTGCCCCAGCAGCCAAGCTACCCTCCCAGCAACCGGAGCTTCAGTTGCCCCAGCAGCCAAGCTACCCTCCCCAGAAGCCTCAGTTGCCCCAGCAGCCAAGCTACCCTCCCAAGCAGCCGGAGCTTCAGTTGCCTCAGCAGGCAAGCTACCCTCCCCAGAAGCCTCAGTTGCCCCAGCGGCCAAGCTACCCTCCCCAGAAGCCTCAGTTGCCCCAGCAGCCAAGATACCCCTCCCCAGCAACCGGAGCTTCAGTTGCCCCAGCAGCCAAGCTACCCTCCCCAGAAGCCTCAGTTGCCCCAGCAGCCAAGCTAACCCTCCCAAGCAGCCGGAGCCTCAGTTGCCCCAGCAGCCAAGCTACCCTCCCCAGAAGCCTCAGTTGCCCCCAGCAGCCAAGCTACCCTCCCCAGAAGCCTCAGTTGCCCCAGCAGCAAAGCTACCCTCCCCAGAAGCCTCAGTTGCCCCAGCAGCCAAGCTACCCTCCCAAGCAGCCAGAGCCTCAGTTGCCCCCAGCAGCCAAGCTTACCCTCCCCAGAAGCCTCAGTTGCCCCAGCAGCCAAGCTACCCTCCCCAGAAGCCTCAGTTGCCCCAGCAGCAAAGCTACCCTCCCCAGAAGCCTCAGTTGCCCCAGCAGCCAAGCTACCCTCCCCAGCAACCGGTGCTTCAGTTGCCCCAGCAGCCAGCTACCCTCCCCCAGAAGCCTCAGTTGCCCCAGCAGCCAAGCTACCCTCCCAAGCAGCCGGAGCTTCAGTTGCCTCAGCAGCCAAGCTACCCTCCCCAGACGCCTCAGATTGCCCCAGCAGCCAAGCTACCCTCCCCAGAAGCCTCAGTTGCCCCAGCAGCCAAGATACCCTCCCCAGCAAACCGGAGCTTCAGTTGCCCCAGCAGCCAAGCTACCCTCCCCAGAAGCCTCAGTTGCCCATCAGGCCAAGATACCCTCCACAGCAACCGGAGCTTCAGTTGCCCCAGCAACCTAGCTACCCCCCCCAAGCAGTCGGAGCTTCAGTTGCCCCCGCAGCCAAGCTACCCCCCCAGCAACCAGAGCTTCAGTTGCCCCAGCAGCCAAAGCTACCCTCCCAAGCAACCAGAGCTTCAGTTGCCCCAGCAGCCAAGCTACCCTCCCAACAGCCGGAGCGTCAGTTACCCCAGCAGCCAAGCTACCCCACCCAAGCAGCCGGATCAACTGTTGCCCCAGCAGCAAAGCTACCCTCCCAAGCAACCAGAGCGACTGTTTGCCACATCAGTTGCCCCAGCAGACAAGCTACCCCTCCCAGCAACCGGAGCTTCAGTTGCCCCAGCAGCCAAGCTACCCTCCCAAGCAAGCCGGAGCCCTCAGTTGCCCCAGCAGCCAAGCTACCACTCCCCCAACAGCCGGCGCGTCAGTTGCCCCAGCAGCCAAGCTACCCTCCCAAGCAGCCGGAGCGTCAGTTGCCCCAGCAGCCTAGCTACCCTCCCCAGCAACCGGAGCGTCAGTTACCCCGCTGCCCCAGTCTGGCTCCCGGCCCCGGCCCTCAGTCCGGCTCCCCGCCACGGCAGCAGCAGTCCGGCTCCCCGCCCCGGCAGCAGCAAGTCCGCTCCCCGCCCCGGCAGCAGCAGTCCGGCTCCCCGCCCCGGCAGCAAGCAGTCCGGCTCCCCGCCCCGGCAGCAGCAGTCCGGCTCCCCGCCCCGGCAGCAGCAGTCCGGCTCCCCGCCCGGCAGCAGCAGTCCGGCTCCCGCCCCGTGCAGCAGAGCAGTCCGGCTCCCCGCCCCGGCAGCAGCAGTTCCGGCTTCCCCGCCCCGGCAGCAGCAGTCCGGCTCCCCGCCCCGGCGCAGCAGTCCGGCTCCCCGCCCCGGCAGCAGCAGTCCGGCTCCCCCGCCCCGGCAGCAGCAGTCCGGCTCCCCCGCCCCGGCAGCAGGTCCGGAGCACTTGTCAGACAACCTGAACAAGATCTATGGTTCGTACATGCAGAGACGGGCTAACCGGTTACCGATGCCTTCCTTCCCATCTCAGAAGTTGCCCTGGCAGAAGTTTGCCGCCCTGGCAGAAGTTGCCCTGGCAGAAGTTGCCCTGGCAGAAGTTGCCCTGGCAGCCGCGTTACCTGCCTAAGTTCATGAACAAGAAGCGGCAGCCAAACCTCATTGATTATGAAACTGTTGCCCAAGGAGTTGCTTCCCAAATGGCTTCAAATGGGTAAGTTTAGCTAATGCTGTTTTAATTGGAAAGATAGACAGAATCTGTGTAATCTGGCCACCTTGACTTTCTTCCAGGTACAGTACCAATGGTGACGAAAGAGGCTATGAACTTGCTCAAGTCCAGAGCAGCAATGGGCAGGGTATGTATTTGAACTCTGTAATATGACTCAAGCTTTTAAATACTGATTTTACAAAGTCTGTTTTTGTGTTTAGGTGACACTGAAGGTTCGTCAAAGACTGCTTTCAACTGAGCCCTGTATTGCCCTTTCAAAATAAAAAAAGTTTATCAATTCATTGTTTACTATTTTGTTTATTCCCTCATACAATCAAAATCCTGTCTCTACAACATTCGTTTGTTTTGATGAACGGAAGGAGCAAGTATTTTCAAAAGCTGAAGGGGCTTTAATTTTTTTTAACTGAAAAGTTGTTTTCACTTAAATCCATCGTTCTCCTCAGGACGGTAACACAACTACAGACATTCTGTAATGCTGAAGATTAACCTACCAAAAGATTTACAAATTGGCAGAAAACGTTAACATCTAAGTCTAAAAGCATTTTATTTATGTATTACAATATGCAGTATTTGAATGTAAATGTTTAATTTTACATAATGGTTTACCATCAGCATTTATTGCACTTTTATTCTTCCCTATATTTATATTACTTGCATTAATATAATGTACACTATTACAGTGTTGCTATTGAGCATAATGACACAGCCCTAATGAGATATTCCTAAATTGACTAAAGAATTTGTTTGCAGAGGAAAGTACTTTCAGTTTAATCTAATTTCACCCACTTTTCGAATTATATAAATCCCGTTTTTATTACAACGCAGAATTAATTGTTATCATAAATGATATCTTTCTACTTGAGGTCACACGGTTAGTGCTAGATCGTATACCTCCTGGGTTTTAGGCGGCGGAAAGTGACGTAATCGTGGATGAGAAGCGAAAAGTCGGCAACTTTTGCAGCAACTGACAGCACATCTGGTAGTAAAAGTAGACACATTTAATTTAATTTTGCATGAGCTCTTCGCGACTCTGGGAGTCCCGCAGGAATCCGGAGGAACAGTGAAGAGGAGTGAGAGGGAGCACACTCGTAAACAAATCTCCCCCCTTTTTTTATTAAAATAAACCTCGTACTGTGTCACTGTAATCCGAAATCAAACGCATCTAACGATCTAGCACATAGGCTGTATAGTCTAGCACTAACAGAGGTCACAACTGCTGTAAAAAGTCAGCTGCTAATGATCGGCACTTTGTTGGACCAATTAGCAGTATACGTCACGAACCTTAGTGCGTGTAGCCCAGCGCCTATTGGATCACAGAATCGGCCAATCGGAAGAAGAAAACTCCAATGGGCGGAACCGGAAACACACGTTTCAGACAATTTCTGTCAAGTAAAACAGTGAGCCGTAACAGCTCTCCTAAAACATTACAGCCGCTTCTAAACCCGTATGAACAGCTATATTTGATAATTGCCAAAGTACGGATCTGTTGTCGAGGTTACCGCTTACTATATTATATCTCATATCTCAGAAGGTAAGATTTAATTCAGCTCTGGTTTGCTAGCATGCTAATGCTAATATATATTAAAGGAGCAGCCGGTTAGCTTGATCCCTGAGCTAACGTTTACATCCATTGAAATAAACACAAGGTCTGGGGGGGGGGCTTATTTTCCTTGTTTATGGTGTGAATTTGTTGACTACTACTTGTTGGGAATCATCTGTTTTGTTCACATGTGATGTATACGTACATTTAGCCTCCGCTGGGCGTCTTTTGAAGCCAGTTTTTACTGTCGTTGTCTCTCTGTGTTCTTCTCTCAGTAAGTCATCATGGGTGAGGTGGAGCTGTCTTGTCGGGCCTATGTGAAGATGTTCCTGCACGCCTCTCTGTTCCCTCGGTGCAAGCATCAACGGGCTGCTGCTGTCCTCCAGCTCTGCAGGCGGGGCTGTGTGTGTGACAGACTGTGTCCCGCTGCTTCACTCCCACCTGCCCCCTGGCTCCCATCACCCAGCTGGCCCTGACACAGGTAGGAGGACTCATGCTGAACATCCAGTGGTGAAAGAACTATTCAGATCCCCTTACTGAGTTATCATACTAATTCCAAACTGGGGGATGCTACAACTTCAAAGTTTGACTTATTCAGGTAGCTGGAAAATACACACGTCCTTTTTGCAGAGTTAGAGCCAAGTTAAAACAATTTCCAAAAACATCCTCAGCCCTCATCTATTGTTTAATGTTCCGATTTTCTAATATCTTTGTGCCATGCTGTGTAATCTAGTCAACATTAACTATTGGGCAATGGTAAAGGAAAATGGGGGTCAATGAATCTCAGTCAATGAACAGCTGACTTTTAAATCGATATGAAGTGTCCCATCTTTCATCTCCTTCAAATATGTTTCACTCTAAATTCTAATTAGTGTTTTATTGACTATACCTTTGGTTCGGGCACCTAGTTAGGATGCTACCTGGGCGCCTCCCTAGGAGGTGTTTCCAGGCACATCCAGCTGGGAAGAGACCAAGGGGTAGACCTAGGACCAGGTGAAGGGATTATATCTCTTCGCTGGCCTGGGAGCAGGCCTTGGATCCCCCAGTCAGAGCTGGTTGATGTGGCCAGGGAAAGAAAGTTTGGGGCTCTCTGCTGGGAACTGCTACCCCCCGCGACCCCGACCACCACGGATAAGCGGGAGAAGATGGATGGACCTTTTACCCATATTAATGGAGAATAAATTATTAACTTGTGAAACTAACTCTAATAGGTTTTTATACCAGATCAAATGACTTTACTGGCTCTTGTGCTGCAGAGAAAGGCTTTCTTGTGATGAGAAGAGTCCCCAAAACTTCTTTCTGGAACGGAGCGTCCACACTACAGCTTAAAAAAAACTTGGAGCTGGGTCGTGTCTGAAGCTTGGGGATTTTATTCGAGCAACGCGACCAACAAACCAATCACATGAATCTCTCCGCCCCCGACATACAAAGCAAAAAAACCCCGGGGATTTATGCAAGCAATATATATATATATAAACTCCCCAAAACAGGCGAAAACCTACCAGTTTCACCCACTGTCTCTGTCCACCTCCCTCCATGACTGGTTCTCTTCCGGTTTGTATCCCGGTAGGTGAAGAGGGGTCCTGCTCATACAAAACCGGGTGATTTGTTACGGCGATAATTATTTTCTCCTCCATCTTTTTTTGAATATAGAAATGAACGGCGGGATATCTCTCCCAGCTTAGACGCGGTTTGATTGGCTAACGGCTTGAGCTGTCAGATTTTCAGAAACGGGATTTGATTGGCTGGCGGCTGTTACGCCGGAGAACGACCGCTACGCTACCCAAATTCAGTTCGGCGAAAAGCGAGGCAACGTGACGTCACCAACCCATTCAAAGTGAATGGGCAGACGCGTTGGAAACCGTTTTTGAAGCTGTCCGAAGCTGTAGTTGTGTAAGAGTTTTCCAGTTTTGCATTTTGAGATAATGGATGTCTTAATGTTTTGGTTTGCTCTCTGGATTCAGGTTGATGTGTGGTGTTCACAGACTAAGCAAGGATAGTGGGATACTATCAGCCAACGCCTGTGGTGACAGACAGCAGGTTAGTTTCCTGCTTTTTACTGTTGAACGTTTAGGTAAAAATGTTCAAATTGTTGTAAGTAGGTTCAGTATTTTGGTCAAATGTTAACCTTTCTAACTTTCTGTTAAATCTGTGTTTTCCCTTAAACCCACAGCCCGACACCATGTGCAATGAAGATAGCGGATAAGATTTCTGAGCAGTTTGACAGATGCAGTTTTGTTAATGTAAGAGATTTAAAGTGCACCTATCATGCTATGTTAGACAATAGCATAGGTCGCAGATATATAAAAAACATATCTATAAAGTGTTTTGCTCAAAATACCAAACAGATCACTCATTCTAGCCATGGCCTCATATCCCTCTATTCACTTCCTGTTTCAAAAGTGCTGATTTTGGGTATAAGCTTTAAAAATAAAAGAATTGATAAAAAATAAAGAGGAGGGGGCTGAGCTCATGAGGACCCGGCAGCTACTGTCTAAACTAAATACTGCTGCCGTGATGAAACGCCATATCATGGAATTATCAAGGATTATTTCTGAAACAGTTTGGAGCTCAAAGGCTTTCTCTCTTGCCGGTATACCACAATAACGCGTCCTTAGGTTTGGGGGAAATTTCGAGGCTGCACATGGGTCGACTACGCGTCCTTAAAATCCCCACAATGCTTTGCGCACAGACCAATTTCAAAAAACCCTATGGCGGAGAATGGCTGAACCGACGCAGCAACACATGTAAATGCAAGTATGTAGTGGCGTAGAACATGTGTGGTAAATATGTGACTTTGGTTACATTTGTTTGTTATCACCAAAAATGTGTTCCGTGAAAGTAAAAGCAAGTTCATAATTAGATAGACATCGTGAGTGGTATTTATTTCGGTACAGTTTATGGTTGAAACCGTTAGAGAGAGTGGCACACTTGTTAGCCTGTTACCATTCTTCTTCGTTTTCCGAAGCCGTGGCTTGGAAGCATACTTGCGTCGTTTCTGAAGGAACTGACTTGGAAGTACGCGACTACCAAGCCAGCATCCTCGCGATTGAGAAACGGCCATGCTCTCCAGTACAGGTTAGCTCTGAGTGGTTAAGCGACAGGCCCGGTGTCAGTACAGATATGTTCGGGGGCTACCAGATATGTTCGAGTGTATTTCCGTCGCATCCGTCATCCATCATATCCGTCTACTCCCTCCCTCTGCTCCCAGCGCTCTGCTGCCACACACCGGCCGTCTGCGGAACTGCAGCCGGAGGAACTCGGTACAGCTTGTTATGTGTGAACGATCTAGATCCCTCCGCTTCCCCATAATGACCGCGAAAAAAACTAGAGACTCTTTCCAATGAAAGTAGCTAGCCACAATAGCTCCAAGATTGCTATATCTAGTTTGTAGGTCGCCAAGTTGGCATCATTGACAGTTAGTCTCTTAAAGCCTCTAAAGCTCTGCAACAAAAAAGGATCATTATGAATGTAAATACTATACATGGTAATGCAGCAGGGCAGAGTGCGATGAGGCAGGCAGGCAGAACCAGATTTATATAAGGCTACTAGTATTATAATATTACTGCAATAATATTCCAGTGGTGGCTGCTTAAGGTTGTTTCTGGCTCGTTTGATCCAAACATTGTCCAAAGCTCAAACTGTATTGTAATGGATGTAAGAATTCTCAAAATGTACAATATGTTTTGATCCAACACAATATTCTGATTCAATCCATATATGTTAGGGTTTTTTTAAACAACATTTTCACCACAATAAATAGACTGCCTTCTCCCAGCTCACCGCACACAAAGGGGGGAGGCATCTGTATTAACGGGTCAGTCTATAAGCACTCTAACAGCACCATAAATTACATTTAAACAACCACAAAAAAACAATTATTGTTTCCGATATTGATTTAACGAGATGCTGTTATAACATGGAAACAGCTTAATTAAAAAAAATAAGCTTCAAAAATGTTTGATGAAGCACACTGGGTACAGCCCTGTAATACATGTGTTCCGTGTGTATATAGTCTTACGCAAGAAACGCATAGCATGAACAGACTGCAACAAAACCAGTCTTACAAAACAGACTTCTGCTAAACTGGTGCAGAAGCAAAGCATCTGCCTTAGATGAAGTTCACACAGAACTGTGGAAAAGGGAGAACATCTGTACTTGCTTTCAACGACATGATCAGGCTTATATATTATAAAAGTGTTGGCTAAAGTAACGCAGAAATATATTTTTTTTAATTGTAAATAATTAGAAACATTATTTATGTGCACAAGTACACACACATAACAAGCTGTACCGAGTTCCTCCGGCTGCAGTTCCGCAGACGGCCGGTGTGTGGCAGCAGAGCGCTGGGAGCAGAGGGAGGTGAGTAGACGGATATGACGGATGACGGATACGACGGAAATACACCCGAACATATCTGGTAGCCCGAACATATCTGGTACTACACCGGTTCCAGAACAAAATGACTCAGAGATTAGAGATTAGAGGGTGCAGTGGTAAAGTGCTATTTTTATAAGTGAGGAGTGAGTAGACCTAACACCCTCTAGTAGACCTAACACCCCCCCGGGAAGATTTTTTTTTTTAAATATTGAAGTTAAAAGCATCAATTTGGTGCACTTTGAGAGCAAATGAAGAGATCTGTAGATACTCTCAACACCCATATGAAACAGAACTGTAAACAGATTTACTTTTTCTTTATGGATATTTTACAAATCACTCCCCTTTTAAGACCGAAATGTCTACATACATAGCAGAAGATGGCATCTTTTTTACATATTCCAGCCAATCTCTGTTTTGAAACCATGAGCTGCAAAATGAGTGCCTTACCCCACTGTACAGGTGAGTTGGGTACTTTTTTAAATATACCTGGGCAGGCTCTGTTTTGTCCAGGTCCTCTGGCACTTGCGGGCCGCCGAGGGGTGGCGGTGTTTGGGGCAACGAAGACGGCTGCGGCTGCTCTGCCTCCGTGGGCGAGGCGGGCAAAGCCGGCGGGAGGACGTTAGTGTCCACGACAGCGGCCGGGGTAAGTAATGTCCCCATGATCTAAAATGTTATACCTGCAGTAGATGCAGTGTTACTGCTGGCGATAAGGGCTGGTTGTTTTAACCATTTTCTGATGTCCATCATTGACTGCTGTGTAAGCACCTTGCAGATGACGAACGCGCAGCGGCACAGGTCACGCGCACCTGACATAATCATGTTAAACGTTACTTAGGCTACCGTTTAAATTGACAAATAAATGCAGCAGACAATGTTATTTAACCACAATTACAATTTTATTTTATTCAACTATATTCTTCTCTTCTTATGTTATTAATATGTAAATTTTTCACTTTCAATATAGATATATATATATATATTTGTTCACTTTACAGTTACACCCTTATGCACCCCCGTAGAACGGGCCTGGTTAGCGATGCTAATGTAAATATGCACCGACCATATTACGTCCCAAAACAGTCGGGCATTTTTCTGATAGCAACGTTTCTGATAGGGCAGTGGGTGTAAAGCCAGCCTACATTTCCGTCATATCGGACGCAATCTGGATCAGCTCCATTGTAGCCCCGTTTTTAGAGATTTGGGTACGGAGGAAAAGAGAGAAGGTGGGGGAAAACTTCTGAAGCAAGTGGAGTCAAGACAGAGAGCTGGAGCTTTGATGGCAAACACTGACGGTTTATTTGGAGCTTCGGCCGGAGAGAATTCACAAGACATGTCACGGGCCACGAGTTGACCACACGGTAGCCACAATCAATTCTGAAGAACCCTCCTGTAGCTCCAGGGTTTAACTAGTTCAGAGTGTAATAATCAACATTGTTCATCGATAGACTAAACCGCTGAGGACACTGAATCACATTTGTTGTCGCTTACGGCTCGGGTTCATCTACCCGAGAAGGATGTTCCAGGTGTCCCACAACAATAACTATCTCTGACCGAGGGTTGCCCGGTCACAAACTGGCAACATCAACAATATGCTAGGGCAGCCCCTCCTTATGGGATGATAACGGCTGCTCAGCTGCGTCAGAGGGCGAAGGAGGACATGCAGGGAAATGTATTCCCCAACAGAAAGGGTTTTATTTTCTGACGCTGTGTGAGTTCCCCGACACACCACCGGGGACACCTATTTTTGTAATAAAGACATCAAAAGTGCTTTTGCATGATGGGTCTTCTTTAACACTGTTTGTAGAGATGAGAAATAAGTTAGTGGTGGTGAAACAATAAGATGATCAGAGGATTAAAAAGTGTACTCCTGCAATTCTCTCTGCAATGTCACTAATATGATTTTGTTGATTTGTTAGAAATGCTTGTTTTTGCTCCACAGCTTGATGGCAGTAAGATGAGTTCAGACCGGGTTCCTCCCATCGTGATGTACGAGCGCAAAGATTCAAGATGGCTGCTCAAAGACAAACACACGTGAGTGACAGCCGGACGGAAGGGGACCTTTTGTCACGGGTTCAGCCTCTTGAGTTGAAAACTGACTCTACTTTCACGTTTCAAACATAACTCTCTTTGGTCCAAACCGCTTGATCGATGTGGCTTGTTTTAGAGCTGCGACCAACCCTAGATACCTCTTTTATTTTTACTTCACCACCTGTCATGATCAAGTCAATGACAAGTAATAGCTTCATAATTCACACACGTTACCATACACATTCATCTTGAACCTTTTACTGTGGGAAGTGGTAAAGCTCCTAGTTCTTAATTATTTGATGCTTTCATTCAGTAGAACTTAGGTCATTTTATAAAATCCCCCAAAAGTAGTTGGACAGCAGTTTCTTTTCTGTGCAATTAAATTAATTGAATTCTTATTTTTCTTGACTTGTAACATTGATTTAAAATATATTTTTCTGTTATACTTTTCCCCCAAATTGTTAGTTCCTTGATTTAAAAAAACAAAAAACTCCAGGGCTGCGTTTCACTTCGGTTAAATGGAATCCTTGCGTCCCTCACTTGCGTCGTTTCCCTGCGTTTAGTCCCTCCCACCAGGGAAGCATGCAAACCACGAGAAGCAGGGAATGGGTTTTAAGAGCAATGGGACGTCCTTTCCTCCGGAGCGTCACGTGAAGCGACGTCCGTTTGTGATGACAACCGCACAGCTGGTCGTCTGACAGCAGCTCTGTCCCCGTTGTTTTCACAAACACCCCCGCCTCTGTTAGTACACATATACTGACACAAACATTTGTATCATCTGTTGTAGACCCAAATACATAAAATAAAATAAGAACTCATTCTCAAAAAAGGATAAACGCCATTTGTATAAACAAGCGATCATGAAAATGTTTCCAATAAATGAATGATTTGACCACTTTGTTGTTTCAGATATATCACATATTTGTAACTAATGAAAACATTAATTGAATCAAAACTCTGTATAAACTGAGGGAGTGACTCTCGTGAGTTTCATGTATTTTCTTCACTCCGCTGGGAAACTGCTCTCATGTCAAGAAGCATCGGATCAGTGCATGCACTGCATCGTCCAATCAGTGAGCGATACACAGTAAGGGGGGGGCGAGTATCTGAGGAATTCACCGGAGGATGGACTGGTGGTTCCTCCATTACCTCCATTATCGCTCCTCATCCTCCGGCACAAATAAGGCCACTGGGACGCTACTCAAGATGGCGCAGACAAATCAACTTCCGGTGAGACCGAGGAGCGAGGAAATGAGAAATAAGAGAAGTGAAACGCAGCCCTGGCTTAATATAAATGTCTAAATAACATGAACACTGACTTGTCTTTGTGTTCAGGATAATGCTGAGACAGTGGGACGAGATCGGTCGATAGCCACTCAGATGCTGGAGTCGGGCGACCACTCGCTGTTGGTGGATTTCGACAGCCACCTGGATGACATCACAAAGGACTGGACCAATCAGAAACTGAATACTAAGATCGCCGAGCTCTCCTCTCCAGCCAAGGGAACATCTAGACCGAGGTGGAGCCGTGTGTGTGGAGTGCAGATGAATTGATGTTCTGACCCAACATGTGATTTTTATAACAACCACACAGAGCTTGCTTTATATTTTATTAGACTGAACAGGGCATAACATAGAACATGCATAATAACAACATATTTACATTTTGTAGACCCCCCCCCCCCCCGAGTGTGCCTTGTTGCAGCCCTTCTGATTTAAAGGAAACATTTACCTTAACATATTGCAATGCACCTGTGGTATTTTGTCTTTGTTATATTTAATTGTTATTTCTATGTTGATTACAGGCTCCAGGGGGTGGACATAATAACCGAAACACCTTCAAATTACAAAAGTACTTGCATTAAACAAAACTTTTATGAGTGTTTCAGGTTATCATGATTAAGGGTGATGCTGAGCCTTTCAATAAAGCATTTCTTTGTGCAAACACTTTAAATGCTCCTACAAAACCCTTTATTAAACAGTAGTTTTTAATTGTTTATTAATATGTATTTGTCAAAAACATATGACTTCCTGTGTGGCACCCAAGAGTGGGGGGTTCCTGTATAAACAGACTACCTACACATGTATATAAAAAATATGTCTTGAAAGGAGAAGTACTGACAATACTAAAAACATTGATAAACACTTAAACATGTCCATTATATCTGCATACAGTTACGGCATAGTGTACAACCCAGGATATTTAGTTGATAGTTATTATCTTTAAATCTATATTTTAAAACAATATATATTAAATGCTAAATATTCGACGCGTCAGCAGACTGTTTGTACTGCAAGACTTTGTATTGGAACGGAGGACTGTTTCTGTTTCTCCATTACCTAACAACTATTGTAAAACAGTTTCATGTCATAGAGCAGAGTCAGGACTCTCAAAAAACTAATCCCAAGCTTAATCGTATTCCCTCCATAAAGGTACATTAAGGTTAACTGGGGTACAACTTGTCATTTTGGCAACTTTGATAACATATTTTTTAACAGCAGTGTAAAAACTTTTTTTGACCTTTAAAAATACAACCCAGTTATCGTAAATGTGTAACTGTTTGTGTTTAACTACAACAACCTAACATGATGAATGAGAACCCTAAGATTTGGGAGTTAACTAACAGACATAACATTAAAAAAAAGTGGTTATTATTTCGGTTACATATTCTTGTTCACTACTCTACTGAACTACTTGGTGTTTTTATTGTAACTTATCTGAGTAGGGTATGTTTCCCTTAATATTTACTATAACTAAAGCTGCATTTATGATATTTTTCAAATTACATTTTAAGTCTGTAGCATACGTTAAAACACTGTAAAAAAACAAAAACATATTGAAGTTATTACATGTTTTGGTCGATAACAGTCCAAGATACTACCACGACAGCCATATCAAGAGAACATGTAGATAGTAACATTTGAGAAGCTGGAATCAGAAAATGTTTGTGTGAAGAATAACGGAAAGAATTCACTGATTTATAGAAATGGAAAATGTTGTGGATCTACTTTTTAGTGCAGCTCTGAAGACTGTTTAAATGTGTAGTGCTTCCAGTTCACAAACTCAGGGTAAAACCAAAAAAAGCTGAAGATTTTATCTCCAGTTTAAAAAAAGTGTTTAAGCTTTCATAAGTGCGATTTGTGCTATATGTATATAAGGACAGAGCGATAACACGTCTGTTATTACAAAACAAGCTCTTATTTTGATATCAAAAACATTTCTGGGAGAATTTAGACTCTGTGATTAATCAGGAGTTTTGACCATTTGAGACGATAAGGTTAAATGTGGACATGTTGCTCAGCCCTGTATACTCTTTTTTTGGAGTTACACCCCCCCTTCGTGCAGACACGGTGCTCAGTCGGTCCCACAGGAGAAGACGTCGGGGTCGGAGGGCGACACGGTGACCAGGTTCAGAGTGATCTCCCCCAGAGGAGACTGAGAGGCCAGAGAGTGCAGCATGCTCAGGGACTCGAATAAGGCCTGCGTGTTCTGCACCTGCTGCTCCGCCCAGGGGAAGTTGATCTGAGGACAGCAGGTCACAGCAGCATTTTTATTTGATTGCGTCACTTACAATTTACATTTATTTTCTTAATCGTTTCTGTAATGCTTAATTTTCACATTTCATTTTCTGTTGGAGTAGAAAAAGTAAAATGATTTAAAGAAAAATACATGATTCTTTCCAATGAAAATTACTTAGACATTTTTTTGTACCTGTAATTTCTTCAAAAGCTAATAGTTCAACCTAAGTTCAATAGTTTTATGTGAGTAATAATAATTGTAAGTTAAAATTCATTAATAATCTTTTTAATTAAGAAATTATGTGTACTATATTAGTTTTAATAAATTATCAATATTTGAAATATTAAAATTAATTAATATTTTCAGTAAATACATATTGAAAAAGAATAGTCATTTATTAAACATATTTAAATAAGTCATGTGAATGTAATTAACATGTTTTAATACAAAAAAATGAATTCCCAATACTGTGTTTTAGGAAATACATAATGAATTAATTGTTTGTTATAAATAAGTGCTTTTATTTTTTTCTCTATTAAACTAAAAGACATGCTGCAGTGCAAAAGGTTTTTTTCAGATAGGATTTATTTGAAAGAAACATGTATACAATTTTATTCCAATTTTAATATACAAATATATTTATAGCATGTTATTTATTATTGTAATTGTTTCTGGTAAAAGTGTATACATTGTACAAATATGTTTAAGGGCAGAATGAATCCCTTTGGTGTTGAAATCCAATCAGAGATCCAAGCTAACGTCTGGTGTTCATGACTAGTTGAGAGTACAAATGCTTAGAAACAAATATCATCCAGTCGTCTGAGTCGCTACAGAGTCGAGAGTTTGGACATTTACCTGAACATAATGAGTTTGCTAGACGGGTCTTCATTGTTACTCAGCTCTTCTCCAAAACACAGAGTGATGCCGCACTGAGGAGGATCGGCGCCGCTTATACGGGAGTTGTGTAGTTCTGATTATGGGAAAAACAAATTGATAATTAATAGTGCAGCACAGAGATCAGACGACATTTGAGTTTAAACTAATTCACTGGTTTATGGTCTGACTCTGGATGAAGACAAGCTATCTGGATAAGGTGAACAGAACCTGTCTGTACCGACTACCCAGGGAACGCTCAGAGAAATGAATGTCTCTGTGTACTTTGCCAAGACTTAGAAGGAAAGGCGTAATTAATGTATGTGAGCAATAACATGTAGATTTGAGTGGACTGTAAACAGGCGGGTGTGATTTTTATGCACATCTCCATGCATGTTATATATTTGTGGAATAAATAAAAAGTTCTAAAAAAGGTGAACAGGCCGTGTTAACATACTCTAAACTAAAAACATGCAGACTAAACCCCTCATGTGGTGACTGTCATTCTACATGTTTCAGGTTCAGCGTTGGAACTCACGTTGTTTGAACGTTTCTTTGCAGAAGAGCTTCACGGGCTCCGTGTTCCTCTCCATCTTGTGCAGCCCCGGGGTGGTGCAGTGCGGCCCCGTCCAGAAGACCCTCCCCTGGCACAGGCGTTTGCCGTAGACCCCCCCCGGGGTGGAGGTCAGCACCACCCCCCTCTCCATGAAGGGCAGCAGGGTGAACAGGGCCTGCAGCTCGGGGCCCGCGGGCAGCGAGGGGGGGGGCTTCGGCAGCGGGACGCGAGGGAACCGGCCCTTCAGGACGGCCGGCGCTGGGGGGACCGAGGACGGAGGCAAGTACAGAATCCTGATGTCGTTTCTCTGGATGTGACGTTTAAGAACCTCCTGTCCTAAATATTGAACCACCACACCGAAGGAATCCTCATCTGGGAACACAATGATGGAGAGGGAGAATTAAGGCATGTGTAGTTAAGATAAGAATAACAAAAAGACTTTTCCAAATAAGATAATGTAGTTATAACAGTCAGAAACTCCTCCTCCTTGTAAGAGCAACTTTCTATGGCAATCGCACTAAAAAAAAAAGTGATAAATTACCTCCTACTGGAGCAGAGATGCTTCCTCGAACCGCACGTCCAACGTAAATTCATTAACCACTGCAGAGAGGGAAATAAAAGGGATGATCAGCGACAGTTTGTTTTGTGGTCAGATTTGGTTTAAACAGGATGCAATGACATGCAATGAAGCGGGTTTCACACATCTGCACTGTTACTGTAAATAACGGTATACATGCAGTGATTACATTTCTCCCCATATTTTGAAAGCATAACCTTAGTAGGAGCCATTTTATGGGTGTTGTTGGTGTCTCAGTTTACTTTAATTTATATGTATAGTGCAATATTATTTTTGAACACTTGGTGGCGGGGTTTAGCTGCACCGGGTGTATAAAAGCGGTCATAGGTGACAGGAGATGACGAGGACACAGGAGGAAGAGCATACCGATTCTACCAGCCCCGGCGGATGCTCACCACAACTATTGACACAGTGTACTTAAACCTTGGTATGTAAAGCAATAAAACATCATTCTAAACTGCAGCAAAAGACCGGCAATTCATCTGTTTGTGTCTGCGTCAGGATCCCTCTAAACCCTCCTGTGAAGTAATGGCAAAAGGATATAGGACATTGGAACATTAAAATTGCCATTACAACCTTTTTGAACTGCAGTGGTGATGTGGCTTTCTTGATTTGTTTCCACTACTTTGGGTGTTTCCGTTTTGGTAAGCCTCCAAAGCATTGTTACATATCCTCTTTGTCCTTTTATATCACAGCAGCAGCACAGCTTCCTTATTCATTTCTTCTCTCACGCTGTGGACACATTTAGCTGCTGAGATCAGGTTTATAATCCTGTCCAATGCAAAGCACCCAAACACCTGAGGCAGAAAGCAAATAGCCTCTCTTTCCAATAAGTAGTTTGCATCTAAGTTTGGATGATCTAAAATTAGCTAGTAGGGATGGAAAATGACTTTATATGAGTGTTGCATGATTTGAACTACTGTTAAAAAAAGTGGGTCGAATAAGGTCAAGTCATTTCAGGTCAGCTGCATGTTGTCCTTTTACTAAAAACACTCTGTGCAGAGAACTCTCTTGAGGTCAAGACATTGATCTCAAACATATCCGTGTCAGTGTTAGAGCAGACAGTCTGTGACTTCCTGTGGAGTTCATGTTAGCTCACCGTCTCTGTGTGTGGTGCTGCTGGTGGTGTGGTTGAGCGGGGGTCCTCTGTCTCTGCAGGGCGGGACCGTCCACAGATCCTCTTCAACACACTGAGGACACACAGTTAAATATCAAATAAGTTAAATATCCAAAGTTTGTTTTCATATCATGTTCACAACTATGGTGTAGTATGTAATGCATACAGGTTCCTCAACAGTGCATTTACAGGATGTCAATTACATTTAAAAAAACAACAACGATAAAAATAGTGCAAGCTCAGCATGTGGTCTTATGGCCTGTGGGATAAAACTGTCTCTGAGTCTGCTCGATGTCTCTGAGAACTTAAATTAGTACTAGCTTTTCAAAGTCACAGCTTTATTCACCTCACACTTATTGTGTAACTTCCTGCAGTGTTAAACGATGGTAATACTTTTGTTTAGTATCAACCTTAAACAGCATACATTCACATTAAACACCTGAACTTTTGAAACAACATCCATAACATTCATCTGGCTGCAACTTAGAAATGATTTATCTCATATATCATATTCCCAATCACTTGTATATAGACTCTTATTGCACTATTTTACTACTTTGTATTTACTTGCACTATTTTTCTGTCTTTCTTCTGTTTATTGTGTTGCGCTGTAGGGAGAGCCTGTGACCTCAGATTGTTATCGTCATAACTACACTGTAGCTATGTACGTATGATTAAACGTATGACTAATAAAAGCCTTGAACCATAACGGATACTACACTGATAAGTATTATACTGTTAAGAATTGCTTAGGAAATATTCTGCTGATGTTCAAGGTGTATATCAGTATGTAGTGGTCCGCTTACTTTAAAGAGTCCTCTCCTGCTGATGTTCAGGTGTATATCAGTAGGTAGTGTCTCTACTTTAAAGAGTCCTCTCCCTCTGATGTTCAGGTGTAATTATCAGTATGTAGTGTCCTCTACTTTAAAGAGTCCTCTCCTGCTGATGTTCAGGTGTATATCAGTATGTAGTGTCTCTACTTTAAAGAGTCCTCTCCTGCTGATGTTCAGGTGTATATCCAGTATTGCAGTGTCTCTACTTTAAAGAGTCCTCTCCTGTTGATGTTCAGGTGTATATCAGTATGGCAGTGTCTCTACTTTAAAGAGTCCTCTCCTGTTGATGTTCAGGGTGTATATCAGTATGTAGTGTCTCTACTTTAAAGAGTCCTCTCCTGTTGATGTTCAGGTGTATATCAGTTGTAGTGTCCTCTACTTGAAAGAGTCTCTCCTGTTGATGTTCAGGTGTATATCAGTATGTAAGTGTTCTACTTTAAAGAGTCCTCTCCTGTTGATGTTCAGGTATATATCAGTATGTAGTGTCTCTACTTTAAAGAGTCCTCTCCGGTTGATGTTCAGAGTGTATATCAGTATGTAGTGTCTCTACTTTAAAAGAGTCCTCTCCTGCTGATGCTCAGCTGTATATCAGTGTGTAGTGTCTCTACTTTAAAGAGTCCTCTCCTGCTGATGTTCAGGTGTATATCAGTGTTGTAGTGGTCTCTACTTTAAAGAGTCCTCTCTGCTGATGCTCAGCTGTATATCAGTGTGTAGTGTCTCTACTTTAAAGAGTCCTCTCCTGCTGATGTTCAGGTGTTTATCAGTATGCAGTGTCTCTACTTTAAAGAGTCCTCTCCTGCTGATGCTCAGCTGTATATCAGTGTGTAGTGTCTCTACTTTAAAGAGTCCTCTCCTGCTGATGTTCAGGTGTATATCAGTATGTAGTGTCTCTACTTTAAAGAGTCCTCTCCTGCTGATGTTCAGGTGTATATCAGTATGTAGTGCCTCTACTTTAAAGAGTCCTCTCCTGCTGATGTTCAGGTGTATATCAGTATGTAGTATCTCTACTTTAAAGAGTCCTCTCCTGCTGATGTCCAGGTGTATATCAGTATGTAGTGCCTCTACTTTAAAGAGTCCTCTCCTGCTGATGTTCAGGTGTATATCAGTATGTAGTGTCTCTACTTTAAAGAGTCCTCTCCTGCTGATGTTCAGGTGTATATCAGTATGTAGTGTCTCTACTTTAAAGAGTCCTCTCCTGCTGATGTTCAGGTGTATATCAGTATGTAGTGTCTCTACTTTAAAGAGTCCTCTCCTGCTGATGTTCAGGTGTATATCAGTATGTAGTGTCTCTACTTTAAAGAGTCCTCTCCTGCTGATGTTCAGGTGTATATCAGTATGTAGTGTCTCTACTTTAAAGGAGTCCTCTCCTGCTGATGTTCAGGTGTATATCAGTATGTAGTGTCTCTACTTTAAAGAGTCCTCTCCTGCTGATGTTCAGGTGTATATATCAGTGTGTAGTCTCTACTTTAAAGAGTCCTCTCCCTGCTGATGTTCAGGTGTATATCAGTATGTAGTGTCTCTACTTTAAAGAGTCCTCTCCTGCTGATGTCCAGGTGTATATCAGTGTGTAGTGTCTTCTACTTTAAAGAGTTCCTCTCCTGCTGATGTTCAGGTGTATATCAGTATGTAGTGTTTCTACTTTAAAGAGTCCTCTCCTGCTGATGTTCAGGTGTATATCAGTATGTAGTGTCTCTACTTTAAAGAGTCCTCTCCTGCTGATGTTCCGGTGTATATCAGTATGTAGTGTCTCTACTTTAAAGAGTCCTCTCTCCTGCTGATGTCCAGGTGTATATCAGTATGTAGTGTCTCTACTTTAAAGAGTCCCTCTCCTGCTGATGTTCAGGTTGTATATCAGTATGTAGTGTCTCTACTTTAAAGAGTCCTCTCCTGCTGATGTCCAGGTGTATATCAGTATGTAGTGTCTCTACTTTAAAGAGTCCTCTCCTGGCTGATGTTCAGGTGTATATCAGTATGTAGTGTCTCTACTTTAAAGAGTCCTCTCCTGCTGATGTTCAGGGTGTATATCAGTATGTAGTGTCCTCTACTTTAAGAGTCCTCTCCTGCTGATGTTCAGGTGTATATCAGTATGTAGTGTCTCTACTTAAAGAGTCCTCTCCTGCTGATGTTCAGGTGTTATATCGTATGTAGTGTCTCTACTTTAAAGAGTCCTCTCCTGCTGATGTTCAGGTGTTATATCAGTATGTAGTATCTCTACTTTAAAGAGTCCTCTCCTGCTGATGTTCAGGTGTATATCAGTGTCTCTACTTTAAAGAGTCCCTCTCCTGCTGATGTTCCAGGTGTATATCAGTGTGTAGTGTCTCTACTTTAAAGAGTCCTCTCCTGCTGAGTTCAGGTGTATATCAGTATGTAGTGTTCTACTTTAAAGAGTCCTCTCCCCTGCTGATGTTCAGGTGTATATCATAGTATGTCGTGTTTATCTTTAAAGAGTCCTCTCCTGATGATGTTCAGGTGTATATCAGTATGTAGTGTCTCCTACTTTAAAGAGTCCCCTCTCCTGCTGATGTCCAGGTGTATATCAGTGTGTAGTGTCTCTACTTTAAAGAGTCCTCTCCTGCTGATGTCCAGGTGTTATATCAGTATGTAGTGTCTCTACTTTAAAGAGTCCTCTCCTGCTGATGTTCCAGGTGTATATCAGTAGTGTAGTGTCTCTACTTTAAAGAGTCCTCTCCTGCTGATGTTCAGGTGTATATCAGTATGTAGTGTCTCTACTTTAAAGAGTCCTCTCCTGCTGATGTTCAGGTGTATATCAGTATGTAGTGTCTCTACTTTAAAGAGTCCTCTCCTGCTGATGTTCAGGTGTATATCAGTATGTAGTGTCTACTTTAAAGAGTCCTCTCCTGCTGATGGTCAGCTGTATATCAGTATGTTAGTGTCTCTACTTTAAAGAGTCCTCTCCTGCTGATGTTCAGGTGTATATCCAGTATGTAGTGTCCTCTACTTTAAAGGTCCTCTTCCTGCTGATGTTCATGTTGTATATCAGTATGTAGTGTCTCTACTTTAAAGAGTCCTCTCCTGCTGATGTTCAGGGGTATATCAGTATGTAGTGTCTCTACTTTAAAGAGTCCTCTCCTGCTGATGTTCAGGTGTATATCAGTATGTAGTTGTCTCTACTTTAAAGAGTCCTCTCCTGCTGATGTTCCAGGTGTATATCAGTATGTAGTGTCTCTACTTTAAAGAGTCCTCTCCTGCTGATGTTCAGGTGTATATCAGTATGTAGTGTCTCTACTTTAAAGAGTCCCTCTCTGCTGATGTTCAGGTGTATATCAGTATGTAGTGTCTACTTTAAAGAGTCCTCTCCTGCTGATGTTCAGGTGTATATCAGTATGTAGTGTCTCTACTTTAAAGAGTCCTCTCCTGCTGATGTTCAGGTGTGTATATCAGTATGTAGTGTCTCTACTTTAAAGAGTCCTCTCCTGCTGATGTTCAGGTGTATATCAGTATGTAGTGTCTCTACTTTAAAGAGTCCTCTCCTGCTGATGTTCAGGTGTATATCAGTATGTAGTGTCTCTACTTTAAAGAGTATCTCCTGCTGATGTTCAGGTGTATACAGTATGTAGTGTCTCTACTTTAAAGAGTCCTCTCCTGCTGATGTTCAGGTGTATATCAGTATGTAGTGTCTCTACTTTAAAGAGTCCTCTCCTGCTGATGTTCAGGTGTATATCAGTATGTAGTGTCTCTACTTTAAAGGTCCTCTCCTGCTGATGTTCAGGTGTATATCAGTATGTAGTGTCTCTACTTTAAAGAGTCCTCTCCCTGCTGATGTTCAGGTGTATATCAGTATGTAGTGTCCTCTACTTTAAAGAGTCCTCTCCTGCTGATGTTCAGGTGTATATCAGTATGTAGTGTCTCTACTTTAAAGAGTCCTCTCCTGCTGATGGTTCAGGTGTATATCAGTATGTAGTGTCTCTACTTAAAGGGTCCTCTCCTGCTGATGTTCAGGTGTATATCAGTATGTAGTGTCTTTACTTTAAAGAGTCCTCTCCTGCTGATGTTCAGGTGTATATCAGTATGTAGTGTCTCTACTTTAAAGAGTCCTCTCCTGCTGATGTTCAGGTGTATATCAGTATGTAGTGTCTCTACTTTAAAGAGTCCTCTCCTGCTGATGTTCAGGTGTATATTCAGTATGTAGTGTCTCTACTTTAAAGAGTCCTCTCCTGCTGATGTTCAGGTGTATATCAGTATGTAGTGTCTCTACTTTAAAGAGTCCTCTCCTGCTGATGTTCAGGTGTATATCAGTATGTAGTGTCTCTACTTTAAAGAGTCCTCTCCTGCTGATGTTCAGGTGTATATCAGTATGTAGTGTCTCTACTTTAAAGAGTCCTCTCCTGCTGATGTTCAGGTGTATATCAGTATGTAGTGTCTCTACTTTAAAGAGTCCTCTCCTGCTGATGTTCAGGTGTATATCAGTATGTAGTGTCTCTACTTTAAAGAGTCCTCTCCTGCTGATGTTCAGGTGTATATCAGTATGTAGTGTCTCTACTTTAAAGAGTCCTCTCCTGCTGATGTTCAGGTGTATATCAGTATGTAGTGTCTCTACTTTTAAAGAGTCCTCTCCTGCTGATGTTCAGGTGTATATCCAGTATGTAGTGTCTCTACTTAAAGAGTCCTCTCCTGCTGATGGTTCAGGTGTATATCAGTATGTAGTGTCTCTACTTTAAAGAGTTCCTCTCCTGCTGATGTTCAGGTGTATATCAGTATGTAGTGTCTCTACTTTAAAGAGTCCTCTCCTGCTGATGTTCAGGTGTATATCAGTATGTAGTGTTCTCTACTTTAAAGAGTCCTCTCCTGCTGATGTTCAGGTGTATATCAGTATGTAGTGTCTCTACTTTAAAGAGTCCTCTCCTGCTGATGTTCAGGTGTATATCAGTATGTAGTGTCTCTACTTTAAAGAGTCCTCTCCTGCTGATGTTCAGGTGTATATCAGTATGTAGTGTCTCTACTTTAAAGAGTCCTTTTCTGCTGATGTTCAGGTGTATATCAGTATGTAGTGTCTCTACTTTAAAGAGTCCTCTCCTGCTGATGTTCAGGTGTATATCAGTATGTAGTGTCTCTACTTTAAAGAGTCCTCTCCTGCTGATGTTCAGGTGTTATATCAGTAATGTAGTGTCTCTACTTTAAAGAGTCCTCTCCTGCTGATGTTCAGGTGTATATCAGTATGTAGTGTCTCTACTTTAAAGAGTCCTCTCCTGCTGATGTTCAGGTGTATATCAGTATGTAGTGTCTCTACTTTAAAGAGTCCTCTCCTGCTGATGTTCAGGTGTATATCAGTATGTAGTAGTCTCTACTAAAGAGTGACTCTCCTGTTGATGTTCCATGGTGTATATCAGTAGTGTAGTGTCTCTACTTTAAAAGTAGTCCTCTCCTGCTGATGTTCAGGTGTATATCCAGTATGTAGTGCTTTCTACTTTAAAGAGTTCCTCTCCTGCTGATGTTCAGAGTGTATATCAGCTTGTAGTGTTCTCTACTTTAAAGAAGTCCTCTCTCTGCTGATGTTTCAGGTGTATTCAGTGATGTATGTGTTCCTCTACTTTAAAGAGTCCTCTACTGCTGATCGTCAGGTGTATATCAGTATGTAGTGTCTCTACTTTAAAGAGTCTTCTCCTGCTGATGTTCAGGTGTATATCAGTATGTAGTGTCTCTTACTTAAAGAGCCTCTCCTGCTGATGTCCAGGTGTATATCAGTGTGTAGTGTAGTGTCTCTACTTTAAAGAGTTCTCCCTGCTGATGTTTAGGTGTATATCAGTATGTAGATGTCTCTACTCTATTACAAGAGTCCTCTCTGCTGGATGTTCAGAGTGTATATCAGTATGTAGTGTCCTCTACTTAAAGAGTCCTCTCCTGCTGATTGTTCAGGTAGTACATCAGTATGTAGTGTCTCTACTTTTAAAGAGTCCTCTCCTGCTGATGTTCAGGTGTATATCAGTATGTAGTGTCTCTACTTTAAAGAGTCCTCTCCTGCTGATGTTCAGGTGTATATCAGTATGTAGTGTCTCTACTTTAAAGAGTCCTCTCCTGCCTGATGTTCAGGTGTATATCAGTATGTAGTGTTTCTACTTTAAAGAGTCCTCTCCTGCTGATGTTCAGGTGTATATCAGTATGTTAGTGTCTCTACTTTAAAGAGTCCTCTCCTGCTGATGTTCAGGTGTATATCAGTATGTAGTGTCTCTACTTTAAGAGTCCCTCTCCTGCTGATGTCCAGGTGTATATCAGTGTGTAGTGTCTCTACTTTAAAGAGTCCTCTCCTGCTGATGTTTGGTGTATATCAGGTATGTAGTGTCTCTACTTTAAAGAGTCCTCTCCTGCTGATGTTCAGGTGTATATCAGTATGTAGTGTCTCTACTTTAAAGAGTCCTCTCCTGCTGATGTTCAGGTGATACATCAGTATGTAGTGTCTCTACTTTAAAGAGTCCTCTCCTGCTGATGTTCAGGTGTATATCAGTATGTAGTGTCTCTACTTTAAAGAGTCCTCTCCTGCTGATGTTCAGGTGTATATCAGTATGTAGTGTATCTACTTTAAAGAGTCCTCTCCTGCTGATGTTCAGGTGTATATCAGTATGTAGTGTCTCTACATGTCTCCATGCTTTAATGTTCAAAAAGCTCTGTATTTTTCTCATACTGCCTGTGCTGCAGCACCTCTTTTCTGAAACCAGAGCCCAGTCTGCTCTGATTGGTTAGCTGGTCGGCTCTGTTGTGATTGATCAACCACTTAGAGATGTCCCGCCCCTTAGCCTATCATGTACAATGTGTTGGAGCGCTAGCCAATACAAGCACGCGTGTATAGTGACTCTGGAGGGATTGTAGCCTTTGCAGTAAACATGCAATCAAGCTATATAACACACTATGACAAAGGGGGAACAACAAGAAGCACAACAGGGCCTCTTTAAGAAGTGAAAAGTATTAACAGCAGAATGTACTCAAAGCAATAAAGTAAAAGTACTTTGATTAGTATCATATTTTATAACTTGATCAAATGTTGTGTTTATGCAAATCCTTAATCAATGAAGTAACCTGAGCTCAGATACATGTAGCCTCTGAGATATAGAGTAGAAGTAGCAGAGAGCAGTATGTATCATCTCACCAGCTGTGAGGTGACCTCCTCCTCCTTTATCTGCTTGACCTGGCTGGCGTCGCTGCTCTCGTCATCGTCGTCGTCGTCGCTGCTGCTCCTCCTCCTCCTCTTAGACCTCTTGGCGACTTTTGCTCTGCATTTCTTTTCTGGAGCCATCACATCTAAACAGATACATGTCAAAGATATCAATAAAGCACAACCAGTAGGTCAGGGGTTTATGAATACGGAAAGAAGGGTTTGCTGTCGTCAAAGTAAACGTTATTGTCCCAGAAGACCAAGTTGGCTGAACTTTTCACCTCAGAAAGAAAATTCACTCCCCTGCTGACTCAGCAAAACAGCCAACGTGATAATACAGAGAAGTCACTTGATCCGCCTTCCTGTGGTTTAATGTATCATGAGTGCAGATACATTTCAGGAAAACAAGAAATAGTAAAGTAAGCAAAGTAGATGGTGACACTTTTAAGACGGCACAACTCCATCCAAAACCATTCTCCAAATATTTGAAGTGAGAAGCCAGATCATTGATAAGGAAGGTAAAGCAATCTGAATTGTACTTTGCCCCTTTCTCCCTGGGTTACCATGTACAGTAACTCATGGTAATAGTACAGCTTCAAACTAAAGAGCGAAGCCTTACGTAATAAGTCCTCGATGCACAATAAAACAGATTTAAACAGAGAGGAGGTAAAGGTCAGTACTACAGAGGAGCATGTTTTACACGAGGGCATTAAAGAGCGCAGAGCAAACAGCAGAGCTTGTAAAAAGCTTCCAGCTGATGTCAGGTGGACCACAGGTCTGCAGACATTTTACATATTGTTGTTGTTGACTTACAATGAGCTGAATGTAAGGGCTGAACCACAAGGAAGCACCAGGTGAAAACGTCTGGCTTCATTCTTGAAACTGTGGAACGTTTGAATAACTACAAAGGCTAAAGCAAGAGTATTAGAGCTACAAGGAGGAAGAGAGTGGACGTGATTCAGCGTGGGAAAACATGAAGAGGTTTTGTATGAGAACAGTAACAGATGGGGAGTGACGGGAGGAAGTCCATCGCGACACAAGCAGGAGAGGTTTCTAAAGTCACATTGTGTCACTTGAAATGAGTGTTTGGTGCTGATGTTAACAGGGTGTGAGTCTGTGTGCTGAGTGGCAACAGGCTAAGAATACAAGTGTAATCACAGCCTGCAAATATCAAATATGTCCCCCTCTTAGGATGAAGCTGCAGATTGGCTAACAAAACGAAAAATAGCTTGAGACCAAAAGGTCAAGTTTCTAGCTCTCAATGTTATTCATTTTTGTAAAGCACTTTGAAATGCCTTCAACGTGTAAACATGTCCCCTATGACTAGTATACTATTATATACCATATCATTTGCATGTTAAGACCTTATATATACAGTCTATGGTTAAGACTCATGCATGAATGGGTTTTTTCACGCAGAGCCAATTGCCTTAATATTGAGGCAGTTTTTTTCCATACACGTTGCATTTCAAGCCTCATGTTGCTGCTGATAGTCTTATCAAAATATATCCTTCCCCTCTGCTGGCCCCCTGACAGATTAAATAATACAACAGTGGCGAGCCGTCAGGGCCCTCACAGAGGGCCTAGAAGTTTTAATAGTTTTTAAAATATTTTTTTGTTGTTACATTTTTCATTAATTTTACCAAAATAACTTGATTTAATTGTATTTAAAATAATATTTCCAAAGAAATAAATCCTTCGAATCCGCCTGTTCAGTTTCTGTTGGAATGTGAAGGGTTAAATGCCGTCTCTGCGAGTTACTGTGAAGACGGGAGAGCTTGTTGGTCCCTCTCTACATTCACAGAGGGCCCGCTATAGTAACTCAATGAGAGAGTAATGTCAAATGACAGTACAATTGACCAATCATATCTTCCCTCTAAATGGGCGGGCTTTATTTTCGCGGACTTTATGACAAGTTCCGCCCGCTGTGAGGTCTATGCAAGTGGTGCAGTGACGCGTCCTAAAACCCGGAAAGTAAGCTTCGCTCGGATCCCTCGACAGAAAGCAACGGGATTTCTCCATAGGATTTTGGAAATAGCTCGAAATAAGGTCTGTGGAAAACGAACCTGTAGATAAATGCACGTTGTGTTCAGCCGGATAATATCCACATGTCTATCCTACTTTATTATTTTGAATCATAAATCTAATCGATAGATTTATGATCGATAGGTGATGGCTCACTTCAGTGATAGTGATGACATCGTTGCGAAATTATTAACCGAGTCATTTTCAAGATTGAGTTACAATGATAAACTTGAGTGGCAAAGGATCAGCTGAATGACCCGCAAGTGCTTCATCCAAAAGGACAGGAGGATGGACTTTGTGTTTCAGTGATTTATCATCAGAGGTAGGCCTAAGTCATTTTCAATGCGGGCCGCCGTGCCGACTTAATTCATTTGTAATTGCTACTTGGCTGTGGGTGCCCTGTCATGATAGGTGTTTATATAAATGATGTTGTTTTGTGTGGTAGAGGGTCGCTGTCATTGATGCGTCTTGCACCCCGGACCACTGTTTTGATATTCCGCTGAAGTCTACGTTGAGACGTAATATCTCTTCTTTTTTTTCGAGGGAAGGGGGGGTCAGAGGGCCTAGGTATAAAAGTCACGGCTCGCCACTGTAATACAAGGACATCTGAATCATCATTCATCCGAAATGGAGAGAAAACAATTGATAAAAAAGAACATTCAAACTGGTTTCCTACATCTGTTTTATCACTCTTCTGCTTTTTGAAAGCAAATGTTGTCCCAATACTTTTAGTTTTGTCGTAACAGGTTACTTTGCAGAGTCAGATTATCATTACAAAATATACAAGTCAACTGGTACTATTTAGGGAACCTAGATGCAACATTAAACAATCACTTGTATAACCTAATTTATATTGTTCTGTAAAAAGACATGAGTAATGAGTACTTTCATTATGTTCTAATGCTAATATGTTTATACTTAAATCAAATGAATGCAGGATTTTTACATGTAGCATAGTATTTCTACACTGTGGTATTAGTACTTTTACTTTACTCAAATATCTTCTTTCTCCACTGTAACTTGCACAGTCATTATGAAGCTACAGTGTAAACAACATTAAGATAACCTCTCTGTTATTCGTGCTCACAACCTCTCAGTCTCTACCTCATGCAGGTCAGTCCATGTTTATCTGGACGTTGCTAGGAGGAGGTGAAGAAGGCATCGAAAGGTAAGCCACATGTTTTATATTTTGTTTGTTCATTCATCCGTCTATAAAACCTCAAAGTGTTAGAAAACAGGGCCATTACCCTTTCTCAGAGCTTCAAATGATTGCATTGTCTGATCCAACATTCAAAGAAATGTAATAACTCTCTGAAAATAAATAAATCAAATAGATAATAACTGTAACTCCACAAACTAATATCAACCAGTTCCCAAAAATGTGCTGAAACTAACCATTATCATATAAAAACCATTATCGTTGGAGGTAGCAAGTCTAAAAGTAAGTATTTTATAGCAGAGCGTTTGCTGCAAACTCTTCTAACTTTGCAAATATTGTATATGATGTATTTGTTGCTTATTGACAGCAAGCCAATGAAGCATTACTAGCAGTCACTTTGAAACGCTTTTCCCCACTGCGCCCTTTTTTGGTAAATCTTAATCTCCATCCCTGTGTGTCAAAGTCTGAGATCTCTAAATCTGTGCAGTGTGTGTAGAAATAGTGTGTGTAGGAGGCTGAGGTCTCACTCTGCTCGCTGACGGGCACCAGGCGGTACACCTTGTAGGGCTCGGAGATGTCCAGCTGGGCTCGCTCCATCACCTCCATGAACTCGGTGCTCTTGTTGAGGGCGCAGCGCAGGCGCGTCTTCCAGGAGGCCGGGTTGTCCTGGCTCCCGTCCGTCAGCTTGCCTTTGAACACGGCCCACGCCTGCGGAGACAAAGACGCCACAAAACTCTGTTGAGTGCCATTTCAGAGACTCTGGATTATGAATTAGGTGATTTATTTAAGAGGGCTGTTGACCTTGAAGATGGCGGCGTCCTCGTCTTTACGGAAGTCCTGTTTCCCTGCGTGTTTCCACGGGATGCGGAACATCGTTTTTGCATCGTCGTCCCACATCAGCCCTGGGAATTTCTCACTGCTGACCTGCAGCCAAAAGGTAAGCCAGATGTTTTCTATTTTGTTATTTTCATTGTTAATCTATCTGTCTATACAATCTCAGAAACCTATTTATAATGTAAAATGCATACATTTTCTAAATCTATCTTTTTGAAGGTTGTTCATTTATTTGTTTAACTCGTAATTTAAATGGTAAACACCAATTAACCAATCCAGAAGATAAGGAATCCTTAGTTTAAGTCATATACAGTATAAAACTACTTATTGTTACTTTACCAACACATATTTGAAGTATGGCACCAATTAATTGATTGACAGACTGGCAACCATTTTTCATGTCATAAGGGTTCATATTTGGTATTTTCCCTTTAACTCATTTGAACTGATTACTAATAATGCGGAGACTTTGACTGGTGCTTGGACAAAACAAGCATTGTTAAGGTTTCACAACATTTCCAACTGTTTCTACAAACCAGTCAACTAATACTGCATGAGTATTAATGGTATTAACAGATGAATCCATAATGAAAGTAATCATTTGATAATAGTTAAAACATTAGCTTGACCTCAACCTAACACTGAAATCCTGCTTTACATTAAGCATGAGTAATAATAAGTTATAACATAATATATAATTGAACTACTTTTGAGTACTTCAGTAAAGTATAATTGAAATGCAGTGTTTTTCCAGGCTCCAACACTGATGCAGTTAATTGTTTGTTTAATGTCACTAGAGCCCATTATCTCTCTATTTCGTCTCCCCCTCCCTCTGCCTCACACACACGTTTTTTTTAACAAAACAACACGCACACACACACTTTTTTAACAAAACACACTTTTTTTAACACACACACACCTGTTCGACGATCCACGAGCGCAGTCTGCGCGTGGAGCGTGTTCTCGCTCCTGCCATGGCTCTTTAAGACTGAAAACACAGACAACACAATAACAAACCACTACCAGACTCGTGTTACTTCCCATCATATCCTTCCCTTGACACTTTAATAACACTTAAGCATTTACAAAAAACATATAATGATACAAATATAACAGTGAAAAGTGTAAACGTCGATTTGATGTAATGCAAATATAGACTTAGGACTCGTGTGTACAGTGTTATTCTACCCCCGGGACTATAAGCAAACAGATATCACACAATAAATATATTCCTGCGCTTTTATTACATGCAGGTTTGTTTAGGAACAAAAACATGCTTCTAAATTATAACTGACTGTGATATGAATACATATATTAAATATAGACGGATAGGTGTTATAAGGAAGTAGCTTTGAGTTTCGTTTACCTCGGTTTTGTTTCCTCCCGTGCCGCGGACTGAGACTGCTCACGGGCTGCGGTCTGGACGCTGCTGTCTCTCCGCGAGGCGCTCCTTTTCCCAGAAATCACGTGACTTTGAGGAAACCCTTTGTGTCATCCACCAGGGGGCGACAAAGGTAACCAGATACTTTACAGATAATACACTGAAATTCATTCCTTTTATTGACATGATACATCATGACCACAAGTTTTTTTTCGACATACTAAATGTACGATGACTTACGATGACTTTTTAAATATGATTTTAAAACGTTTGTCACCATTTTTCCGGATATACTATATTTTATCTTTTAACATACTGATTTTCTATACACTGTAATTTGAATGTTTTTTATATGTTTTGACGTACAGTATGTCGTTTCTTTCATTTACGACATACTATACTATGTATTTTTGGAGAAGCAGGCCCATTATAACTTGACTCAGGAATGTCAAACTAACCAACTAATTTGTTTATTGTTTGTATTCTTTATATATGAAGAAGAAAGGAACAAAACAGACAGCAGAACATTTAATGTGTCTTTTATTAAAAGTATCAACATTCTTACTATTAATATATAATTTTGCACAATATTTTACATACATTTCCGAAAAGAGGCTCTTCTTTAAAGTGCAAAAGATAAATCGGCTAAATGTCATATTCATATAAGATCGTGTACCCTATCCTGCATATAATTCCTTTACATTTATAAAAATGTTAAAAACTGTCTGATAAATTGAGATGAAAATCACCAAGGAACAAAATATTCCTTTTATCATGAGTATCAACATGTTTCATCTTCAAATGTGAGAGAAGGAACAGACAAAGGCTTCAGATAAGATAAAAGATCACAAACGAGAAACCGCTGTCCCCAATTAAATGTTCCTCATTTTGTTTTGTCACACGGACACTCCTATGAGTCACACATCTTTTCAGAGTGACTGTAAATGACTTTGCAGATTAAAATCGGCCCGAGCTGCATCTTGTGGTTTGAGTGATTTGCTTTCCAGACATTTATTTGTTTCTTGGAACTTTTTCTCCAAGAGGGACCTCCATCAGTTTCTGTGTTGTAAAACAAAGAAAAATAACAGATGCCAAGTTTTAAAACATAGAAAACATCATAGCCACTTCTTTGCAATACATATTTAACACTAATGCTTTCTTCTGTAGGAACCTTGAGAAGAGACGGGAAAATAAAGCCCCGGCCACACTAGGACGATAACGCAAACGGACCGCAATCGTTATCAAAAAAGTCTTCCATCCACACGCACCAGAAACGTGTCCGTTCACATGAGACCGCTCAAAAGCGCTGGAGACGCTGTAGTACATATGCCAGGCTGTAAATAGGCTTGTTTGAGACAAGCGAGACCGACGCAGACCTGCACAATTGCGATCAACGTCTTGCTAGTGCGTTGCATGATGGTTAGTAATTTTGTCCTACTTGCTCTGGAGGCTCGCCTACATGAGACGTTGAAATCTCGCGGGACAAAGACGCCCGCAGCCTTGAGAGCGAGGCGAGGCGGCGCAGTTGCTCTCCACGGGCTGCGGAAGCTAAATGCTTGATGGGAAACGACTCGCTGGTATCTCGAGCTGAGCGCTCATTGGTGGTTTTTACCACGTGCTGCTGATGAAACTCTCCAATTGGCTCGGCTAAAGTTTGTTGTTGTTTTGTGTCAGTTTTACGTCGCCACATCCATTCCCATTTTTCATCATTGTTTCACAATATTTATCATTAAATTAATATCCATATATTATATACTTGCACTGCTTACCGTTTTCATACTTTATATATCTTAGCATATTCATACACACTGTTCATACTGCTCTCAGGCTGCTGTGTATATCTAGTGTATTCATAGCCCTCACTGTTTATTCATCATTCAATTCATTCTATATTTTATTCTATAGGTTGTGTACATTACATTTCACTTTACTGCTTGTTGCACCTGGTTAGAAGCTAAACTGCATTTCGTTGTCTCAGTACCTGTAATATGTGCAATAACAATAAAGTTGAATCTAATCTGGAGCAGGAACACATTTATTTACTTAGTACATATCTGACATTAACGATTAAACACATTTGTGCATTCTTTGCGCTCAACAATGGAACCGCTGCACTGAATCGGATTAGCAGCTTCATCATCGAAGTGTGATGTAATGTTTTTAGTGTCTGCAGAACGTTCCTTCTTTTAAAATGTTCGATCTGGACCAATCCCCCTGACCTCTGTGGCAGGAGAAAGATGCCTCTCACCTTAATAAGTCGAGCCTGGTAGACATTATCGTCCTCGTTCTCTCCCTTCTGCTCGTCCACCTGGTATCTCTCACAGGCTCGAATGAGCTCCGGAGTATCGTAGAGCAGCGCGGGGTCCAGAGAGTGAGCGTTGATCAGACTCACCAGGTACTCCCTGTAGTGTCTCCTGTGGGAACACAGACCTTTGGTTAAAGACTAAGTTAAGAAATGTGAAAGCAAAAAAGTAGTAAATGAAGTGAGTAAAAAATGTCGAACCATTTGAAAAAAGGTCATAGTATTTTATGTGGAGGCTTATATATTATAAGGCTTGTTATAGCAAGTTGAAAAAAGACAAAGGCTTCAGAGAAGATAAAAGATCAAACGAGAAACAGCTGTCACCAATTAAATGTTCCTCATTTGACACTCCTATGAGTCACACATGTTTTCAGAGTGACTGTAAATGACTTTGCAGATCATTAAAATCAGCCCGAGCTGCATCTTGTGGTTTGAGCGATGTTTGAGTATGTCGATAAAAAGGACAAACAACTAGGGTTGCCAACCGTCCCGTATTAGCCGGGACGCCCCGTATTTGAGCCAAAAGGGGCGTGTCCCGTACAGGACTTTATTTGTCCCGGACTGATTGATTGATTGAAAAGTTTATTAACAGCTTGTATATTGGGTACAGTACAGAACAGCTCAAAACATACAATTGTTAAGGGGATGCAGACCAGAGAAAGACTTTCGTCTTGTTTACATCAGGGTCCCCCATGACGTGACTCCCGTGTAAAGGGAAACATAAAAAATATGTTTCTGTTTGCGCGCAATGCAGTGTGTCTGGCTGCGTGCCTGTGTGTTTGTGTGCTGTATGCGAAGGGCGCTAGGACCGCTCAGTTGACAGGGCAGGCACAATGTGTGTGTGTGTGTGTGTGTGTGTGAGAGAGTCAGTCAGCTGATTGATGGGAAAATGCTGGGGAAATGGTTGGTTGAAGGATAACATTAAGTCTAGTAATGATGTACCGTGCATGTTCACATCATGTATACTTTGCATTACTTAATACAATTTTTCAAATATTTTATTTTTTTACATTTTGGAGAAAATAGCCAATTGTACATGGAGGTGCCCAGATGTCCTAGTGCCCACCTATCCGATTTGAACATGCTGATGTACAATGTGATGTAGTAGCCTAATGCAGGTGTAAAACCATTGTGTTTGTATTGTGTTATAGGTATGCATAGTTTTCTATGCATTTTGAGGGTTTTGGGGGTTTGACCCCCAAAAACATTTTCGAACCCTAGGGGCTGGATCCCCCAAAATAATTAAATAACATAACCCTAACCTAACCCTAAAACCGAAATAAAGTAACAAAAAAAAGTAACTAAATCCGCCAGAAACCCGAAATTCTTCGGGCGCGCGGGGGACACATGCATGTGTCCCGTTTCTCCATTTCTGGAAGTTGGCAACCCTAGAAACAACATATACTAAAACCCGAGGTGACAGGGCTGTCAGTAGGCGCGTTCACACCGCAGTACTTTTCCCACTTTAGTTAATCAGAACTCTTTAGTTCTCATGAACTGAGTACAGATCGCGTTCACACCGGAATAAGTCCCTGGGGGTGGATTAGGCAAATTAAGACGCTGACGTCGCTTCTTCTTCTTTGGGTTTACTGGCAGGCCGCAAACAACTTCACGGCGTAGACTGCCGCCCAAATTCCCCGGCCGGAAGTCCCCGGAGTTGGGGACTGATTCCGAGTAAATCGCCAGAACGCCGACACCTCCTCATCTCCACCGCTCCCATGTTTTATTTTGTGTTGCCATAAATTAGTCTCTCTCCGTTTCTGCGCTGGGCTAATGCTAATAATGCAATGCGAGGATAATAAAATGGCGGCTTCACAAAACTTTTTGGGAGTTTTTTACGGGGCGTGGTTTGCAATCCGCCCAGCCAATCAGACATAGGAACCTTTTTCTCCCACGAAAGTCCCTGCTCTCTAGCAGGGACGGAAAAGGGGGTAAAAAGGTTCTCATGAACTAATTTTAGTTCCGGCTCTTTTTGGAACTATATCGGAACTAAAGTGGGAAAAGTACACCGGGTGAACGCGCCTAGTGTTGCAGCTACCAGACTGTGGAACAGCCTCCCAGTACATATCCGGACTGCTGAGTCTATTGAATTTTTTAAATCTCAGCTAAAAACTCACCATTTTGCAAATTACATAAAATACTATGTCGAAAAAAAGTCATAGTATGTGGAAATATTTGAATGTTGTCAAATGTGTTAATTTGAACAAACTAGTTTAAGGTTAATTCAAATTAATTACCTTTTCGGTTACAATACCACATAGTTTAGTAATATTATTTTAAATGGTAATGTCCTGTTAAAGTAGTTGGTGCAGCGCTCCAAGCACTCACTCGCAGAGTCCGGCCTGTCCCGGCTGAGTCTGGTGTCCACACGGGGAATCAATCTGCTGCCCTGCTTCATCCTTCTGCTCCATCAGACCACAGACATCTGGGTGGCAGAGGAGAAGCAAAGGCAACATACATTCATTCAAACAAAAAGGAGCTTTTCAGAGGAGGCACACAAATAAAAAGGAGGCAAAACATTTACTTTAAAAGGGAACGACTTGGAGATTAACATGTTTATTTTATTGTTAAAGTATTATCGAAAAGTGGCTCAAGGAAACCTTTGTCTCAGAAATAGATTTGGGTGAAAGTAAAGGTAGACAATAGACACGTTTTACCAGTTTGTGCTCCATTAGAGGGATCTGTGTTGAACTCCACAGCGCGCTTCTGAGGAACGAAAAGGCAAATTAACAAACATCCTTTTAACATTCAATACAACAACAGCTGGTCATTTATTTATTAAAACAGGAGGAGCATTATTGTTGTGAGTTTTTTCTTCTTTTCCGTCTTTGTTTTGCATCAATATTCCAATGTAATGTTCAGTGTTTCCCACAGAATTTGATTCTATTTGTGGGGGCACCGCACTGCACCCCCACGGCAAGAAAAGCCAAAGGCACCTTAACCTATTCGGGTGGCCCACGCATCCACCCCCCCTCAAATAAGAAAATACATGGGAGTTCATGGCTACTGTAGCAGACAACGTTCTTGTTGCTCTGTGTTGCGTTGTTAATGAGTGAGACACACCGGAGCTGAGGATCTGTGGGGTTTATTCTCCCAAAAATATAATTTACAATTTACAATGTAGGCATTTAGCCGCCTTATTCCAAAGCGACTTACAATGACCAATTACAGGGACATTCTGGAGTAACTGAGGGCTAAGTGCCTTACTCAAGGGCACACTAGTAGTGGTGTTCCAGGCGGGATTTGAACTCGCAACCTTCCGATCATCAGCCCACCTCACTATCCATTAGACCACCAAAATAAAAATATTTATAATTATTTATTTTTGTATGAGATCCACAAATAAATCAATGTATGGGAAACACTGATGTTGTATTTTCAAAGATGTTGTGGTTGATATTATATTTTGTGACAAAAGCCAACGTATGTGTACCTGCAGCAGGGCCTGCAGTCGGGGGGGTTCCCAGTCTCTGAGGTAGAACAGACAGTCCCGGGGGTGATGAGCATGCAGGCCGTTGTAATTGCAACGGGGCGTTTTACAAATTGTCTGCAAGAGAATTACAACAAAAAATACAGGAGCATGTTTTGATGCCGTCAAAAAAGGTTCCAGTCCTTCCAAGAGAAAAACAAATTGAAATGGATTGCCAGATAAAAAACTACTGAGAGACTAGCAGATGTTTAACATCTTGTACAAAAATGAAGACACAACTAAGCATGCAACTAAAGACATGACAGAGAACAGACAACACTTAACAGTTTCTGACCTCATTGCTGCACCAAACAATACGTCTAAAAAGTGTCTCTAAAAATGTAGATATTGCCTTTTTCAAGTCTAATTATTTCTGATATTTTTAAGCACATAAATCAATTAGGAGTCTGTTAAAACTTGAATGAAGACGTGTCTCTTGAGAAGCTCACCTTGTGGTAGGGGTTGTTGCAGCCGCTGCAGAACTGGTACCTGCACTGGGAGCAGCTGAAGTGCATGCAGCCGCCTCTGGTCAGAGCGTACTGGAACTTGCATTGAGGACAGGCTGCGAGAAAACACCACATACTGTCATTGTATGTATTCCAAACAGTGGTGAGGTGTCATGTAACAAAGTACATTATCAAGTCGTTTACTTATATACAGATTTAAGGTAATTGAGACTTTTTGTGCCACTTTCTACTCCACTTGAATTCAACAGAAAACTAAATCAAAATAATGGATACAAACTGCTGTATGGCTTTTTCTAAGTACACGCCTTTTAAATATACATTTTGTCCTTAATTAACCTGTTCAAGGAGTGTTAGTGGCTAGATTTGTGTGTCAACCACCCATAAAGGACATCAATGAGTGTGGTGGTTGATGTATAAACAAAGGTCAGGTGGTTATGTGGTGAGTCTGTGTGTGTGCTCACTGATGCCGTTGTCCCTCAGGAACCCGGCCAGGCCCTGCCTCTGGTACTCGGGGTCATTGTCCCTCTTCCACTGCTGGAACTGCTCACAGGACAGATCCTGGTGCTGGGGCTCCCACTGACAGCAGAGAAAACAGAGCCTTCATGAGAGAGCGCCTCCTCCAAGTCAGTCCACTGAAGAGCAGCCGACGTTTCAAGGCTGAATTCCTAAACAGTATGAAGCTAGACGGGAAGGCGAATGATTCCACACTCAGTTATACTCACAGCTTTCTTGCAGCGAGCGCACAGACTCTTGTTGCAATGAGGGCAGGTGACCTTCAGCTGGTCTCCATCATTGATAAACCCAGAGGTGCACTGAGGAGGAAGAACACATATTTACACCTCCTCCTTTAGTGTACATACGCATGATTTAGTGTCCTTTTATGTACGTTATTATACTCTTATCAATTACAATCTCTTTTTGAGATGAATGCATTTTTATGGATCAAACTTGTTCAATGAAGATATGTGAAATAATAGAGTGTTTCATTTGTTTGTGAGGACAAAAACAAATTAAATTATCAGAAGGAAAAATTCCCTCAGTGAGCTTTGCTTTTTCTTTCATGTAGGATCCCTCTTAGTTGATATCCTTATAGTAGTAAATGCTTACTACACTTTTTTACGTAAACTAATTTCCTGCACCATTGACATTGAATTGTATGTTCCCATAACTTTTCCATTTCAAATCACAGTGTGACTAAAACTACTCTGAGCTCCGGCGGTCCAACAGAGCTAAAAATAGAACTCATTAAAAGGCAAATCTGTACGCGAAGCATGCAAACTACAGGTGGAGGAGGGAGTCAGACTGAAGGCTGGTAACGGGGAGGAACACCAGATCGTGATGAACTCACATGACAGCACCAGAGGAACTTTGGGTCTTTCATCAGCGCGTGCTCAGTCAGCTTTTTATGGAACATATCGTACACGCCTGGCTCAAGGCAGCCCCGCAGCTGAGAAAACAAAACGTCAAAAACTTTCAACAATTAGCATACATCTCATAACCAGTTTACTACTTCCCTACTGTCCCTATTACTTCCCCCAGTGTTTCCCCTTTATATCCTGTAGGGTAGATTCATCTATAGAGAATGCTAAATATTCTCAACGATCATCCAATGTTTGTAGCTTTGTGAGAACTTAAACAGCCCCGTTTTCAGCGTCCGAGAGGTTTTAAATAGTTAAGCTGATATTTGTTATCAACGTACCGTCACTGCTGTATTTCATGTATATACTGTATGTTAAAATCATGGTTAAATCACGAGTTATTTTTACATAATATAGAGAGGATTCATAATAATAATGAATCCTCTTTAGAAGATACATCTTAAAGGGAGACAGTTTTGAAACCTGAAGTGAAGCGGCCAAACAGGACTCTCGTTATAAACAGTGATGTCCTCATGTTTCTCTCGCCTGGTACCTGTATGTCCAGTGTGGAAAAGTAACTGTCCAGCTGTTCGGGGTCGTTGATGTCCGGCTCGCTGCAGATGGGACACACCATGTCTCGGATATGTTTGTCTCTCACGGTGATGTTGAAGTAGGACCCGAAGCATTCGTGGCACACGGAGCACTGACAGGAAGTCAGGGACTGCATCTGGAACACAGAGAAGAAGAAGAAATAAGTAGCTGACGATTATGCAAACTGCTAAATAAAATAACTTGAATATATTCCTAGAAAAGACTAATTTGTTTCTTTCTTTTAGCTCTATTATTGCTTCACCATGCCATTCAGTGTTTTGGTCCATATATGATTTAAATTAGAAAAAGTCATGTATTTAAAGAAGTTGACAAGATAAATATAATTGAATAAAAATGCAATGTGCTGTATAAGCGTCTTAGTTTGAGTTTTGATTCCCCACAGTCCGCACTGTTACACTGTGTCTGAAACGCTGTGGTGTAACCTCTCGACCCTCACCTTGCTGCGGGGGAAGCTGCTCAGACAGCAGGGGCATTCGTTCTTGAGGACACGCCTGATGAAGTCCTTGTCTTGGGACTCCTTCACGGCCTGCACCACGTCCTCCAGAGTGTAGGTGGCGTCGGGCTCCTGCAGCAGCGAGAGGACCAGCTCGCAGCGCCCCCAGCTGGGCAGCTCGTACAGCGCCAGCAGACGCCTGCACATCCTCTGCGGAGAGATTCAATAGCATGACATGAAGACACGTGATTTATTGGAAATGCTCACTGAATGCCCTCAGGTGTTTTGCAGCCTAACCTGTTTGTCCGGGTCTGAAGGATCTATTGGCGGCTCGACCTGGTTGGCCCAGATTCGCTGGTGGAAAGGCTCCAGCAGGGGGCGCTGCAGCAGAGACAGAGCCCCCTTCACCTCTCCTCCACTCAGACGCAGGGCCTCCTCACACTGCAGCGCGTCTCTGAAGCCCAGAGAGTGCAGCTCCTTCATCTGTAACACACAGAGAGAAAATCGGATTTGTTTCATATGAACGTGATCTTGTTCTCTCTCCAGGAGACAAACTTTGTGTCTCCCAAAAGAGATTTAAAGTTTGCTGGTTAAGGAGAGTTTTACAACACTCCTACACATCACTCCCAACACACCACAGACCGCCTTTGTTCTGTGTTATCGTTCAAGGACATAAAACCAGGAGAGGCGTCCGGTTTTCTCAAGCTTTTTATTTGACCTCTTTGCAGTCACTGAGTATTGTTGTTTCATTTATTTGACTGTAGCCAAACATAAATGATGGTTGTTACTAAGGAGATAATATTCAATGATGTTCTTACATCCTGCAGGATCAGAAATCAGATCTAAAAAGGAGCAATAACCAGCAAGCTTAGTTTTGGTTGCCGGTCAAATCCAGTGATGTTATCAGTTCCAGATTTCATTAAACATAGGATATTAATCATTTGTTTAATAAAGGCATAGGGGTCTTGTATTTCTGCTTGTGTTTTAAAAGCATGTGATAAAGAAGGAAAAAAGTACAGAAAAGTTACAAATGACAGCTTAAACGTATCATCCTCCAGCAGGAACACACCTTTTGAATATACTATGTTTAAGCAGTCATTTTTAATATTCCCACCTTGGCTCGTCTGTCCCTCAGCAGCTGTCTCACAGCCTTGTCTATGTCTCCTCCTGCAGACAGCCAGGCCAGCTTGGCCTCGGCTCTGGACAGCTTCACACCTTCTCCTGCGACGCTCTGCCCGCCGTGCTCCTCCTGCTCCTCCTCACCCACTTTCTTCTCCGCGGGTTGCTGAACGGAAGCAGCCATGGCGCAGATTTGGTCCAGCAGGTGAGGCAGCTCTGACGTCAGCCAATCACAGGGGTTGGTGTTGCTGCCGCCACACAGGCCGATGGCTGCGTACACCTCCTCAGCACTGATGTCGCGCTTTTCTGCTTCCTACCAAGGAGAAACAGGGCGAATCTGGTAGTTTTATTTAATCTCTGCAAATAATTTCAATACTGAAGGCGAGGATTTGCTGCTTTTCCCTGTTTTAATATATAGAGTAGACTAAATATCTTTGGGGCTTTGAACAGTTTTTGGGGGGGAAATGGGAGATGTGTTTGTGTTGACATACTCTGATCTGCTGGAGGAGATAGAGGCCGTCGTCTCTCATCATCTTCTGTCTTTTGACATCCAGGTTGACTCTGGGCTTGGGTTGAGGCTTTACTCCCACCTTGGGTTTTTCTTTGGGGCTGGACGCAGCCGGCTGGGCTGAGTCTTTACCTGACAGGTTGCACATCTCACACACCACCACGGGATGTGTGTTGACGTAGGTGCAGAACTCGCACATCCACTGTGAAACAGACTGAAAAAAAGACACAGTAGAAACAATTTGTGAACAAAACATTGAACAGCACATTGTTGTATCTTCCCCTTTCTAATTTAAGGAACGCAAAACAACCCAAACAACATGCTGATGTCTTCAAATGTAAAAATGAAGAGTTGAATCAAGCTTTATCAGCAGCAGTAAGACAAACCTTTGTCCCAGACTCGGACAGAGACCCTGGGCTGACCAGAGACCCTAGGCTGGACAGAAGTGAGGCGACAGGCGGGCGAGTGGCCAGACGGGGGCGCTCACACACCTCACACAGGATGCTGCTGCCCTGATTCACAACTGTGCAGCTCTTACACTGCCAATCTGAGGGGTGAGAAGACACAGCTCAATCAAACTGTAACACATGAAGTGACTTTGTTTCCTTGAGGGAATTGTGTTCTTATACCTTCATTTCAGGGTTTTATTAATGCTTATTGCACATGTAAAATACACTCTTTAAAATATGCTGTGATAAAAGTAATTAGCACAGCCAACAAATGGTGCTAAACTGTCCTGCAAAACTCAAGACTTCTTCCAGCTTCACTGCCAAGTTTAACTTTGTAGTTTTGTTGTGAAAGGTGTAGTTTAAGTAACGTGTATTTGTATTGAGTTATCTCTTGGTCTCACCTGTGCTGGGAGATGTAGGGACCAACATGGGGCTCTCTAGAGCGATGGATGCAGCTGTAGAGAGGCGTGGGCGCTCGCAGGTGGAGCAGAGCACGGCTCGCATCTCGTTCACTGTGGTGCAGTGAGCACACTCCCAAGGGGACAGAGAGGGACTGGAAGACAGTAAAGCAATACAATCACATTCAAGGTATAGTCAAGCTGCTTCTCTCCTTTCTTTTACAGCACTGCAACAGCATCATAAATCCTTCATTCACTTATCCTGCATTCACTTCATTTTGCATGAGCACAAAGTGTTAGACAAACACAAACCTAAATAAAGGATACAACTGAGGAAGTGGCAAACTATCATTAGATCAAATAAAAACACAATAGTATGATATCAAAGTTAAATATCTAGTTTTCACTCAGATCAAAATAGTGGACAATTAATCTTCGGAAGTTACTCTTCATATCTATATGAGTTTGCTGGAGCATATTATGTTTTTGCATACATCTTTTTGGGGGTTTGCTAATGCTAGGAATTAAGTTGCTTAAAGGTTTGAGTGCTGAGATTGAAGTCTTCCCACCTCTAACAGTGAGAGTGTTTACCATCGGGGGGAGACCATATTCACAGAACAGCAGCTATCTTGAATGGATGCTCAAAAATATTAAGGAAAACACAAAAGAATAGTAAAAAATCTAACCTGTGACCTTAAATCTTGGTACACGTTTGCCAAATAAAGAAGTGACTGTGAATTAAAGTTCCTGTTCTCCTCACCTGGATGTTTTAGATGGTGTAATAATACTTCTGTGATGTCCTATGCGGTCGGGGTGAGAGTGGAACAGCTTGTCACAGTTCTCACACAGCCTCTGGTCGCAGGTGGAGCACGCAGCGTGAGCAGAAGACCCACAGATGGTGCAGGCCTCTACAGCCAATCAGGAAGCGAATGACAAAAACATAGCGGTCAACAGAAACAAAACAATGCTGTATTACTTATTTAAAAGGTTGTAATCTGGCTTACCCTGTCTGGTTTTCTGTACTTTGTCTCTCTTGTGATTGGCTCTGGAAGGGTGGCGGTGAAAGAGGCCATCGCACGCATCGCAGAAAGATTGATTGTCACAAGACGGGCAAAACAGAGTTGTTGTGGCACCACACAGGTTACAGTTACTCGCTGGAGAAGAGCCTGAAAGAAATTAAATGTTTAGGTATAGATGATGAACAAGAGGCATGTTTAGTGCACAATACATGCAATCAGAGACTGAACAGGGGGTCCGCGGGGTCTTAAAAAGTATTAAAAGTTGATAAATCTATTTAGCGAAAATTAAGGCTATTAAAAAGTATTAAACTGCATTTTCCAAGGTATTACATTTTGTAGCTTGTTTTCAATAAGTATATAAATGGTCCAAAGAGGTTGTATTCTACAGTATGCCTGAATGTAATCATGGCGTAGGTATGTCGTGTGATTCTGTGTAGTTTATTGATGGCATCCCGTTGGATTTGACGTCATCTGAACAGGACATCGCGCGCTCACTGCTTGATAGCGCGCGAAGGCCCGTTTACGCCGGTTGTTAAACAACATCGTTATGGGGAAATGCAAGTTTGCGTCCAAATGGTTGGAAGATAAGGAGGAAGGACAATCAATACTGTATATACAGGGTTCTTACGGTCATTAAAAACCCTGGAAAAGTCATGGAAATTCAAAAAGCTAATTCCAGGCCCTGGAAAAGTTATGGAAAACAATATTTTTCACAAAGTTTTGGAAAAGTCATGGAAATGTAACTAAAGTTTAATCAAATATAATTGATATTTTATCTAATCGCCGAAATAGTAATACTATAATGATGATAAATACTGTATCATATAGTAATGAAACGTAGAATGGCATTTAACTGTTGAGGTGTTTTGCTGCTGAGAGATTTGAGTTGCTTTAGCGTGTAGAAGCTAGTAAGCCTACTTGATTTGTTTTAGAGAGGCACAATGTTTCATATGCAGACCTTATTTTCCTGTTCCATGTTAAAATAAACCATTTTCAGTGGTACCGCTGAGAAAGAGTCATTATTTTGGTCATGGAAAATTATGTAAAGGTCATGGAGAAGTCATGGAAAATCATTGGTGAAAAAGTGTATGAACCCTGTATATAGTCAATGTGAGGTAAAGTGTGTCGCCAGTGTAACCGGTTAGAACTCGAAGTGCCGATGAGGTCTTAAAATGTATGGAAAAGGTCTTAAAAAGGTATTACATGTGACTTCAGGATTCCTGCATATACCCTGCTGAATCTAAATGTATGCCGTTAACAAAGGCTAAATATGTCACACATTAACTAGAAAACTGTTTTATATCATCACTTACTGTTCGGAGACTCAGTCATTGGTACATGTTCATTTATAAAGCCATGCTGGGTAAACTACCGCCTTACATCTGCTCACTGATATCACAGAGAGTCGCAAGTAGCTATTGCCTAAGACCAGGATGTGTTTTTATTACATGTACCAAGTGCTAGGACTGTTTTAGGCACAACAACTTTTATGTGCGCAGCTCCTCTAGCATGGAACACTCTGCAAAACATATTGAAAATGAGCATTTTGGTTCCCCTGCATCATTTTAAAGCACAGATTGATGAATTGATACTTGATACTCCTGGTAACTGTCTTTGTGAATATGTTTGTAAATTGTACCCCTGTCATTATGTTGTATGTGTGCTTTTTGTTTTCGGTTACATGTGTAACCAATGTGCGGCAGGTCTCCCTTGTAAAAGAGATCGTTGATCAAACATATGTTTTTGTCTCTCTGAAAAACGAAAAAGGTAGACTTGTAGGATATGTGGTGGTGGCCGCTCACCTGTTGATGGTGTCGGAGGTTGTGCTACGAGGACTGGAGTGGGTTTGAGAGGAAGAGCCAGAAGCGGCTGCTCCTCTGCAGGCGGGATCACCACAGCATCATTCACCAGATTATCCTGAAGAAAGCATCACATTCAACACTTTTAAACCTTTACCATGCAACAGACAAAAGACAAATATAGTGAATAAAGATTTGAGCTAAATATGTCAATTGACTTGCATTTTTGTATTATTAAATATACACTTTATACTAAAACATTGTTAAGTGTTACTTTTTTAATATTTAATGAATGTTCTCTTCATGATTGTGTATACATGTGCACAAAATAATACACAGCTCATTTCTGGAAACAATTTATCTGTTTATTTAATTTCTGTAACTCATAAATAAAATAAATACTTAAGTATACAAAAATGTGTCAATCCAAAAGTTATAGATTTTTTTTTTCTTCAAAGCTGCTATAAAATTCAAGAGTAAAAATCCAGCCAAGTCAAAATGCTAATAGATTAAACAGATTCAAATGTAAAGCAACAGGAAACGTTTGTACAGACCTGCTGGATGATGAATGGGATGATATCTTTGAAGTGTTCTATGTGAGGATGTGTGCCCTAAACAAACATAAATAAAAGACATGGAAAACAATGAAATCCTTGCACTTGCACACACACGCACACACACACACACACGAACGCACGAACGATGTTCAAGGTATTCAAATGACTGCTTTCAAACAAATGCCAACCTTTATGACCATGTCCACCTCTGTGCGTAAGGTCATGACCTCCAGCGTCACCGAAGCAACTTTAGCCGTGTCTGGTCCATCGACTTCATCTGGGAAACTGAGGCCGTCGATCTGCTGGTTGGTGTAACCGTAGAGAAACAAGATTCTCCGGCCTCCCTGTGGAAGAAAATGAGGATTGAAATATATATATATATCAGGTTTTGATATATATATATATATATAATATTTGCACTTCACAACAGTTTCTTTAGATTTGATCAATGTATTTTTTGCTCACTTTAACGGCATCCACAGTGGTTCTGAAGACAGGGTTGTTGTGCTTGACGCTCCTCCAGTATTTGGGCCTAGCAGGACTGGTCAGATTACAGCCGTACTTCTCCAGGATACTGAAGGCCTTGATCAGTCTACTCAAGGACTCCAGAACCTGAAAAAGAGGCAAAATGAATGAGAGTAATGTCATACTATACCTACAAAACAGTCAAGTTGAGTGATTCTCTTTCTACTATGAGGTGATGTGAATGCAGTTGAGTTCATTTCAGTTCATAAAAACAAATGAGCAGTCTAGTTTGATTACAAATATTGTGGATAGTCACAGCTAAATACTTGTATGATATCAGCTTTTGTATATTTAGGGTTTGTCAGGAAATGTCTATCCAAGCAGCACCACCAGATGGAGAAATGTTTACCTCCTGTTTGTTGCGGCACGCTGTGTTCTCCTTCAAGATGGCCTCCACTCCGATGTGACGGTACTTCTCTGACAGAGGCAGGGCGATGGTGGCCATGGTTTGGACCTCCGCCTTCACATCCTGGGCCACACCTGAGGCGGAGAGGAGGGGACTGGGATCTGATCCTGACCTCGTCCATCTGGACCGATGCAGGACCACCGCTCATCGCTGTTAGAGAGGGAAGTGGATATATTTAGTGTTTAAATCAAAGCATGATTGTTACTCCTATGGGAGAATGTGCTGTGTTCTCTGTTGTACATTATGTGAGGAAGTTCTACTATTTTAACTGTAATGCATTAAGACAAATTGCAGGGATTGCATCTTGCAAAGACAAAATAAATCAACAGTTTATATTTAAAAATAAATATATTAAATCCTTTAACTATACTGCATTTTTATAATAATAATAATACATGTATTCAGGTGCTCAAAGTCGCTTTACAGAGGTAGTAAAAGAGGACAACAAATACATATAGTAAAAGTCACATTAAAATCGAGCAATAAAACAACAATCACACATTAAAAGCCAGTTTGAAGAGGTGAGTTTTTGTAAGTGTTTTGAAGGTGGTGATATAGGTTTTATTGAGGTTGTACGTGCTTATTAACCTTTTGTTTCTTGTCATTGTTTTAATGGTAATTAGTTGTTATTCTTATACTTTATATAAAGCACTAGTAATGACCTATGTGGCTGATTTGTTTTTCAAAAATAAACTTGCCTTGGACGATAACTGACTGAGATTGGATATTTTGGCAGGTGTGAAATGTTAAATAAGTGCAGGGTAAAATATTTTATGTAAAAGTCCACCATTTCTTTTATGAATACATTTTCAGAGCAAAACAAATGTTAATATTTCATAAAGTGACTTTTAAAAATGCACCTTTAATCATGACAACTGTTGGAAAGCCCAGGCTCATCTTACTGTCACTCCAATGGACGTTAACCACATTTTAAACCATTAACTGACAACTCTGCTACTAATGTTTCTCCAGGGTATAATCCTATTCAACACGGTTTAACGGTGTCAGTCAGGTGCTTTGAAGCTAGCAAGAAAAACAAGATAACAACAATTCACGTAAGTTGAAACCGAAAGTTTTTGTAACTCACAAACCTGCTCAATGTAGAAACCTTCGTCACGACTTTAGACGGTTATTCCCTGCTTCGGAGTGAACGTCGAAAGTATTTAAGTTTCCATTAATACAAATAAGCTCTTTAAAAACCCATGTCAGTGGTTAATATTTCACCTACACTGGGTTTGTTGTCTCTGGAGCTAATGCGGAAACTACAGTTGTACGTTTTATGTTCCGGCTCCACTTCCTGTCTCGATTTTATTTTTTCAATATAAAAGTATAATTCCCACAATGTAACATGAATTTAAAAGTGGTCTTTAACCTTTTTTATTTGTTTCTGAACACTTGAATTAACCAGTTATGGTACAATTAGATTATAAGTGCTTTTCAGAATGTACTTAGGAGAGAAAGGTAGTGCAGCAAAGTACAATATGTGTATCTGAGATGTAGTAAAGTTGCCTTAAAGTACACCTATTTTGCACAATTGTTCTAATTTACATTGCACCTACCTACAACCCAAAATGTGCACATTCGTAAAATAGCCAATAACATTGTATCTAAGCCATTTGTACATGTGTTACAAATCAATCTTTAAATCCTATCACCTCGTGACTCACCAACACATTTATGGTATTTCTTGATATGTTATTGTGTCTCTAGAATCTACTCTTCTGTATTTGAATCACGCAAGCTGAATTTAAAGGCTGAACATTTAGGTAACGTCCTACTTTCCGCGGAGGAGGGATACAGTGGGAGGCGCAAACTTCATCAACCGACATTAAATCGAAAGCAAACTTGAAGAGGAAATAGTAAAAAGTCTCACTTGAAGCCATATTGTCCTGCCGTGCACCTGTTCTCTTTGAGTTAATTTAAAACACTTTAACGGACAGTATTTATTTGTCCTTACGGTAAAACGTCTGCTCAGTCATGCCGAAAGCGTGTTTGAAAATCAGCAGAGCGAATGCAGAGAAGGTGGGTTGATCTCGTGTTAATGCGCAGGTACAGTAGGCTACATGCGATAGCAGCTACTTGCTAAAATACTCTTTAAAATACTGATAACTGTAAGCAGATTGTTTCAAACATGTTAAAGAATAAAGTCAATTGTAGTCCACTCGGTGAAGCAGGGGAAAGTCCCCGAGTGAAAGAAAAACGAAAGTAAATCCAACCGTCTTGTGCAACATGAGTCAGCAGCTAAAATGACATGTTATTGACAGAAATGTATTTCCTTTTCCATAGGTGGAGAACTTCCGCCAGTCCCTGTATCAGGAGGTTTGTTCAGTCCCACTTTATTCTTGTGTTTTTGTATTATGTTGCATATTTTGTAAGTGTTTTTCTCTTGTTGTTTTGCAGGCAGAGCTTTTGTTCTCCAACTACATCCCCATGAAGATTGCACAGCTGGATGCCTTGCAGAGGGTCAGCAACTTCAGATTTTCAACACACAAATCAAGGACCCTTCACCTGTTATTTCAGGTCTTAATTCATCCTTTGTGTGTTTTCAGGATGACGCCCTCAGTATCACAGACATGTCCTTACTGAAGGCACCCCTGGACATCCCCATCCCAGACCCACCTTCCCCAGAGGAGGAGGTGAGGTCTCACACAGCTTCTAACATCATAACATACATTTACAAAAATACACAAACAGGGGTTCATTACTTTCCCTGAGATAACTTGGCTTGTTGATATCCTCACTTCTACCACTACTAGTTCTGTGCTGACTGTATAGGGCATGAACCAACCTGTAGAACTTAGCTAATAATGATTATTTAATATATCTGAAAGGAGTGAGTACATCCAAATTAGCAAAACCTGTCCAGTAACTGCAGTGTGATCCATTTTGAAACATTTAAATAATACAACTGGATTACAAGTCACACTTTGAAATGCCCCATTGTTTTTTATTTGTCTATCATCATTGACATATTTTATTCCACATTAGCTAGTTGTATGTTACTGTGTACACGCTACCTGTAACTAATTCCCACTTGGTAGGATTCATTAAATTGATTTAATTGTGTTTACTCTGCATTTAAATCAACAAGTGTGAAGATACACTTTTTCTCACATACACAGCCCATAAGATCTTGTGACACTTGTAAATTTTTGACCATTAAAATGTGACCCCACAGGAAATGGAGACGGATAAGAATGAAGAGGATGAAAAAAAAAAAAAAGAAAGGTAAAGTGATATCTTTGTTTTGTGTTTGTCCAGAATATACATGACATGATAACAAGTCTAATTCCCCCTCCCTTTCCACCAGCTCCAAAATGTGGCTTGATCACGGGGAATGAGAAGATTATGACGCTTCTGGAGAGGGTGAAACCAGAGATCTTTGCTCTTAGAGAGACCATCCTCACTGTAAGTGAAGCACTCTCACTATGAAGTGTTGTGTAAAACAGAGTCATTTGAAATGGCGTTTATGTAACACTCTTCTTCTGTGTTACAGGTCACCTGCTGGATTCAGCACCTCATCCCACAAATCGAGGATGGAAATGACTTTGGGGTTGCAGTGCAGGTACATTATGCATGTGTGTAATGTGGCTGTGTGTTGCTGCAACGTTTGGTCAGGTTTTGATTAATCGTGTATTTCCCACTACAGGAGAAAATCTTGGAGAGAATCGCTGTAGTGAAGACCAAAGTCGACGGGTTTCAGACCAACATCAACAAGTAGTGTGACGTTCTCTTCACTACAAAATAAATATTTATTATTTTAGTATTTCTTAGATTAACAGCAGATATTCATGGGAACATTCCTGTCGCTTACAAACCCCCTTTCTTCTTGAATTATTTAGGTACTTTTTAGAGAGAGGAGATGCTGTAGGAAAGGCTTCCAAGGACACTCATGTGGTGAGTATAAACGTATCTTAAAGGATGCGTCTGGTGATTATCTGCATTTAACTTACTGTCAACTAATTCCTTTTAAAAGATAATAAAACAAACAGCCTCAAGTATTGTGTGTGTATCAAATACTGATATCATCTTCCTTTGTGATATCCATTATTAAACACACTGTGGCATTGGAGGACATTTCCCTTCATTACCACTGTAGGTTTTTTTACTCAATCCCACAAACTGTCCTGTAGACAAAAAAACCCACAATTAAAAGCCCCACATTACGATGAAAATAGTCCTACAAATGTCCTCCTGATTGTTTAATGAAACTCTTTAAAGCTTTGATAATATTACTGGAAATATCTTTAACATAACCTTCTCTGCCTCTAGATGGACTACCGCAGGCTGGTCAGCGAGAAGGACGAGGACATGTACTCTGAGATCAAAGTGATGGTTCTCGACATTCGCGGCTTCTACGTAAGTTAAAAGTTATTTATCACCATAGTGTCATCGAAGAAGCTATAACTGTCTATCTGTTCACTGTAGGCCGAGCTTTACGACATCATCAACAAGAATCTGGAGAAGGTGACCAATCCAAAGGGAGAGGAGAAACCTTCCATGTACTGAGGCATGGGGCAGATACTACAATTCATGTGGTGCATTCACAAATAATCATCTCTGTCTGTTCATTACTAAATGTTGCTTATTCTTCAAAAAGGTAACAATACAAGTTTTATCTCTGATCTGTGATGACACTTTTTCGTACCGTAACTTGCACTAAAGTTGTACAACTACAAATAAAAAAACGTAATAAAAGAAGTCTTTTTTTTTCAAACTGATTTGCATTTATTTGTAAAAAGAAAAACAGTTTTGAGTGATTCATGATGCACTTCTGAATTCAACCTCTTTTTTTTTTTTATAACAAATACTCAATTGAAATCTTACAAAAATATTTACCTTACTTAAGATCAAGAGGGAATGACTGACAAATAACAATATCAACTAAGGAACACAACAAGGTAAAGGCATAACTCCTCAGCCTTCATTGGTGAGGACTCTCCTCTCATACTTCAGGACCTTCTCCTCCAGGTATGAGCTGCGAATCAAAGAAAATACAAGAATATTAAAGGTCTAAAGGGAAGGTAGAGTGTGTACGATACACCTGTTTGAGTATTAAGCGGAATAAATAGTCAAAACTGCAAGGTATTCACCATTGTGATGTTGTTGCCATTGAGGAGGATCTGGTCCAGTTTGGTTATCCTTCTTCCCTCCGGTGTGATTTCACTAAAACATGGATACAAATGTATGGATTAATTTAACGAAAGGTCCCTTACAATATGCTATCATGCAACGAACAACAAGTATACGTACAATTCTGTCACGTCTTCCAGGACCATGTCTAAAACACTGAGTTAAGAGCAAAACTGGGACATGATTCAGAGCAAACGGCAATATAGTGAAGACAATTTAACACATGTGTTTTCTTTCAGAGTTAGATTGAAATCTGGAAAAGGATACTGACAAAGTCATCGAAACCAAGCAGGGTGCCGACGATTTCTTTGTCGGTTTTCATGACGATGTGAATTCGGGAGCCAATACATTTGTCCACAAGCTCTGAAAGAATAAAAAACAAAGATATGTGAGAAATGCAAACCAATTTGTATTAGGCAGAAATGTTAGGTTAATTAACAGACAATTAATAGATTACCTTTTTAAATGCATTAATCATTACATTTATCAAAATAGTCCCCAATGTATTTTCTGTTAATTGACCCACTGGTTAATTATTCATTGATTCATAATTTAACCTATACTAAACAATGTAATTAATGAAAAATCATTAAACATTTTTTACACATTCTTCTTACGTTTTGTAGCAAATGTTTTATGCGTAAAGTGAATAAAGCTGGCAGATACATTTAGTGGAGGAAAAGTAGTGGATGGAACCGAAAGGCCTCAAGGTAATTACAAATTAAACAAAAAGTAGTACAAATGTTATGGTACTCGAGTTAATGTATTTGGTTTCATTTCACTATTTAAAAATGTGTCTGGTTTTTAAAGCAATACATTTCTATCCAAAAACCTTTCAGTACATTATGGACATGTTATGAAAGTCATACAACTATCTAAGACCATCAATCTGTACTGTTAGCAAAGATAGCTAATGTTTTAATAACGACTATCATGCGTTTTCACCGCAGCTGGAAGCATGATGCTAACGTTACCTAGCTAACCAAACATATCTCATATCTGAACCTTCGCTTCTAGTCGACACACCGCAATCTGCCTTTTATTATTGCTTTATAATTGACAGGCAACTATTTAAAGACAGAACGGGAACAATATTTAAAATGTACAAACCAAGTGGGAGCAACTGGGAAGGATTTGTTGCTGGAGTAGCCGCCATGTTCATTCAAGAATGAGCACCAGTCAGAACCAATGGAAAGAAGAAAGTCAGTGGACAGGCAAAAGCAATCGATCTAATTTAATTATGTAATTTCAAATGTCCACACCATAGCGCGTGAGTTCATGACGTAATTATTTTTACTTTGACAAGATAAGTCCCCACCTCATCTCTGTAGTGTTGAAATACAAGTACGCTATTTATTCATAATGTATCGTGTTAGTCGTTGTTTGATTTATTCATGTATTATAAACGTATGTACATGAATGTATCTCAGTTTTAATCAGGTTGGTTCTTACATGTTTTACATAGATTGTGTTACAAAAATAAACACTTATACAATTTTTAAAAGATGTAGTCTACCCTTACCTTTCAACACACAGGGAATTATTGTATTAAGGGCAAGTAATTGTGAATATAATTTTAAATAATGAAAACAAAACCTTGACGAATCAGGAAGTGCGCTGCAGTGTACCATCCCACTGTGTTTACTCTTTGACACACTGGGACAAGGCGGAAGAGAGAATCATCTCCGCGCTGCTGCTTGTGTTGTGAACGCCTGTCTTCCTGCTGTCTTCCTACTGCGGATTCAGAGGGAAAACGCGTTGCTGGCTGTGTTTACATCCAACACCGGAGGTAAAAACTACACAGGACACACAGAACATCCGGGGGGAATGGAGTCTAACGGCAGGGACGATCCAAAGGGACCGGTGCTGCATATCGTGGTGGTTGGTTTTCACCACAAAAAGGGCTGTCAGGTACGTAGACCCTTCTCTCCATGCTAATGTTGCTAACTGCTAACCAGGGCTTCCCATTGAAATCATAATAAAGGCACATTTCCACTATATTTTTGTATGGATCGACTTGTAATCTGGCTCAATGACTGCGTATTTTCTTCTCTGACAGTGCATACATAAATCCTGCAGGGGGGATGATACATTTCCTCATGCATTGAATAGAGAGTTAACATCAGCTGTTTGCTCTGGGCTCTCAGGGTTATATAACATGTGCTCTGCTGCCAAATTGGGCATCTTTCCACTTCAGTGTATTCAACAGCGAGGACTGTGTTTTTATAGCAGGCTGAAGCTTGTTTAAAAGTATTTATCTTCCCTCTCTGTTATTTAAAGAGCTTGCTGATTTAGTACCAGGAAATCTACAGTATGGTATGACTGTTTGCTTGGATACAGTATGTAATATGTGTGTTTTGTGGGCATTGTTTTGTAGTCTAGAGAGCTTATACCCAAGAACAACTGTCTAATGGCTGAACTGCAAAACAATAGTAATTGACATTTGAATACTTCAGTAATGAATATTTAACAATAGTATTAGATGTTAAACTGATGTTAAAAATATTTGACTGTGTAACTTGTTCCATAGTTTACTATTAAAAAAAGATCTTGATCTCAATGAACTTTTCCAAATAGAAAAAGCAATGAGTATTTATTTCTTAAAATGCTATTACCAAAACATTTCTTCACTTCCTGTATTGATACCAACGCATGTTAACGCTTCTCAAAAGTAAGAATTTGTGTCGCTTTTATATTATCACAAAATGACTTCAGACAAAAAAAATAGGTAAAAATAAGAGAAACATGAGAACAAAGTGTCCTCCCATCAATCATGCTTCAACACTTTATAATTATTTCATTACCTCTTGGGGTCAGAGCATCACTCAACCTTTACGCAGCTTGTAATAGCTGGGACATTTGTTTTATACAGTATTTGTTATTTAAGAAAATAAGCCAAAGTCTGCCTTCATAAAATAAAGTCTGAAGCCATGAATTGAAGTATCAAAGCCTGTTATGACAGCTATACATCTGAGACATAACTGTCATACAAATATCTAACTGCAAAGCCAAGGCCCTTAATCAGGTTGGCCTTTTGACTCCTCACGCGTATGTAAGACTTTCAGCACAAGTGCCACGAATGCATCTTCTAATTATCGCCTCCTCTACCTCAAAATTCATTCGATTAACAGGCTAGGTTGGCTGCAGTAAAGCAAACACTGTGCTTCCTCCTCCTTGTTGTTGCTGCTCTCCATCTGCCAAGTCTCTCTGTGTGCTGTTAACCTCGACTCACTAGGTTTGGAAGCAGCTGCTGTATGAGCGAAAGATAAAACAGACACTTTTGTATGCAAAAATGAGAGTGGACAGGGCCGTGCACAGGCTTTGTTTCAGCCTGCTGCCTCTGGGCGTTATCTGAGAGGGGCCAGCCATCTCCTGCTGGGTATCACATTGGGGTTTGGCTCTTTCATCCGTCTATCTCCTTTAGTCGCCACCTTCTCTTATTCACCTGCCTCCCATCTGTTTCTCTGGCAGGAAGCTTAATAAGGTGACATGGAAAGAAGGATTCAGATAATTAACTTCAGTAAAAGTCCTGCATTCAAAACATTGCTTAAGTTAAAGTACTTTTCGGCTTCAAATAGCTTAAGTATGAAATATAGTGAGGGTAGATGTTCCCTGTCACTATTATATATGATGTTTAAGGGTTCATATTATTGCTACATGTATGTGTATGTTGTGTTTTTACAGCTGTAGATGTTTATTTATATATTGGCTAATTTAATCTGCTGCAATGCAACATTTTCTAGTGTGTGTGTGTGTGTGGCGTTCAGGGCCGGCCAGTTTTATGCCAATATTTTAGGAGGCTGTTAACTGTTACCTCTGGCAGGAGCTGTTCTGTGTTTCCTTCTTTCCTTGAGCTCAGTCATAATATAGTGATTTAAATAAATAAAATGTGTGATTGATTTTGATGCAAGTTGTGTTTTTAGTCATGCTCTAACATCATCTGATTTTCTCAACAACTATTTGATGTATGTCCTTAAAATTCCCTCCAATGTGTGTCACTGTGACAAATGCAGTTAAATACCAAGATTCGCTTGCTGGATTCTTAGTATTCATTTTAATGTATTATGAGAAAGCATAATAAGAAGAGACAATGCAGAGTCATAGGAATGAAGTCATATTTTAAAGCATCCTATAATAAGTAAATGTGCTGACTCTCTGCCCCCTCCCCCCTCAGGTGGAGTTCTCCTACCCTCCTCTGATGCCAGATGAGGGTCACGACAGTAAACCTCCTGCCAGAGGAGTGGAAGTACCTCCCTTTCCTGGCTCTTCCCGACGGGGCACACAATTTCACAGAAGGTACGACCCCCCCCCCCCCCCCCACACACACACACACACACACACACACACACACACACACACACACACACACACACACACACTGTTAACACATTTAAAGCACTGGGTGTCAGTAGTGGAGGGGGAAGGCACATCTATAAAAACTGTATATATATATATATAGGCAAATCCATTCTGTATTCTGGTTTACATGGAATTAAATCAATCTAACTTGTATCTGATTATGATCCAAACATTGAAAATATATTTTTTAATAGAAGTAACGAATCAAAAGACAACTACACTTATCGATAATGATGACAATAATGTAGTGTTAGTTACTATTCCTCTTTAAAATTATGAACTAGCTGGTTTTCATCCTCAAGCAAAGTTATAATGTCAACTTGATCTTTTTGAACAAGTAATGGGCCTTTCTTTCATTCCTCTCTGGGTTGTATGTAGCACACTAATGGTTAATAATTAATTGTCAGTTGCGGCTTTATTTGCTTGTCTGTATTTTTCCCACCCAGCTGACATTGAAGGGATGACTTCAGGGTTGGTTTTGTTTAAAGAGGACCTATCATGCAAAATGCACTTTGTGATGTCTTTTATACATAAATATGTGTCCCCGGTGAGTCGGGGAACTCGCGCAAACCCTCTCTCTTTTTCTCCGTACCCAAATCTTTTAAAAACGGGTGTACAACGAGCGGATACAGATTCCAATCCGATCTGACGTCAAATCGGAAGCGGACCCACAGAAAGTTGCTATCAGAAACAATGCCTGACGTGTTTTGGACGTAATCTCGTCTTTGTTTACATTAGCAAGCGTCGCTAACACTCAGAGCTAACCTGTACTGGAGAGCACATGTGTTTGAAAAGCAGGAAATAAAAAAATGAACTCACCTTGTGATAAACCCGCAAGAGAAAAAGCATTTGAACTCCATACTATTTCAGAAACAATCCTTGATGTGGTTTAGAACAGGATGGCGTTTTATCACAACCGAATTTAACTTTATCTCCGGTAGAATTCTGATTAGGCATTAGCTCCGCCTCCTCTTCTTTTCTTTTTTTCAAGCTAAGGACCCAAGATCTGCGTTTCTCTAACAGGGCTGCAAAAGAGGGGTATGAGCAGAATGAGGCACGGCTACAATGGGGGATCTGTTTGGTATTTTGAAAAAAAAACTTCACAGACATGTTTTGTATAGGTATGGCCCTACAATATATGTTTCAAATATAGCATGATAGGTCCACTTTAAGTTGAGGTTTTGCAGAGGGAAACAGTATCCACACTGTGAAGAGAGAGTGGGACTCTGTGTGTGTCCCGTGTGTTGGGCTGCAGTCATGTGACCCTCCTGTGGTTCACCGCTACCCTTCAGACTTCCCTGTGAAGGAAGAACTGAGTCAAAGTCCGACTAAAACTACAGCCATCAAACCTTATTGTTATTGTGCTGACGTTACTCTGTAGTGAATATATTATTGTAAGCATTCAGCTCCCAGATCATAAGATGTATTCTGAATCAAGGAGAACACTCTCTGCTTTGAATTCACTTCAGTAGAAAATCAGCCCCTCAGGATCTCACTCACAGGCAGCGTTTTTGCCCATTTCTGCATTTCTAAATGTAGAATATTTGAATGAACTCCTGCTGTGAGTTTCTTCTTCTCTTGTGTCCTTTGTTTGTGCCGCTCCGGCAGACCGTTAGCTGATGAAAGCAGCATTGATGTGAGCGACTCCCTCTGCACTGCGGCTCATAAAAGCAGCAGTGACACTGAGAGAGCCGGGTGTTGGTTACAGAGGGGAGAGGAACACTACTGAAGATGAAGAGAATCATCAAAGAAACACCCAGAGCTCCAATAAGAAAGTAGTCGTTGTAGCTGTTTTGTATTCAACGTTTTGCATCGTTTTGGACAAGCTAATGTTTTGTTTTTGAGCAGTTTTGCCCCTCACATATGTTTCTATTTTGCTATTTCCCCCTGTTTATGGATAAGGAAAAGCTTCACAGTGCTGGACTAAAATGGTTTCCTTATTTTCACAATACAATATATCTCTACGCAGGTTTTAAACATGTCCAGTTCACCGTAAAAAAAAAGCAACACATCTGGACCCCAATGCAATGCGCAGAGGAAATTGAAGACCTGCGTATTATCTCACAAAATAAACCCTTCAGATTTAAATAATCTTAAGAAACCTCACCAAAAATGGCTGTAAGTAAATCACAGTGTGCTGCTCCAGCCTCACTTATCTCCAGCAGAGCTTCCTGCTGTGAAGCTGAGAGTTGAAGGCTGTGTTTTTGGCGTCTTGCTGCTGAGGCTCTGTCCAGCCGGGACCCCCCCCCCTTCTCCTCCAGGCTCTGCTTAATCTCTGATGTCCACATTGAACCTTTGTGGCTCCCTGAGGAGATCTTCATGCGCCACATTATGAAACGCCTCTCCTCACATGGTACGAAGACGGATAGTTGTGGCATTTTGTGCACTGCTTGTTCCCAGAGACGTTTCATGTTAGGGGCTTCAGGCAATCTTTGATATGACGTTGTATTTTGTATTATTGGACAGTAAATCATATTTGACCTAATGTTTTCCATGTCATTGCACATAAGGTTTAAGACTGATTTCCTTTATTCTACACGCTAGTTTCTATTCAATTCACTAAAGTATAACATTTTTCTTGCAGGACTTTTCTTTCTGCTTTTTCATTTTGAGTTTTGGTAAACTCTAAATATACGACATTAGAAAAATCAGCTGCCAGAACAGCACTTTATTCATGAGCTGAATTATTTGGAAATATTTCCCTGGAGACAAACAATAAACAAACATTAATGTAGCTTTAAGAATGATGTGAGATTTGGTCATTTATAACAGCTCAAAGCATAACGTCTCAGATGTCCAGAGTGTCTTTGAACGCACCAACGTTGATCTGTTATTATTGCAGATCCTGCTCAAATCAGCATGACATCACCCTCAACTCATGTTAAATGGATTAGGGGCTACAGCTTATATTAACAATGATATACAACAGAGACTGGAAGCATGTTCAAAGTATGTATCAAAATATATATTATATATGAATCTGCTGATTGTTTTCTCTCTTAATTGATTGATTGTTAGCGTTTAAAAAAAATCTGAAAATAGTCAAAATGTTTTTTCACTATGACCCAGAGTCCAAAGGGAGACTTTCATAATCTTTGTTTAGTAGAAACATCTACATTTTTACAAAGAAATTACAATTATTGAAAGAAAAAACTGCGCCAACAATTGTGAAACATGATCAATCATTTAAAAACTATTAATTTTGACAGATTATTTAAGCTGTTACTGTTGGGTAGTTCAACCAAATAAAAACAAAACCTCACATTTCATAGTCTTCATATATATAATGTGCAAATATCTTAATTTGAAAGTAACCAAAGCTGTCAGATAAATGCAGTAAAGTGTAAAATCTGTCCCCCAATGGTTTTAGTAAATGTGTCAACATGCAGCAGAACTGGCTTTGGTTCTCTAACTGAAGTTTGAGAGGTCAGTTTTGATTGACAGGCGGCTGCAGGGTTATCCAGTTTGTCCTGCTGCTGTTTGAAGCCTTTTTTTTTTTTTTAAATAACCCATTACCTGTCTCTCCTCAGCTGTTATGACTCTGAGTTGAATTCTCCCTTTTGTACCTTTTCTCTCACATAACCATCCTGTCTAACGAGTGAGCTTATTCTGCAGAGCAAATCCTGCAAGAGTGGCGCTAAGCTAACACATATTGTATCCCTTTCTTTTTGCTCCAAGATGCTCCTGATGGACAGGCTGTATATAAGATTGCATGACTCTGATTATTAATACAATACAATACAGCTTTACTTATAGAGCACTTTAAACCTCCAGACCAAAGTGCTGTGCCGGCGAATAAACAAAACAAAACATACAAAAAGTAACTCAGCTCACACACCATAAAACAAGTTCAAGTAAAAACAATAGACAATTTAAAGCAATAAAAGCAACACTGTAAAATATGTTAATACGCTAAGGAGAAGAGGTGGGTTTTAAGAAGCGATTTAAAAGCAGGCAGTGTGGCGGCCTGTCTGATGTGCAGGGGCAGATGGTTCCACAGTGTGGGAGCCTGTCTGATGTGCAGGGGCAGATGGTTCCACAGTGTGGAGAAGCAACGGCCCCTCTGAGCTTTGACTTGGTTCTGGGCACATTCAGGAGCAGTTGATCCGCTGACCTGAGAGGGCAGGTGGGCGTGTAAGGGTGTAGCAGCTCAGAAAGATATGGTGGGGTCATGCCATTTAGGGATTTAAAAGTAAACAAAAGGATTTTGAAATGAATCCTAAAATGTACTGGCAGCCAGTGGAGCGAAGCCAAAATGGGGGAAATGTGGTCATATTTCCGTGTGCCAGTTAAAAGCCTTGCTGCGGCATTTTGCACCCGCTGCAGACGAGCGAGGGAGGACCCACTGACCCCCATGTAGAGACAGTTACAGTAATCCAGCCGAGTGGTGACAAAGGCGTGGATTACTGTCTCAAACTGCTGTCTGGAGAGAAAGCTTTTACTTTGGCTAGCTATGGTGATAAAAGCTTGTTTTTACCACAGATTTAATCTGACTCAAGTTTTAGTTCACGGTCCATTTTAATGCCAAGGTTCGTAATGGTGGGCTTGGTGTACTGAGCCAGGGAACCCAGGTCTACAGATAAAGGTACATTATTAATGTGACTTTGTTTTGCAGACACTGTGTATTTCCACCTGCCGCCCCTCGGTGAAGACATGAAGTGTGTCTATGGAGTTTCCTGTTATCGCCAAATAGAAGCAAAGGTCAGTCATCTTATTTTCTTTACTTAATTATTAAAAAGCCATGGATTTTGTTATCTAGCTCAGTAAATGTATAGCCAAAAGCATGCATGCACATATGGTGGGATAAATACTCAATTGAATGAGGGTATACGCCACCGAGAAAATGACCATGTATACATCAATTAATCAACCCTATTAACTTCCATTCTTTTACATGTGAAAGAACAATAAAAAAGCCGAAGAAAAGTCTTGATACATTTAAAGTGAATGTGTTTGTTTTGATTGGATGAGAAGGATATAAAATGGCATCATCTCCCGTTTCTATTTTTGTCCCTTATCACATCATTTCTTCATAGCGATTAGTCACTCTCTGGCCTCGCAGCGTTTGTGGTATTAATATAAATAAATATCTGAATGTCTTTGATCCCTCTGCAGGCCCTGAAGGTCCGGCAGGCTGACGTCACCAGGGAGACGGTTCAGAAGAGCGTGTGTGTCCTCAGTCGAGTGGTGAGTCAGTCAGTCAGGAAGCCGTCTTTTATGACATAAAAACATTTTAGTGTCAGTAGCTTTTCATGCTGGAAAGAAATGAATTCTCTGAGCTGTGACCTCAGCATGATCTTGTGGAAGAGGAATGGAAATATGGGAGACAAGATGGGATAAAAGAATTAACATGACGGACGTTTCCATTTCATGCGTCCCCACAGAGATTTACATAACTTACAGTCACGCTTTAACATTGTAAAATTCATCATGAGACTTCGGGCTTTGGAACAATCTGAAATATACTTCACTGGATGAGCCATCATTTTTCAGTGAATTACTGCAACAGATTGAGCTATTTCCCATCTTTTATTAATGCATTTAGGAAAAGGAAATGAATTGTAATCCTCTATGTTATTAAAGGGGCCCTATTATGCTCATTTTCAGATTTGATATTTGTATTTTGTGCCTCTTCTGTGACATATTATTAATATTCAATGTTTAATAGTGTCAATGGAAGGACATTTTCATAATTTAAAGAAAACATTTTTCGAAATGCAGCAAATGCCCTTACCAAGAAAACCAACTGCAATACAAGATTAATTATTCAAAGGCTTTATTTTCATATGCACAATAGCTACAGTCACAGGGGTGTCCAGCAATGCAACACACTATACTTTACATACAAAAGGAAATAAAAAAACTCCAATAAAATTGTGCAAGAGCTACTTTAGTTCAGTCTTTATCTCTCACTCTAATCTTAAGGGGGTTAAATGAGGACGAACTGAAAACAGTAGATCTTATCATGTCCGGACAGTTCCTGCTTTAGAGGGGAAAAGATTTGAGGGAAAACAGGAGTCATGTGTGAGTGCTGTTTCTCCCTATGAGCAGAAGTAGGCAATGATTTTTCATACTGTAAACACTTGATCTGTGCTGACAGCGTTTGTCTTGGTTTCCAGCCTCTCTTCGGTTTGCTTCAAGCGAAGCTGCAGCTCATCACACACGCGTACTTCGAGGAGAAAGACTTCTCCCAGATCTCCATTTTAAAGGTTAGAAAAACTCCATTAGAAACCATCAGTTTTATTATTCTGTTTACAACAGCACTGACCTCCCTCCTCCGCACTGCAGGAACTGTACGACCACATGAACGGCTCCCTGAGGGGCTCCACTCTCGAGGGGTCGCAGGTCTATCTAGGTGGGTCAAATTCTCACTTCATGCGTTCATAATCATTAATAATGACATGCAGAACAGTGGCATGTCACAGCTGAAAAGACAAGTTGAGTACAGTACTTGTGACAAAAAATAGTGGACTGATTTCATGCATTTTAACTTGGAATATGTATTATTTTGTAGAGTAAAACTCAAGTTAATTTCTTAATTTTATGATAATAGCTTTTCATCATTCAAAGTTACGCACTAAAGAAGTAAAACGATTGATTTTATTATGATTAGTTGCAAAAAATGCAGACCATATTTGTGCTTAATGGGACTTTGTGTCGTGTAATTGTCGCTGACTTCATAAAAATGACTATGCATTTTTCAAATTCCTCATTTGCTGAAGTGTGTTTGTTTTCTTTCTTCAGGGTTATCACCGAGAGATCTAATTCTTCACTTTCAGCACAAGGTAAGACAATCACAAATTGAACGACAATGATAAGCTTTAAAGTGTTTATTATAATTGTTCTTTAAAATGTAAACACTTCGTTTAATTTGATCCTTCATAGGTTCTTATCCTCTTCAAGCTCATTCTGCTGGAGAAGAAGGTACGATTAGAAACATGTATTCTCTTTTCTAGTAGTCCAGAACATTCCACGTTAAATAACGCTGTATGTCTGTTTTGTTGTTGTTTATGTTTGCAGGTCCTTTTCTACGTGTCTCCTGTCAACAGACTAGTAGGAGCTCTGATGACAGTTTTATCACTATTTCCAGGTCAGCAACTCCACAATCTCCACTTTTAAAGTTAAGCATTTGTAAGGATAGTGCACAGAAGTAATGAGCATTGCATTATATCATAGCATTGACACCAAACAAAAGATATGTTAAAATAGCAAAAAGATTGTGAACTGTCAGGTTCTGAAAGTCTACCCAAGTCAAGGCATGTTTTCAAATATTTTAACTATTTGCCTCTCAGCGTATCTGTAGTGTGTGTTACTTGTTCTTAAATGACTACATTTCAAGCTGACACATCCAGAAATATGTTGGAATTGTAGAAACCCTTATTATGTCAAACAAAAAACTAGCGGACGTCAAAATGGGTTATAATGGAAAATGGAGACAGAAAGGAAATAAACTCACATTCAATGTCCTCTGTGCAGGTATGATGGAGCACGGCCTGGTGGACTCGTCCCACTACAGGCCTAAGGGCAGCGTGTCGGAAGACCCCAGTCTGGTGGAGAGCGTCTCAGGGGCCGAGGAGTTCGTCTCCGTGTCCGCCACCGACATCGCCAGCACCTCCCCGGAGCTGCAGGAGAGCGGTCAGCCCGCCGCAGAGCCTCTGTCCTCGGGGGACAGCACCGAGGGGGACACCCACCTCCTCAAACCCCCGTCTCGCACCTCGCCGGACTCCTCGGAGAGCGACTGGGAGACCCTGGACCCCAGCGTGCTGGAGGAGAGTCCTGAGAAGAAGGAGGCAGCCGAGGGGAAAGACGCGGAGCTCCCGGACGCCTTCGACCCCGAGCCGGGGACGCCCATCACCGTGCAGCCGCTGCCCGCCAACGGCCAGGGCGGGGTGGTCCAGGGGCTGGTGTCAGGGCTGGAGGAGGACCAGTACGGCCTGCCGCTCCCCATCTTCACTAAGGTAACGGTTACACTGTGAATCATTAACTGTAAGTCAGATGTAAGGCATCTTCACTCAGAGAGGATCCGGACAAATCCCTCATGCTGAGCTCAAGCTACATGGACCGATTATTAGATCTATTTTTTGACAGTGTAATGTCTTTCTTATCTTAATATTTGTCAAGGCCCAATACTTTCTTCCTATGTGGATGTAAATCATGTATGTGTGTGGAGAAAAAGGCAAACCAAATGCAATTTCTATTGATTATACAAATAATATACTTATATATGTTCAAATGTTTCCATGTAGTGAAGTATATATATTTAAGTCTTAGTAGAAAAGTCAGTCTTCCCATCTCATGGATTTATAGGTTTTTCTGCAGTTAATATATTTTGTATTCCTCTTATTCCTTCAAGTAAATGAACTGCATTTTAATTGCATCTTCAGCCTTGGAGTTTTTGCCCCGAAGAGCTTGTTTTGGAGGGAAATGCTAAATATGTGATATATTGTCATGTTTCCTTCCACTTTTAGAGTCTATAAAAGATCAGCAGCAGTTTATAAAGATTTTAATATATATATCTCTGTTCAACCCCCCCGCCCCCCCCCGCCCTTATCCAATAATCCCCACTGTGTGTTTGAGTTTCCGCAGGATATAAACTCACATAGTGACACAGTGACCTTTGCCTCTTGTTGCCAGGGTTACCTGTGTATGCCCTACATGGCGCTGCAGCAGCATCACCTCCTGTCAGATGTGACGGTGCGTGGCTTCGTTGCCGGGGCAACCAACATCCTCTTCCGCCAGCAGAGGCACCTCAGTGACGCTATCGTGGAGGTCGGTGCTGTAAAAGATTTAATCACAATGTAAAGGTTAAAAAAAATCTAGTGTTTAAATAATGTTTTGTGCTGTAGGTGGAGGAAGCGTTGGTCCACATCCAGGACCTGGAGCTGCGGAAGACCCTCAACCTGACGACGGCCGACCTGAGGTTCGCCGACTACCTGGTGAAGCACGTGACGGAGAACCGCGACGACGTGTTCCTGGACGGCACGGGCTGGGAGGGGGGAGACGAATGGATCAGAGCCCAGTTCACACTCTACCTCCACTCACTACTGTCCTCCGCTCTGCAGCAAGGTGGGGGACCCCAGCCACTTCCTGTCTGTAACCTCTCCTTCCCTCTCATGGCTTCATCGAGGGCTTGTTTTTCTTAATTACCCATTACTGGCTAGCGTATCTGCAGGCTTCAAAATAGAATTGAAATACATTTGATCTAAATAAAGAATGTAATAGTGGTACAGTCTCATTGTATTATAGTGATGCTCATGAACGCACTTTAAAAGACCATACATAAAGAATTTGAAATGGTCTTGAGACATGTTTTTGACAATTTTGGACTCTTTTTGTATTAAAAATGTGTTAATAGTGTATATAAATATTTGAATTAAACAAGGGGAAGAACAATAGCTATCACTATTAGCCTTTGTAGTAAATACTAATATTATAAATAATAATGATGGTTCACAAAAAGGGTCCCAGCCTGATGGTTATGCTGTATTTAATGCAAAACAATGCAATTCAATCCAAAAACTTGACCAGTTCTTCACAATTTGTTCATTATTTTTATTGTAAAAAGTCAGTTTCTTATCTTTTCTTCTGATTGTATCTATCATAACTCTGAAAACAGTTCCTTTTTCTTTAAATATGGGGCTCACTCACTTATTAAGTTAGATTCCACGGTGACTTATCTTCGTTGCATGACTAATAATGATCGGGGCTGTAATTGTTGCACACACACACACACACACACACACACACACACACACACACACACACACACACACACACACACACACACACACACACACACACACACACACACTGATCATCACACTTAAATCAGCTTTGTGGAGTAAATGACATTAAATCCAGTTATGCTGCTAATCGTGTTCACTGACTCCAAACATCTCTCTTTTGGTCTCAGATAACGAGAGGCTGCTGGCTGACTACGGAGCGCCTTTCGTTGCAGCCTGGAAGATTACCCACAACTACCGGGTGTGGTACAGCAACAAGCATCCCGCCATGGCCGCCATCACCCCTGGGTAGGGTCACCAAGAAGGGAAAATCTTAAACAGAAACTCCTGTTATCTCAGCTGTGACAAAATGTATCATTTCTAAGTTATGAAGAGTCAATGAGTCCGGATGTAATCTGGTCTCAAAACTCAAGTTGTTGCAAAGGGGCCATTTTGAACAGCCATAATGTGATTCCTTCCAATATCATATTTAAAACTTGGAGTGCAGGTATATTGTTGTGGCTTTTTCCCCAGCCATCGACTAATTCTTAAACTCCAGGATGAATTGATCCAAAACCTCATATATGTCTGAAGCTAACATGAGAAAAGGAAAGCTTGAATTGATGCCTGCCTTTCTTCTCTGTTGTAGACATCCATTCCAGGGCCAGTACAGTGTTGCTGATGTGAAACTACGACTCTCGCAGTGAGTACTTTATCTATTCTGTAAGATACGGCACCTTAAAGATAAAGTCACGGAACAACATGTAAAACAGAAATAACAGGAAAGGGAAAGTGCAGATTCAGCAGCAGAGCCGTGACCTATTTCTGTTTCTTTCAAACTTCATCTTATCAGTGCTTTCGCTGTGGCTCAGTTGATGCAGTGCGCACCAAAACAAACATGTTGCTGCCCTCATGTGGGGAGAGGAGGACACTGAAGAGACATTTGACATGTTGAGAAGTGTTTATAGAATGTGGCTTTCTTTAAACCGAGTGTTTTTCAATTACTAATTCAGACTTTGTTTATTAATTTAAGAACATGTCGACCCATTAGGGACAGTGTTTGATCTCTGACCCCTGTGCTTTTACTTTGAAAGAAAGACATTACAACTCTCCTTAAACATCTGCCAAAATGAAAATGATATGTTCTCTACTATCAATTAGAGGACATGATGTTAAAGGCACAAGTTAGTTGGAGTGTCCTTCTTGCCGCTGACAAAGCTTTGTACTTCCTAAATATTATAATCGTTTCAAAACAAATGATTAGAGAACATTTCTAAAGAGGGAATTATTTAAATGTGTGGGCTGGATTCAAAAAGAAATTCTTAACATGTAAGGTAATCCGGATCCATCCCTTAGAGCACGAAACAATGAGTTAGTTTAAAATAAAGAATAGAAATTGATTTGTTCAATTCTTTAAAAAGTTCAGTACAGTAACTGTTATCTTGTCTTACCTCCTTTTAGACCATAAATGATTACACTTCCAAAGAGTTGTGCCCTCTTAGCACCCGTACTGTATGTGGTAAGAAGTGTGTTACCCCATGCTGTGTTTGTGGGTGGATAGATATAGCTTAATAGTGGTTGGGGGGGGGGGGGTTTGTATCAGCTGAGGTCATTAATTATGAGCTAGTTCACTCTCAAACAAAGCAGAGCTGGAGACTTCTTCAGCTGCAGCTCCGGTTCCCTCCTGGAAGTGTGGATGAAACGTGACTCCGACCACAGACCTCAGAGCTCCGCTTCTAGAGTTACGCGTCTGATAAATGCCCACACACACACACACACACACACACACACACACACACACACACACACACACACACACACACACACACACACACACACACACACACACACACACACACAGCTAAACTGGCTCCATCCCTAACTTAGCTTTACGATGAGTACACGCGCAGGTTGGCCCCCGGTACCCTCAGCTCTCTCACTTTACTTTAGGGTGTTTGGTGACATGGCCACTATGAACTTTGTCGTAAATGCTCAGCAAACAAACACACGGACAAACAAACTGTGGACGAAACCTTAAACTGGGTTTAGTTGAGTTCATCTGAAATGCCTTAATTGTGTTTTTTATGGTGCATTTTAGAAAATTGCTGGTTCATGGAGCAGGAAGGGGGTGAAGGGGCACGGTCTTCACTGTGCTCTAAAACTCTGGATGGAGCTATGGTGGTGCTAAGGGGTGATGAGGGGTGGGGGTGTCAGCAGGAAGTTTGGCACTCAGCCATTAGAGTCTTCTCAGGAATAAACACATCTCATTTCCTGCCTCCGCTTTGTGTCAGAGCCTCTAAACCAGGTGTGTGTGTGTGTGTGTGTGTGTGTGTGTGTGTGTGGTGTGTGTGTGTGTGTGTGTGTGTGTGTGTGTGTGGTGTGTGTGTGTGTGTGTGGTGTGTGTGTGTGGTGTGTGTGTGTGTGTGTGTGTGTGTGTGTGTGTGGTGTGTGTGTAGTGTGTGTGTGTGTGTGTGTGTGTGTGTGTGTGTGTGTGTGTGTGTGTGTGTGTGTGTGTGTGTGTGTGTGTTGTGTGTGTGTGTGTGTGTGTGGTGTGTGTGTGTGTGTGTGTGTGTGTGTGTGTGTGTGTGTGTGTGGTGTGTGTTGTGTGTGTGTGTGTGTGTGTTGTGTGTGTGTGTGTGTGTGTGTGTGTGTGTTGTGTGTCCCACTCCCCCTCCCCCTGCTGACCCGGACCACAAGAACAACAGGCAGTCATTAAACCATGGCTGCTAAATCCATAGATGCATCATCTATTTGTTTTTGGACACTTTCCTCACCATGAACTGAAGCAAGTTGAGTCATCTCATGAGTGAGTGACAGCAGAAACAGATACACCTCTAATTTAGTTGTACAGTTAAAGGTGGGGTAGGTAATTCACTTCAGAAACACTTTTTGTTATATTCCATGGAATGCTCTTAACATCCCGATAGCAATGAATATATTAAATGCTTTGACAAAAAATCCATACAAACATGTCACCTGTTGAAGCCGTGGCGCTGTAAAAAGCACGACCAATCATCTGAGCCGGCCCGGCTAAAGTAACTGGATGGCCTACCTGCCTTCCATCTGTGCACACACTTATCTCGTGCCCTCATTGGTCATGTGCGCGTTCGTGTGTGTGTTGGAGGAGGGGCTCTGTGAGGAAGTCTGAAGGAAGGGGCAGATTTTTTTCCGGTTGTGTACTTTCAAATTCTAGCGCACTCGAGCTGGTTTCTCCATTCTTACATACCCTACCTTTTAAAGAACACAATTTAGATCTTGATTAGGACCCATACTTGAACATATAACACTGGAGGTACAGTATAAACCAGAAAGAAAGAGTAAATAAGGAAAGAAGAAGATGTAAACATGGGGCTGTTTTCCTGGCACACAGTGATTTGTCCCTATTGACCAGATGTTATTGTTTGAGTCCATCCATTCGCTCAGCTCATCACTCTTTGTCCCACTGCTGCTGCCATGCCACCTCCTCTCTATTTACTCCCCTGGGAATAAAAAACACACACAAAAACAAAAGCAGGCCCTACGCTTGACTTCCTTGTGAATGTGCTGTGTTGCATGTGTGTTATGGATGCTCTGGGGGGACGGGGGCCCTTTTCATGTTCCCTCGTCCTCGGACAAAGAGCAGCCGGTGGCAGAGATGTTCTCAGAAAACAGGAGTCATGTGACGGCTGCAGGCGGACTCTGGCTGTTAGAGGGTCTTTCTTTATTGTCAGAGCAGTGCCCCATAAGGAGATGTTTATCTGGGTCAGCCAGAGAGAGGACAAACTGCTTTCTGTTACCATGAGGCTGGATGGTATCTGGATTTAAGTTCCATTATTTCCCCTTTAACAGCTTCAACATTAATACAATTCTTTCTATGCAGTCACAAAAAGAGTCTAATGAGGAAAATATGATTCTAGACTTGTGCATATTTTGCATTTTGTAGTAATGTAACTTGGATATATGAGCAAGCATTACGATCAGTAATCAATTAAAGGTTAAAGCCATTCTCAAATGTAATTAAAATGATAAAACACAAGTTATGTAATAGAGATAAAAACATTAAAAAAATGTAAGTTTTTGTAATTTTAATGTGGTAGTGGTTTTGATTAACATAATGATTAGTCTATACCTAATGAGAGTGAGTCATACTGTGTTTTTGAGTGGCTAAAATAATATTCAAAGCCCCCCTATGTTTATACAAAAAATATATTGTATAAAATGTAAAAAAATACACATTTACTACAAACAGAATGGCATCAGAACAAAACACCTAGTGGCTTCAAACAGAATGACAAAAACACGCTAAGCCCTCTGAGCATCGCTGGGAATGCACAGCAGCCACTCTCTTACTTTGAAAGGGAAGACAAAAGGAAGTTGGCACGGAGGACAGATTCCGGAGCCGGATCACTGATCCTAGCAACGGGCGCCTAGCAACCGCAGCTTGTTTGGTGGAGTGACGGCGCCGCAGGACGTCCGTCTGACTGCGAGACGCCCAGAGGGGGTGCCATGTTGATGCTGCAGTCACAAAAACACTGTATCTGTCTGCAGGCAACACACACACACACACACACACACACACACACACCACACACACACACCACACACACACACACACACACACACACACACACACACACACACACACACACACACACACACACACACACATCATCCAGATATGATGGATTGTTCTACAATATTAAATATGTTGGGCTGCCATGTGGTGCTAAATGATTGCGTTTGTCGACATCATTCCTTTCCAAAAATGTTCATAATACAGCTCAATCTACACTAAACCAACCAGCTAAAAATGCATTAAAGAGACACAATTGCTTTATTTTATTCTTAAAATAACCTTGACTTTAACGTAAATGTATTTACCCAAGGTCATTGCATTTGAAAAGGCAAACCAGCGTTGTCTTCTTTTCCCCAAACAAAAGAAACAACATGCATGTATGTATTTCCTCCCATTTTCATTTCACCACACACACTGATCGACAGCTCTGTTGTGTCCATCAGGGCAGCAGCAGTGCAGTCAATTCACAGGGACCCGGTTTATTTTCAGATGGAATAATTGGCTCATTAGGGGGTGAGAAGGCGCAGAGAGGCAGCTGCATCCTCATGGTGTCTCTAGCTGCTGTTTGTCCAGATGATTCCTGCTGAATGTCAGGTCAGTGGGGATCCGTGTGAAAGGTTGGACTCGCACCAGGCTGCTGTTCAAATGAAGCCGCATTTAGCCGTGCATTTGTTGTGAAACAGATCCCGCTCGCTTTCACTCAGGTCTTCCCGACACAGCACCTGCTGCTCAGCCGTCACATAATCCCCTCTAACAGGTTGACGCAACATTTAGCCACGCCGCTTTTGTGTGGTTTGTTTCCTGGAAATGCGGAAGAATCCCCGCAATGTCACACCTTGGATGCATGCGTGGTTTTTGAACCCTTTGTTTTCTCCTTCTCTTTATGTCCACTGCAGCTCGGTGCAGAACAGCGAGAGAGGGAAGAAGATCGGAAACGCCATGATGACCACCAGCCGCAGCGTGGTGCAGACGGGGAAGGCAGTGGGTAAGAAAGCTCACACAACGCTCCTTAAATTAAATGTTCGAGGGAAAACATTATTCAGGGGAACAACCAATAAATACACAGAAAGGTCAGTTTATTTACAATATGTGTGGTGTACCTCAACATCACCCACACCTTTCCTTTAATTAATAGTAGAAAATGCCCTTTAATGGTCCAAAATTGATCAAATATTAAAAACAGTAAAGCAAGTAATACTCAAAAGACATATTTACCTATTTGGTCCCCGTTCTCCCCCTCTGCTCTCAGGTCAGTCCGTGGGCGGAGCGTTGACCAGCGCCAAGTCGGCCATGTCCTCCTGGTTCTCCACCCTGGCCCAGCCTGCAGCTGTAGCCGCTCCAGAGTACGTGGAGGCCGCCACAGAGGTCCAACCCTAACCCCCCCCCCACCCCCCACTCTGTGTGTGACTCTGTCGTCGTCCGCTCACCCTCTGGCTGCTGTGAACCCTGAGGCTCAGTGGACCAGGAGCTGCTTTTATGAAGGAGGAGAGAAAAAGAGTGTGACGTCTTCAGGTTGGTGGCTCCGGGTGACATCATGACAGGAAGGCAGCGCCGCGTTATAATAACTGTACAGTCCATTTCCACTGTGAGGCAGAGACTGCCAGTGCTTTTGATCAAAAACCCAGAAATCTCCGCCGGCTGCATCATGTCCGAGCGGCCCTTTGTATCGCTGGATGCCTCTCCTGTAAGACACTAAAGTACGGTTTGCCGTGTCACTCTCCCTGCTGCGTATTTCTAGAGTTTGCCTGTATCTATATTTGCTGACAGTTTCAGGCTCATTTCTTTGGAGAGATCAAAGATTCATCGGTGCCACAGGATTTGACAGAACAGCATGAGCTGTGGCACCTCAAACATTTTAAAGGTTCAGATTTTCAGCCTGGCTCTTGTTCAGTGATGGAGCAACATGGTGGTGGTCGCAGTAATGGCATCAATTCCTGCATACATGAAACTAAATAAGTGATTAAGAAAGGCTGAAACGAATTAATGTATTGATTATGATTTGTTTTATAATTACTGGTTAATTTGAGGAAATAGTGAGACATAAAACACTATCAGACAAATAACATTCTTGAGCACAAACAACTTTATTTTGTTTACCTATTCATTTGCTTTGCCAAATGTTTTTAAAGAAAAAAATGTAGTTTCAATGTTAAGTATTGCAATAATATTATTTATTTATATATTCAGTGTTATTTTTGACTTGTCTGATACCATTTTCTTACACCTTTAATTTAGTAGTTTTATCCAATTAAATGTAAGATGATATAATCTTAAAAAATAGATACAAATGGCAATTTCAATTTGCTCTAAAACTGCACTCTTAACTCATTTGACAAAAAAAAACCACTACACAAATAATAACACAATCTGAATGCTGTTACTGCGCTCACCATAATGTTGTTACATGGACCCTCGTGTACTAAATGTCTGATTCTGTCTCCTGTTGAAATCCTCTCTTAACTATGAAGGAACCTGCACCCAGCTGTGTTTGACCGGGTGTCATTAACCCCCCAGGCCTTTTTATACAACATATATATATATATATATATTGGGAGACCTATATTTAGTACATCTGAAGATAGTTTAAAGTTATTTATTTGTTGTGTAGAATATCCACGTTTTTATCATGAAAACACTGGAACTGAGTGTGGACCACTGTGTGTGGACCACTGTGTGTATTTGCACAGAGCGGCCATCATATTCTATTTATGTGACTCTTATCTGGTATGACTGTGATGTTCAGGTGCTTTCAGGATCTGTTCCCTCCATGCTTCAGATATTCAACAACAGTTGGATTCAAAGTGGTCCAGTGAGCATGCTCTGTTCAGTCCAGTTTTACAGCTGTAATGAGTGTCACCCTCCCTTCCCATCTTTAAAACTCTTTTAATGTCCCCTTTGTTCTTCATGCTTTTAAACCTTCTTTGGCCATTGAGTCATTTCGGGAATTTTCTTTAGATTTCTGGATTAGAAGATATCAGCTGTTAAAAGCTGCCTTTTTTTTATCCTCTGATATATTTTCATTTTATATTTAACAGATATGAATGTATTGTGAATGACAGTTCACAGAATATTTTCTTGACAGATGCTTTTAATGTATTTGAGAATAAGTGATCCTCTACTATATTGCTGTATTAAAAAAACATAAATAATAACAGGCTTTCACTTTTTAAGAGACTGTGGTATGGGATCAGTTATTTTCTGTTATCCCTCTGGGTGTTTGTGTCTGGGTACGAATGTAGGTCAGAACAACAAAGTGGTGTGTGTGTGTGTGTTTAGAGGGGGTTGTTGTTGTGGTGGTGGCACATGGTAGCACAAAAATGCACCCATGTGTTTTCCGAAAACAATTCGTCAACATCATGGGGACACGGCAAGATCAGCAGAAAGTCACAGTACAGAGGGATTGTTTATATATTTAATTTATTTTTACACACTGATTTTGTTTGAATTAATTGTCCTTACGTCTGATTAATTAGATAAATATATCAAGGGATTATTTTGTATCCGTTTTTTCTTGATACATTACAGAACTGGCATTGTGTAGTGTTCTGATCTTTAACTATTAATCATTTCCCATCATGTATCCTTAGCCATAAAGCACCTCAAACATATTAGCTACACATCTATTGAGAAATGTAACACCACAGTCCAAAAACTTTTTTGGTAACCAATAAAAAATACTTGTAGTGTTAAAGGTGGGGTATGTAAGTTTAAGAAAACCGACTCGAGATACACTTTGTTATATTCCATGGAATGCTCTTAAAATCCGATAGCAATGAATATCTTATAATGCTTTGACAACAAATCCATAAAAGAATGTCATCTGTGGAAGCCGTAATACTGTAAAAAGCACGACCAATCATCTGAGCCGGCCCGGCTAAAATAACTGGATAGCCTACCTGCCTGTCAGCCTTCCATCTGGGCACAAACTTATCTCTTATTGGTCATGTGCGCGTTCGTGTGTGTTGGAGGAGGGGCTCTGTAAGCAAGTGGCAGATTTGTTCCGGCTGTGTATTTTCAAATTCTAGCGCACTCGAGCTGCTTTCTCCAAAATTACCTACCCCACCTTTAAGTATCAAAAACAGTTCAATATCTGATAGTTTTTTTGACAAAGAAAGTTAAACATTTAACCCGTTTCATGCATGAATTATGAAAACCTCAGTCAAAGATGTGCAAACTTAAAATTACATTATAATAACACAAGTATATTGATTTACGGCCCACAAATATATTGCAGATTAAGTATTTTCAAGAATAACCAAAGCCAGGGGCCAATTTGAGGCCCCACAGTTATTTGATGAGTGCTACTGGAGCCTCGCAGCGGTGAAACCGTGCCGCGCGCCTCAGATGAGGCCCCCCTCCGCAAGGTGAGGCCCCACAGTCTGCACGATCTGCCAGTAGGGAGGGACGGCCCTGGGAACAACAGCAGCAGTACCAGTATGAATTGTAGTGATGCATGACGTCCACTGTAGTGGACAGGTGGTTAACCATGATTTCCTGCAAACATAAAATCAATACTTTGATAATTTATGAATTATATGATTCCTTAGTTGTTACTTGATGTCACCATATTGTTTATACCTTCAGGGAGCGCTTTCCATGAAAGGATTGGCAAAATATAGATGGGTGACTTGGTCCATGTGACTTTCTGTCGTCCATCTTGGTTTAGAGACATTTATCATGCACTTACACTGACTTGGCACTGAGTAGCAGTGTATGGGATGATGCAATAGAGTCCTATGTAGTGGCTGATGGTGCAACAATGCATATAAAACACCTTTTGAATAGCTGTCCACTGTAGTGACCTCTATGCATGAAAGGGTTACAAAATAAATAAACACCAAGTCTAAACAAAAGAAGCAGGGAGTCAGTTTCAGGAACGTTTTTGGTATGTTTTTTAATAAATTAACGTTCATTCAAAATACAGTGCCAAAGGAATATGATGCAGCCAAACATGCTAGTAAGGTTTGTCATGAAGCACCTGTGCTCATGTTTTTAAAGGTAGGAGGAAGACCCCTGCTCCCCATCCCCAACCCCAACTATAACCTGCCCTCTCCACTACTGATAGTGGTTGCCGGGACGAACTCCATAGCAACAGTCGTGGGCCAGCCCTCTCTTCTCACAACCAATCAGCAGCAAGATTCCTCAATTTTCACTTGAGAAAAAATTCAATCTGATCGGAAAATGGACATCTACCCACAATCACACTACAGTAATGTTTGATATTAAATTAAAAAAAGACACTAATACAAAATAGACCTGGTTATTTCCCCCCACACTAAAACAGTTGTCTTTTAAACATATGAAAAATATATATTTTATTATATATATATTTCAGCAGCTTGGGGAAAAAGAAAAAAAAAATGCATGAGCCCGAAACCTACAGAGTGGAGTTTTGTAGAGACCCTTGTGGAAAGAAAAATGTTCATGATCATGTGACGATGGATGGAGTGAGGTGTAAACTGCGAGCTGTGTGGAAGACAGAGGTGGGGGAGGAGGACAGAGGAGAGGTGAGGGTGACCGGACCTGCAGTCACCCACTCTTAAATCCTCTCCTCACTCGTTTCCCCCTCCTCCCAAAAACTACAGCCCCTGTTCCTCTCGTCTGCGGGGGCCTTCAGAAGAAAAACACGGATCCCGTTTGTTAAAAGGTAATCTAATACTTATTTTTGCTCATTTGTGGAGGAGGGTAGTTGTAGTAAACATGGATTTAAATGGAGACGACAGCAAGCAAACATGTCTGAACCAGTGCTGAAAGGACAACTGTCAATCATTTCATCATTTGAGTAGAGCTGCAACTAATGCGTTTTTTCATTATTGTTTGTCAACAGAATTTCAATAAAAAGTACTAGCCAAATTTTTAAGGAATTTGCTAGAAGGGTGAAGCAATGTTATCATATATTTTGGAGCAGATCAAAATTACAAAGCAGATATAAATTACTATCATTACATTAGTGCTGCATTCAAGTGATGACGGGATTATAGTTCAAATGCGTACGAAATGGAAAATGTACATAAACGCTCGTCAAGTCAGAAGAACACTTCGGATACAGATATCAAGGTGAAGTTTAAACACTTCAGCAATACAATTGTGTTGGGTAGACAATTTGAGCTTTTTAAAATGACATCTTATAGACTACAAGACAATTCATTTATTTTATATACTTGTGGTCTTCAATGAAAATACGGTTTGGAAGCAGCTCTGCTTAAATGTATCCAAACATCAAGGTCCAGCTTTCAGACATGTATCTTAAAGCATCCTCTTTGCTCAGTTGCCACACAGATGTTTTAATTGTTATTATGCGACAAAAGTAGCTTAAAAAGGTTGAATATTTAACATTTATCAGTAGTTTTACAAAACAAATCTTAGCACTATGTCTACATACTGGAAATATTCTGGACCTTCTTGTAGCCTCAGTTTTAAGGGAAGAGAATAGAGATTAAAGGCCATGAGATGTGAGATTGAGAACATTTTCATACAATGGTCCTTGTGCTGCATATTTTATTTGACAAACTACCAGCTCAATATCATGCTTTAAATTGTTTTGAGAAGTTTCTATGGAACATGTTGTTAGTGGATCTAGTCGGGGAGCCATTGTAACGACAGCTGCTGCTTCCACAAAGGAGCAAACTAATAACTTTTCCAAGAGCCTTATACTCTAAGAGATAGAGTTTTCATTTATCAGTGGTGAGAGAAGAGAAAAAGAGGAGAGGGGGAAGCCACGATCAGAAGGGATAGGGGGGAGGGGGGGGGCTAGGGGATTTTGGTACAGTTGCCATTGTCATTCCGAGAAGGTTTACCAGTTAAGTGCATTATCATCACAAAATAAGTTGAGATTATCACATTGTAGAAACAGTATGACAGACTTGTAATAATATCTAACAGATGTCACAAATGACAAAATAAGAAGATTTTTTTTCAGATTACTTGTGTTTCCGAGGGGCATCTTTTCAATCCGGGCTGCACGTGAGGAGATCCCTCCGCAACAGAGAGAACGTCAAACCCTTTCATATCAGAGAAGTGATCCGCCCCCCCTTCATGTTCATCCCTCAGCGTTACAGATTCCTGGTTCAGTCAGCGAGGTAGGGGAGGGGAGGTTAAGAGCTATACGTGAGGGAGGGTCACCAGCTCCCCGTCCACCTCAAACTCCTCGGCTCCGTCGGGGGAGAAGAGATAGGTTGGGGGTTTCCAGGGGGATTCCTCCAGGCAGGAGGGGTACAGCTTCCCCACAGCACAGCGGAAGTCTTTGCCCAGGTCCCAGAGCACGCGTTCGGACACGGGCTGCCGCAGGTACCAGCGGTCCAGCTCTATGTCGTACTGGTAGATCGCGTACTTGGCCCTCTCGTTCATGTGGGTCTCGCGCATGAAGATGCACAGCGAGTTGAGCAGCAACCACCCCGCCCGCACGCAGGGGTCAGAGTATCGCTTAGCAGGGATGTTGGCGGCCTGGCGCCACTCGTTCTTGTTGACGTCGTAGATCTCCACGGTGACAGAGGAGCCGTCGATGGTGCTCGTGGGCAAGCGGATGCCAGAGTTGCTGACCACGTGGAGGCCGCCGATGTAGAAAATGAGGTCCCCGAAAGCAGCGGCGGAGGCGAAGCAGCGGCTCGTCTTGCGCATGGCCATCTCCACCCAGGTGTCGGCGCGGGGGAAGTAGCAGTACATCAGGTCGTGGGTCATCACGTAGATGCAGTCGTGCGCCACCACAGAGGTGCTCCAGTTCCAGGCGTATGGGAGGGGGCTCATCATGCTCCACTCGTCCTTCTCGCAGTCGTAGCGCTCCACCGTGCGCTTGTTCAGCTCTCCTCCGACGTTATCTCCTCCGATTGCATAGATGTAGCCCTCGCAGTGGACCAGGGAGGGCTTGATTCGGGCGCACAGCATGGGGGTTTTAGGAACCCAGGCGTTCTGCTGGGCGTCGAACCAGAAGAAGCTGTCGACAGAGCGGAACACCGCCTGTAGCTTTCCACTCTTGCCGTGGTTGGTGATAGAGTTTTTGAGAGGGATCTGCCCCCCGGCTATGAACACATCATTGTCTGGTGTAACGAGAGTCCCCACCTTCTGCAGGTCTCCTGGGGGGTTGTTGAGCTTGTACACTTTCTCCGCCTGCGGGCTGTAACACACTACTCTGGTAGGCAGACCCCCGGCCATCACATATCCGTCACCCAGCATTTCTGACATGGCCTCCATGAAGATCAGCATCTCCTCCTTGGTCATGCCTAGACGAGGCTTGAAGAACTTGGGCATGGACTTGTAGAGGCCCTGCACCACCACGGACTTGTCGTTCGGTGGCAGACCCTGGAACCAGGCGCGCTGCGTCACCTCGGACAGCGCGTCGATGCGGATCTGACTGAGCACCGAGGACAGGTGCTGCGAGCGGGCCTCCATGTTGTACTCCAACCACAGCATGGCCGCCTCGCGCACCGTCTCCTCCTTCTCCACGTTGAGGTTGTCGCTGCTCAGGACGTCGATCAACAGCTCGTGGGAGAGCTGAAGGAACGCCTCCTGCCTGTACACCATGGGGAACTTGTGCTCCACCATACGCTTAGCGCTCTGCTTGAGCTCGCTGCAGCTGAAGAGGTCGCCGATGCTCAGCATGCGGACGCAGTTGTCAGCGCTTATCTTCTTCACCAGGTAGTCTCTGCACTGCAGCAAGACATCCTCCACCTGAACAGGGGACAAGAGACCACAGTCAGACAAGACATTTCACTCAGAATCAAAGGACACGGCTACAAGAGTAGAGACTGACACAACCGTAGTAATTTAAAGATGTAAATAGGAAGATTGGGTAATCTAATTAGGTAGATTTACATAGTGTTTGAATAAAAACAGCAAGTGTTTACAGTGTGCGAAAAAGTACACGTCCCACCGTCCAGGACGTGTTATTTACAATATCGGACAAGTAGATCTTTCAATTGACTTGTCCGGTGGACAAGTGACGTTTTTCGGCCTGTTTTATTGACAAATTATTGATACATTCAGTTTACAAAAGGCAGAATTCAGTCGCAAATTGTACGTGTCCGCCATTGTTCGTTTAGAAGTGTTAGTTTCGGTTCTGTTTGTCGATTCCTAAGGAAATGCATCTTGCCGCTTTCTGTACAGGGGGCGGGGCGGGAAGTGTAGCACAGTGGCTGGGTTTGGAAGCAAAACTCGGTTCCGAGTAGGAACACATTACAATTGTCCGGTACCGGGATTAATAAGAGTTGTGAGGACAGGAGGCGAGGCCGAGCCCCGCAGACCGCAGCTCTCTCTCTCTATGCTCCGTATCAGCTGATCGCTGCATGGTGCAGCTCAGCGTCTCTCCCTCCCTCTCTCTCCCTCTCTCTGCACACAGCAGATCCGCTGCCCGTTTAACAGCCTCATCTTTGTCAAACGTTCTTATGTCCTTTCTCTAACACGTAATGAAGGGTATTAAGCGTTTTAGCTCCTGTGTTGTTAATATTGACGCCATTTCCTTTATGAAGTGAAGCAGCCTCCCTGTCTGTGTCCTCGCGCTGTCCTCACATCCCCGGACCCCCAGACTCGGAGGAGCACAGGGATGTCAGTATTGTTTATGAAGCAGGGTATAGAAAGTAGCTACATTATTGAAATGAAAATACTATTTATTTACTTTTACAAACAGTGAGCAGCTGGGCAGCTGCAGCATGTGTATTGCAGGACATGTGTAAGCGTGCAAGCGTCTTTGAGTTGTAGAAAAGCGCTAGGCCTATAGGCTATACATATAATGTATTATTATTATTATTATTAGGCTATGTCCTATGTGTTGGACATGTGTGGTTGGACTCTGTCTCACAGGCAGGTTGCAGTGTAACATCAGAGGAGACTGGGCCACTTAGAACTAACTAAACAATGCAGAGATTAATTTATATAATTGTATTCAATAACTGTAAGAAATTAAACAGTATGAAGTGATTTGTAAATAGGAATACAGATTTGACTTAATGTTTTCATAAATATATTTTTCTCCCAGTTTGACTTATTTTTACCCTCTCAAAGAACCGGAATCCAGAACCGAAAATAACCGGAATCGAAAAGCAGAACCGGAATTGTTGAAATCCAAACGATACCCAACCCTATGTGTGATGCAGTAAAATCTTACCGCTCACTTACGTTAGCGGTGTCGTAAAAAACGTGGAAAAATGTCAAATACGATGGCGAAGAAGAAGATTCCAGTGGCCCCAATTTTTGTCCATGCTGGACAAGTGAAAAATGTCTTCGGACAAGTAAATTTTCAAACTCACTTGTCCATGGACAAGTACTCTCTAAAAACTTGTTCTCACACTGGTTTACACGGACCTGTAGGAAGCAGGCGGTCTCGTAGAGCGGCTCCACCGTGCTGTCGTTGATGGCCAGGTTGCCCGTGTAGGCGTAGGTGATGATGATCTGCAGGGTGGCTGGGTCCACGTTCCTCAGGTGGACGTGGGTCTGTTTGCTCTCACTGAGGCCGCTCATGAACATCGCCCTGCAGGAACACCAAGGAACATCCATCAGTACACAGAGTTACTGAATTAGGAAGAAAACTGCAAATTGGCACATCATAACACTTATTTTAACTTATACTTAACAGATTCTTGTTCTTAAGAAAATGGCAGGATTGTAGGATTCTGCCGTAGTTGAAGATGTCACAACTGATTTTGATGCTTTACAGCTGGTGTACACTGATTAGCATGCCCAACCAAGCCAGTTTCTCTCATTAGTGACAACAAGTGACAGACCCCCCCCCCCCCTGGTTGGTAGGCTTACTGCGCAGTTTGTCTCCAGCTGGACTCCTCTCTGTTTGAGTTCCATGTGGGCTGCCTGCACTTCCACGTAGTCGTTCATCAGAGCTGCCTAAACCTCTTTTTACTGCATCTATTACTCAAATGTTATGCATCTGTAGAACTGTTATTGGCTTAAACTGGTCATTTGCATTTATTATGGCAACGTCTTTGGTGCACTGATGCTTCTGTGCTGCACTTGCCAGAGTCAGATTGTCAGAAAATGACATGTAAGGTAATCAATTAATCCTAAGGATTTAAAGCCCAAATGTTGACTATTTCCAGCTCCTTAGAGAACATGTGTTCGTGATTTGTACTCTTGTATAGGATACTTAAAAAGGTGTAGCTTTAAGTTCTGAATTATTTGTCATTTTGTCACTTGCAATAATGTGCCTGCAAAACCGCTCTGTCCTCCTGTATGGAGTTTGGAGGGGGTGCGACTGTGCTTTGCTCACAGCAGGGGCTAAACCTTCCAGGCTGTGTTACACAACCCTGCAGGCATACCCCTGCACCCCACCCCCCCCCCTCCCCTTTCTCTACATCTCTCCCCAAGACCTACGTGACCAGACTTTCCCCTCCATACACCAGCACTCCCCAGACTCTCCCCTCTTTCCCTGAAGCGGGGAGGCGTGCGAGGGGAGGTGGAAGCGCAGGCAGCATGACAGAGAGAGAAAAGGAAGGAGTAGTAGTTTGGAGGAAGCGCAGCCTGCGACACCTCCGAACCCTGCCGGGGAAATGCTTTGCATGTTCGCACCAGATCACGAGAGTGTGGGAAACAGGGGATCGTGTAAGAGCTGGGTGTGAGAGAGGCATCAAGTTGTCAGGACCTTTTCTTGGAATGCATGTGTGAGCGTGTGTGCAGTGAGAGAGGGAGGGGTTGGACGCAGAGTAAGACGGCGTGTTCAAATGAAGCCCCTGTCAAGTACAGATGGACTCTTCCCAGAGCCGAGGCTGCTGCTCTGTCATATTCACTGCAGTGCACACACTTCATTATGCAATGTTGTGCGTTCAAATGAGGCCTCCTCAGGGCCTTGAGGGATGCTTCTGTACGACTATAGGTTAGCGATTGCTTCATTTGTTCTGTGAGAAATACATCCGACACGGAATAACTGGCGCAGAAGGAGCCCGGCTTTTAAGGAAACACCATCCCCTTGTTTTCCCTCCTGCGTGTAAAGAGTGTATAACACTTGCTCTACGACGCTGTGCATTATTCATTGTAACCGTAGGAGGTGAGCACTTGCAGACATAACAACCTCGCTTCATAATGACAACATATCGTCGAAATGACACTGAAGGGAATAATTGCTTTCTTTAAACACTGTGTTGCATGATTCATTGAAACTGTAGGAGTCTAATTCAGAAGAGCCCCCCCACACAAAGCATCACCACTAAAATAGTCATTCCAAACAGAAGTCCCAAACACACAAGTTATTCCACACTTGCAGCACTCACCTGAAATAGGAGCTACATGTTGCCAGGACCATCTTGTGACACGGGAACTCTGAGTCCTCCACCAGCAGCACAACATCAGTCAGTAATTTCTGTTCGTAAAAGAACTTGAGCTGCTCCAGCAGGGAGACAGCGTAGTCCGTGTTGACCGGCCTGCGCTCACTGAGATCCGACATGGTTGCATCCCATGAATCGCGCCCCAGTTTTGAAAAGTCACACGGCCGGCAGAACCGGGCTCAAACCAACCGGGAGAATGTATATTTTTAAAAAGCCAAGAGGGTTAACGAGGGGGCGTGGGGGCAGAGGTCTTCAACACCTCCACTGACCAAAGTGGAGGTGTTCAACTGCTATGTGGAAAAATATGCGCTGCTCCTTCTTCTGGAGATTAGTTGAAAGAGGAGATGGCTACCGAGTGTCGCAGTCAGGAGTCCAGGGGGTAGGGTCCTGGGTGAGGAAGGGGTTGTGTCCTCTCGTAGATCTATCGGATGTCTGAGGTCATGCAGTGAGGCACCGGGGAGGATCGGAGGTAGAGGGAGAGCACCACAACTGTTGCAACCCTGCTACATCAGCGCTCGTCTGAAAAACACAGGAGAAATACAAAACGAGTGGTGATGAGTCAAGAATCCATGGAAACTAGAGGGACAGAGAAAATAACCCTTTGCAACACAATTCTGATTCATTAACAAAGATGCCCCAACTTCATAGCGTGACAACATCATCTCCTTTCTCGGGCCTAGATCTTTCTGTGTGCAATGATGGCACAACAACACATCAGATTGACTAGAAGGGCGCTACATACATGGGAACAAAACACTTTCCAACTCCTGATTTTATCAAAACAAAGTACTGGGAAGAATATTTATCTCAAATGGTGCATTTTACAGCCACCTCCACGCTGAATCAGATCTGCTGGATGCCCATACTGACAAACACCCGAGACAACCTTCGATCGTGTGTAAATGTAAAGCATTTAATACATTATTTAAAGGTCCCCTATTATACTGTTTTTCATTACTTTATAGGTCTCAGATATATATACAAAACATGTTTCTGAAGTGTTTGGCTCCAAATACCAACCGGATCATGCATTGTAGCATCCCATAATCCCCTCTGTTTCAGCCCTGTTTCCAAAGTGCTGATTCTCTGTCTTTGACTTTAGATGAAAATAAGGAGCCCCTCCCCACGCCCCTCTGAGAGACATTTGGTTAAAAAGAACACAATGGTGCTCTAGGAGGAGATTCAGGTGATAAGGGGGGGTTACACAAGCCAAAAAACTTTATGACATCATAAAGTGGCCAAAATCTGATCAGCTCGTTTTCAGACAGGTTTTTATAGAAATGGATCAGGACAAAAAGTGAGCAAATATTTGTTCCTGAAACTTTCAGAATCTCTTTCCGCAGAGGGGACACATGTTGATGTAGAAGAGACATGGAGAAGAGGGGACACATGTTGATGTAGAAGAGACATGAAGAAGAGGGGACACATGTTGATGTAGAAGAGACATGAAGAAGAGGGGACACATGTTGATGTAGAAGAGACATGAAGAAGAGGGGACACATATTGATGTAGAAGAGACATGAAGAAGAGGGGACACATGTTGATGTAGAAGAGACATGGAGAAGAGGGGACACATGTTGATGTAGAAGAGACATGAAGAAGAGGGGACACATGTTGATGTAGAAGAGACATGAAGAAGAGACATGAAGAAGAGGGGACACATGTTGATGTAGAAGAGACATGAAGAAGAGGGGACACATGTTGATGTAGAAGAGACATGAAGAAGAGGGGACACATGTTGATGTAGAAGAGACATGAAGAAGAGGGGACACATGTTGATGTAGAAGAGACATGAAGAAGAGGGGACACATGTTGATGTAGAAGAGACATGAAGAAGAGGGGACACATGTTGATGTAGAAGAGACATGAAGAAGAGGGGACACATGTTGATGTAGAAGAGACATGAAGAAGAGGGGACACATGTTGATGTAGAAGAGACATGAAGAAGAGGGGACACATGTTGATGTAGAAGAGACATGAAGAAGAGGGGACACATGTTGATGTAGAAGAGACATGGAAAAGTGGATTTTGCATAATAGGTCCCCTTTAAGTAAAAGCATGTATTTGTTGCTACTATCAGTGTTTCCTTTATGCATCATAACTGCCACATTCATGTGTATGATGCATTTGACTGCTTTAGATGTTTTAACTCATGTATGTAATGTTCCCTGTGAGAACCATGTGAAGTATCTCTAAAAAGCCTCATGAGCTCAGACAAAACACATTTCTGTTTCCAGCTTTGTGATGATGCATTTTTAAGTTGATCCAAGACGGTTTTTCCGAATGGTAATTGAGTCTTAGAAATAAGAGGACTTTATCTATCCAAAAGAAAAACGTCATCCTTCATTTTATCAGAAAAACAATCAACATTAAGCCGTCAGACAACTGCAGTATACTATTTACTTCTGAGATGTGGTAGAATGATTAAGTAGCAGAACATTTGAGATACTCAAGTAAAATGCAAATCAGTCATTTTGAATTCGAATACATTGTACTACTGTTTAGGCCTACAGTTTACCAACAACGTGTACATGATATAGCTAAGTTAAGGTTTTCACATGACACATCCTTACAACGTTAGTCCATCTATATACATCAACTTCCAACGCACTAGCTTAGATAACTGGCTAGCTACCTAGCAAGCTAACGACTGTACATTAGTGACGTATTTAACCCCAACAAACTGCTTACTAACGGTTCACTGAAGTAAAGGCTGATCTTTATAAAGCTTGTATCATTACAATTAATTTGGACGTGCCCGATCCTGGATGGACAGATAAATTAGCAAGTTACCGTTACCCACCATTTCCAAAACAAACCCTGCCTGCCATCTAAAACATGGCAAAGTAACATTAGACAGGCGGGCCTGTTGCAAAATGCACATCTTGCTGATGTTGGGTAAGGCGACAAAGATAGTAATACATGTTCATTTGTTTCAAAATACACGTAAAACAACCCTTGGCTTTGATAAACTGACCAATACATCTTAACAGCTAGCATCGATATAATGTTATATCGCTAGCTCATGTAGCGACACTTGATTGTCACTCGCGGCAAGTTAGCAACTTTAGCTCCACAGTTCCGGGGTAACGTAGTTGTTAGCCCCTGTCTGGTGGTCACACATACTGGACAGTCAAGGGTCTCACATTATCTGGTCAATTATTGAATGGTTTTAGAAAGGCCATCAAAAAGGTACAAACCCTCTGCAGCAAACACATTTAACGAGCGATCATGCTTGCTAGCAGGCACACAGCTAAGAGGCTAGCTGCTAAACGAGCTAAATAAACGTAAGCTAGAGGCACTTTTCAAGTTAACCATTCCAACAATCAACATCCACGCTTCCTTACAGTGACTGTAGCCGGACTCCACGCACAGTAAATCGTCGCGATGGCTTCTCTGGTGATCAGAAAGTGTCAAGTAAGCTCCTCAAGCCGAATTTAGACATTAAACAGTTGTGTTGAAGCGCCGAGCAACGGACAACCTTTCAGCGCATCATAAGCGCTGAAAGAACTAGAGGCCAAATGAGGATACTGCGCATGCGTCCAGACTAAGCGGCCAGTACTTGTTAACAGAGTAACTGCGCCCTCTGCTGGACAAATAGAGAATATACATGGGAGGAAGTCGTTTTATTTACTCAAATAAGTGAGTAAAGAACCTAAGTAAATAAGTTATGTCCCACCTCTGAACATAATTAGTGTGTTTAATGTGTGGCTAAAAATCTTCTTATATTGCCAATTTGGAACTTTTGTCAACAACATAAAACAATTTTTAAACATAGAAAAATGATTCTATGCTAGTCTCCATTTTCTTTTGCTTTTAATGCTGATACGTTTGATACATTTCATTATTTTTTAACTGACACTTTTACAACTCGAAGCTAATTTGCTAGCTAGCAGCAGCAGCTGTTTCCTATATTACTAATTGGCAGTGAGGCCTCGTTTTGTGTAAGCAGAACGTTATGTGGACCTGAGCGAAAAAGTGTTTCTGCTTCTGCTTGTTTGTCGAAAAATTGACTGTTAAACGGAACTTTCATTTTTCGAAGCCAGGGGATATTTATTTGGTTGTTTTCATTCCTCTGCAGTGTTTTATTTCTAACAGGTTGAGCAAGCACGTGAAAGAAAATGGACGGTAAAGATTCCTTCTTGCATATCCAACTTTAACCGTGTTTTATTAACCCCAATGTGCAGGCAGTACTTGCTTGAAAACAATATTATCTAACTGTTTAACGGCTGCTTCCTGTAGATGGAAGCAAACAACCACACACACAGGGGAACGGACAACAAAGAATACAACATTCCAGACCTTTCTTCTATGTCCAGCCGCCTTCTCAACCACAGTACATGTACCAGCAGTGGCAGATGAATAACCCATACAGTCAGTATGGCTTACCTGGAGGTATCAACCAATTTAATCATTTATCATTACATTTATCATTAAATGTTATCATTTTTCACCAGAAATGTATTTTACTGCAGTTTTTTTTTTTGCACCACTTTCCCTTGCACTATTCGGTTTATTTTGCATTCTTGGAGAAACCTGTGATTGTTCACGGCCAAAGACTGCACTGTAGCTACTGTGCCTATGATATCATAGCCATTGAATCTTAATTCTTGACAAAGCACTAAGATATGGGAAAATACATTTAGAATAGTGGCTCTTTAAATAACATACTTTTAAATATTTGGTCTTTAGAGAAAGGAAGTTATCAAGTATTTTCAACTCAAAAGGAGTCACTGGTGTTCTTGTCCGGTTTTTGTCTTAATTGTGTTGACTCTAAAGTCATCAAATGTGTGACTTGAGTCCACACCGTGCTTAATATTCTCCTCTCCACTACTGTCAGTCGTCAGTATTGCACTTAAATGCATCTTTTTATTTCCCAGGTCTAAACTATGGTCGTCCCTGCATGCAGCCATACCAGTACATGCAGTATCCTGGGTTTGTATACCCACAGTCCCCGCTATATCCAATGGATTACAGGCGAATGTTTGAGCCCCGCTTCCAGGCTCCTCCTTGGCATGACATGCCTCGCCACCAGTACCAGCAGCAGCAGCAGTACCACCACCACCAGCAGCCACAGCCTTACGAGCGCCGTGAAATGGCCTGTTCAGAGGCTCAAACCGACCCCAGCGACCCCATAACCAAACTCATTCAATGCCTGGATCAAATGCGAGCCACTGAGCTGCATGGCGCTGAGAAAGAGCTCGACTCGGGAGTCACCTCACACTCCTCTGGAATCTTTTCTCCAGGAGAAAAAAAGAAAAGTGGAGAGCAGAGTCCCATCCTGCCCTCGCCGCCTCATGACCGCCATTCTGAGTATCCAGCTGTGACCGTCAGTGACTCCACCACAGCGGTGTACGACAGCGAGTCCAGCCGACGGAGCTTCGATGGCCTGAGCCCCGCGGGATGCTGGTCAGCAGGATTTGAAGGGGAGTTGCCTCTCGATAGCTCCTCTATTCACGAAGAGTATCCTGAGTTGAAGCAGCCAGCAGCAGATGAACACTTCCTCCCTGCAGAGGTTGCAGATGTCCAGTCAGATATCTCAGCAACCAATGCAAGTGACGCCAAAGAGCTCCCAAAACATAGAGTGGATCCAATCCTTCCATCTTCCTCTTTTACCTTCAGTCAGCAGGCACTCAAAGATGCTAGAAGTGTTGACAAAGTCTCAAAGGCTGAACATCACAAAAGTTGTCAGAGCTACCAGATCCTCAAGCTGCCTTTTGACAGTGTTCAGACCCCCGGAGATGCTCCAGCCACCTCCCTCTCCCCCCGTACTGCTCCTTACTACTACAACTACCTGTCCATGCCGTCCACCCATGAGCGGATGAGCGTTCTCAGTCCATCTTTGGACGAGCTCTCCTCCAGAGATGAGATGTTCTCCACGGATCTGGACGATGCAGATCTTTTCCCCAAACATGTGTATACAGGCAGGAGGCTTGCAGAGGTTCTAAGTGGGTCTCCGCAAGCTGCTAAAGAAGTGGAAGAAGTGTGGCTGCCAGGATCGAAGAGGTTCATGTGCGCCTGCTGTGGGAAAAGCCTCGCTAAAGGAGTAGCCAGGAGTAAAGTCCGCAGCTCCAAGATATACAGGGATGAGGGCGGAGACTCTGAGGACGAAATGAGAGGCTGTGAGAAGCCCATCAGAGTGGTTGTGAGGAAGCATTCTGCACCCAAAAAGCCCTCGTCTGTCCCACTGAGACATGCCGCAAAACACTGGCATAAAAGAGGCCAATACAAAGTTCCCTCCGATCCAGTGACCCAGGAGGGAGGTCATGATGTCAACGTGCAGGAGCCAGCCGATGAGGCCGGAGACATGACTGGTAGTGAGCTGCAGTGCAGAACATGTCTGGGTAAGTTGCCTTCTTTGTCAAATTATGTAACCATGTTTGAAATATGCACTGAATAAGTTAACCCTTTTTATAGACGGACCCTGCAGAGAAGATCTGGCCATGGCAGACCCAGGCAGGTGGGGAGACGGTGATTTGATTCCCAGGCGGAGACAAGCAGCCGCCCTGCAACGACAAGGTTGAAGTCACTCAAATATCCTGCAGAAAACACAAGCTCAAGTTCATTCTCCGTCAATCATTTTGCAGCTCTAAATATAACAAACAGGGTTCTTTCTTACGGTCATTAAAAACCTGGAAAAGTCATGGAAAACAATATTCTTCCCAAAGTTTTGGAAAAGTCATGGAAATGTAACTAAAGTTGCATAAAATATAATTTATATTTTATCTAATCGCCGAAATAGTAATACTATAATGATAATAAATACTGTATCGTAATGAAACGTAAAATGGCATTTAACTGACGAGGTATTTTGCTGGTGAGAGATTTGAGTTGCTTCAGCGTGTAGAAGCTAGTAAGCCTTCTTGATTTGTTTTAGAGAGGCACAACATGTTTCAGACCTTATTTTCCTGTTCCATGTTAAAATAAACAATTTTCAGTGGTACCGCTGAGAAAGAGTACTTTTTTTTTGGTCATGGAAAATTAGGTAAAGGTCATTGAAAATCATTGGTGAAAAAGTGTATGAACCCTGAACAAAACACATTTAAAATCAGATCCACCTGGTGAAGTATTGTTCGAATTTTTGCGGGAAGCATTTGAAATCTCTTTAGTTTACACTCACTATAAAAAAATGGACTTACAAAAAAAAGGCACGACTCAAACCTCTGGGCTCTGGGGCGTTTCCTTGTCATTGCTGTTTTCTTAAATTCATAGATACAACACATGCTTCTTCTCTAAGCATTAATGAAATCTTCAAATTGAATTCTCTCCTGGTTTTATGTTCTGCTCCTATCCACTGGACAGACACGAGTACTCAGCGGAAAGTGATGTACCACAGGCCAAGAGACGAGGATAACGATGACGACGAGCCACCCCCATTACACTGGGAGAGAGGTTAATATAATAACATTGTTAACACTGTCACATTTATTTTCATGCAATTAATTTGTGTTCTATCTTTGTCAGGCTCTGCGATGAGAGGAGAACCAAGATGTTAATGTACCCAAAGTGTGTTGAACTGTAGGTGAAATGCAATATGTTCAGACTTCTGTTTTGTTAAAAATACGTCTTAACAAAATGTTTTCTTTCCTCCCCAGGTCCCCCTTAAAGGTGTAATTGTCAAGAATAATAAGTTTAAAAATATTTAGAGCACCAGGTGAAATGCACCGCACACCTGTTTTTGTTTAGATACAAGTTAAGAAAATGTATAAAGTTTCTGCAGTGACACTGTCTTGCACTATTCATGATTTATGGATTTCACAAACGTCAAATGGGCTGAGGGTCGTGTTGCACATGATGGTGTGCCACAGTTTGGGGCCAGTCCAATAAAAGTATTGTCATTATTTAAACTTTGTCTTGAATCATTTTACATGTTGCAATGGTTCACATTATGCATGGAGATTATGTTCCATTATGTTTTGTGTTAACTGTTTCTGTAACCTCGGTGGATAGTTTCTGTTTGGGGACTTTCCCTTATTTTCTGACATTTAATGGACCAAAGAATTCATCAGTTATTCAAATTCAATAAAAAAGCCCTCTTTTTTAGGGATTTTATTTTTTTACCTAAAAGCAAACAAACCAGATTCCCACACAAACATGTTAATACTTAAAATCACTTGCTAGTAAACAAACTGGTCTCATGCAGTGTGTTTTTTTTCTGTTCACCTGCAATAAGACAAGACAACGAGTCTCATTAAGACGGTGTAAAGCAATGCGTCCCAGCCCAATTGGATGCTTTTTCTTTCATTGAGTAAACTGTAAAACCCCTATCTAAAGTGACATATTTCATATAATATACAGCAACAATACAGATCAACAAATAAACTGTACATTTACTCAAACAGTGATCTTAATAACTGCAGGCAGTTTGTGTAAATCAGGTCATTTATGCTTTTTGAGCAGATTATTTCCCTACCTTGTTATTTTTAGGATTCTTTATTCAAATGTCCCGTTTATATTTCTTATTTTAAACCATCATACTTGCGTAATAGTAATATATATATAATGATCCACATTTAAAAAACAAACAACTTTATTTATTTGTATTCACAGGAATGAAGGCTATTTTACAAAACTTTAAATCAGGAAGCTTTGGCGCCCCCCAGGTTGGGAACCACTTTGAGCAACATATCTGCAACCTGTGCCAATGATTCTGACAAGCTGCAGGTGTGTTAATTAAAGCCTATCAGCTTCTCGCCTCCTCGTCCCTCCCACACATCTCCACCACAGTGGGAGGGAATCCCTAGGAAAGACACCTTTTTATTGGCTTAGGAAGAAGGTCCTCAAACTCTAATTTGACAAGTGTCACCTGGAACGAAAATCCAGCCAATCAGTGCAGCATTTGACCTGAATTAGTCCACACCTTGATTTGAAACATTCTTTGAAAGCTGTGTTGGTTTGTCAATGGTGATCTTCATTTTTGACATTTGTTAAGTAAGTACATTTTTTGTCTGATACACTGAAAGTATCTGCTATTTTGTCACACGTTTGCAGAGAGAGAACAAACAACTTAAATTATTTGACCTTGCTTCTTGTGTCTTTGTCAGAAATGGCCGCAGCCACAGCTACCTACCGACAATCTTACGGTCTTGGCCCTCGTGGGCCTGACCCACCATACGGTGCTCAACAGGCCCAGGGCCCCCATCAGCCGACTCCGGGGCCTTCAGGAGCTCCACGCCCTGAGGAGCAGCACCAGCACCACCACAAACCTTTCTTCTACGTCCAGCCTGCGCAGCCATACATGCCTATGCAGAGCATGCAGTGGCCTGTACCTGTGCCCATGCCTTTGCCCTACAACCCATACTATGGCTACCCTGGTTTAGGTAAGTCAATTCACACAAACTATTTTGGTGCAACTCATTGATTTGGTTGTGCAATTCTCCCTAAAAAGACTTAATTTATGCTGTGTGCTATGGAGCAAAAAACACTGCTTTAAAAGCCAATGTTGTCGAGCACAATTAATTGAAGTGCCTTCAAATAATGTCCTCCTGTAGTTTTTACTAAAAGCTTTTCTTTGTTTTCTGATGGCATACATGCGAACAAACTTTGCAAGGCAAGTTTATTTATATAGCACTTTTCAACACAAGGCAATTCAAAGCGCTTTACAAAAAATGAAAGACATTAAGAAAAAGGTATTTAAAATCAGTCATTAAAAAGAAAAGCTAATAAAATAAACATTAAAAGAAAAAATACATGGATAAAAGTTACAGTGCAGTCTAAGATATGAATAGTTCAATTAAAAGCAGCGACAAAAAGAAAAGTCTTCAGCCTGGATTTAAAAGTAGTCAGAGTTGTAGCGGACCTGCAGGTTTCTGGGAGTTTGTTCCAGATATTTGGAGCATAATAACTGAACGCTGCTTTACCGTGTTTAGTTCTGACTCTGGGAACAGAAAGCTGACTAGTCCCTGAAGACCTGAGAGATCTGGATGGTTCATTAGCATCTGGATGGTTCATTAGCAGGAGGTCAGAAATGTATTTTGGGCCTGTAGAGACTTTTGTTTCCCAGGCAAGGTGCCACCAAGAGTTTTAATTTGATTAAATTGTCTCAAGTATTATGTACTGCTATGAATATCTTTACACTAGTGCCATCATCAATTTAAAATTGGCGATTGTTTATATACTGTATAATGACTAAAAACCCACATACCGAATGACTAAGGTAATCTTTTTAATAGCTAAATACATAAAAGCATACTAAGAATGTGAACAAGGTAATCATTCAACCTGCTAGACACTAGCCTGTTAGCATAGGCAGTGCCTTTTGGTTCAGATTAACTGCTAAGTAGTGTGTTTGTGGACTAATGATACTACTTTTCTTCTGCCATTAAGGTTACAGCATGCCAGTGATGCCCCACTATCAGCCAAATCCTTTTGTGGAGCCACCTACCTTTGTCTTACCCCATACCAACCTCCATTTGGTGGACTATCGACGCATGCTCAACCCTCAGTACTACCAGACCATGGCCTACCACTCCCGTAGATACCGGTACCAGCACAACAGCCAGACCAGAGAAATGACCAGCTCTGAGGTTCAGACTGAGCCTTTGTCTGCAACCCAGAGGACCAGCACACCAGGATCCAGCACCACTGAGCCCTCCAGCGGCCCCTCAGCCCGCAGCAGCGACAGTAGAAAAGCTGTACCCATCAAGCAGCCGTCTCCACCAGCGCCGGCTGTGCAGAAGAGGGATTATTCCCAGGAGCCTAAAGACAAGGCACCCTCTACTACCACCACCAGGACGCCACCAAATGGGGGCTTTGTGATTCAGACGGAGGAGGTGAGGATTGAATGCTGCACCACGCCGGTAGGACTACAACTCCTGCACTCTCGTGAGACTGCACAGGTATCCCACAACTTTTCCGAAGACTTGGTCCAGTGTAGTAGCAGCTCCATCCTCCAGGGCCGTGTTCTGCAGAACGAGGGACAACACCTTCCTGCAAACCAGTCGGAGCAGGCGCTCCAAATTTCTCCTGACATCCTATTAGTCGGTACGCCTAGGAGCAGTGATAAAATGCCTGCTCTGGAGGAGTCCAGGAACCAGACAGACTCTGTCTCCTCTGACTCGAGCAGTGACAGCGATCAGAGTACGCCGTCTAATAACTTCCACTTCAAAGCCACTCACCTGCCCTTAAACCCAAAGTACCTGGATGAGCTGTGGAAGATGGAATCCACTGTATGGTCAACAGAGGACACTTTGATTCCCTCACCTGACTCTCTAATCCAAAATGGCCACGCAGAGTCTCCTGATGAAACCCTGGCTTTTGAAGCTGAAGTGCCTTCAGCCGACCTGCTGACCGTCAGGGAGAAGGCTGCTGCAGAAGAGGTCGTCCCTGAGATTGAGATGCCTCCTCTGGCAGAGGATGAAGAGGAGGAAATGTACCCCACTGTGGAGGATCCTAGGGATGAGATGTGGACTATGAAGAATATTCCTGCCACAGAAGAAGATCCTATCACTCGCACAGCAAAGTTGTTGGACAATTCCCCTCTTAAGGCAGATAACATCACACCTAGACGAGAAATGAATGCTCATGATCACCAGGATACTTCATTCGAGTCACTGCCTGCCTACCTCCCCTCTAACAGCTGGCTTGCTGACTTTGATAATGTTGACTATTGTGTCAAAATCCCTCCACCTCCGAAGAAACGGGTCAGACCTCTGAGCAGCCAAGGGTTAGATTTGCCTAGCAGAAGGAGAAAACTAGACCTAGTCTACAAAGAACAACCTACCGCTCGCAAGTCAAAAGAGCGGTTCAAACCCAAAGGGAAGGTGGACCGGAGAAGCCTCTCTGACAATGAATGCTGCCTTAACAGCAATTTCAATGAGAAAGCATTTGCTCCTTATGCGTCCAAGAGGGAGCGACTTTGCTCAAGATGTGTAGTGAATAGCAGGACCAGCACGTCAGCTGCTCCAGGACCCGATGGTCACACCTTCAAAAGAAAAGCTGCTCTTTTCCAACAGTGGAATGATTCACTCCTGCCAACATGTGAATCCTGTAAATCTCAACACGTGAAACAGCTGATAAGAAAAGGTTCTGGTCTTGATGTCTGTGGCCCTCATCATGGACACTACAGTGAGGGAGAGTCTTCTGAGAACGGCTCATTTCGGTTCGGCTCAAACTGGATGCCAGCTCCTCCCAGGAAGCTCAACGATCTCAAGAGGCCGCTGGCTTCAAAGCAAAATGTTGAGAAATGTTTTACAGTGATGGACCCAAACCTGAAGGAGAATAACTGTGTGTGCAATGAGCCGCCGCACCAGTATGCTGCATGGGAGAGGCTGCACCACTGTCCCCACGGCAACGCCATCCAGGAAATGGATGAGAACTGCGCAATGCCGGTTTCCCTCCAGGACAAATGGAGGATAATGGATCAGATTTACCCGACACACAGGGGGCAAACTGGTAAGCAAATGTATTTTACCTCAGGAAGGTTAACCCTTCACATGTTGTCATATAACTCACTTTTATCTGTAACTGTACGACTTCTTATTTGACAGATAAGGCATGGAAAGCAGTGCTGCCAAACGCTGACATTGATCGCTTCAAGAATGAAGCCAGATCACCATATTTTAATAAACACAAGAAATCACAATCACAAGGTTAGTTTTTGGCATTTATCTTGAGGGGGAGAGCATGAACAACTGCACTAAATGGCATTTAGCAGATCCCCTTCTTTTTTCTGAGTATTTTATTTATCTGCTCTGTCTGAGAAGCCTTTATCCTTCCAGTAGAGTAATATACACAATTTTGTCTTCCATTTAATATAGATTGTCATGCCTCATAACCCCATAAAAGTTGCACGAGCGAGCACGCTTTATTCAAGTTGCCGTTTCAAGAATTCAATTATGCACAAATGAAATGCATAACATTTTGTTTTTCTCTCCACAGGAAATTGTAGAAAAGACACAAGATGCTGATTTGCACGAGAGCACAATTCAACAAAGTGAGAAACTCGCTTTAAAAGAAAATGTCACTTAAATTATTCCCCACTTGAATGAATTGTATTATAAATCACAATGTTCACTATTTATTACGATTTAAATAAACACAGATTTTTGATACTAATTGTATATTTCAATTTTTCCACCTGCTTCATCAATGTGTTGGGGTATGAGATGTAGTAACCTAATTTGTCCACTAGATGGAACTATTTTCCACAATATATTGTAATTGTAAAAATAATCCATCAGGTGATAAACTATTGAAAAAATTATTTATTTATTTTCTACACGTTAATAACTTAAGGACATTTACCATGTATTATTACAGGGAATTTGGAATGCATTTAAATAGAAATTATCCATACAAAAGTCAGATTTAAATGTCATTTGGAGTAACCTGATCATTTATTTCCCTAAAAAGACACATCTTCCTTTTAGTCAATTAGAACAAACCAATTTCCTCTCCGAAAAGAACATCTGACAGTTTTCATCTTGTGATTCATTATTAACATGCCACTGTGATCCCTTATTTGCATAAGACCTTTTAACTGACAGTGTTATCTAACTTTCAGTCAGTCAACGTTAATGTGTTTCATGAGTCACTGGTGGTCTCATGGTGGGTCTCTGGTGGTTTAAAAGCTGTGACATTTTGATAACAGATTTTATATAGCCTCTAACCTACAGCTTCTCTTAGTGATGCTGGTAGCTTAACTGTTGACGGTAACTAACGGCATAATCCTGATCAAATTCATATATATTTTAAAAGTCTACTTCAGCTTTGTTTGTATAATGTGTGCTGGAATGCTCGGAGGTTGGGAATTTGGAAAAATAACACCTTCTGCTACTGAACTTGGGAGATTTTTTTGGTGAAGACAAAACACTTATGGAATGTGTGCATGGATAAAATAGTGAGGATTGCACCTGCTAAACGTTAGTGTGCTTTCATTGTATAAAAAATGTGCATGCTGACATTAAGGTGCAGCTGTGGCTGAATACAGCCTCCAATGACTCTTAGTCCTGTTTCTGATAACGTCAGCTAGAACTGGTTCCTAGTGTGAAAACAAAGGTTTGCACTATTGAATTAATAGTCAAAAAGGACATTAGAGTCATAGTATTGTGTTGAGGCGACTGTGAACCCCATTATTGACTGATGCAGTATATGTTGCACCCGAAGGGGAAACAAATACACGATGTGTTGAATAAATAATGAATTGTGGGCCAGACCATTAGTGTATGTAGTGTTCAGCAGGCCTTTCAGATCAGGTAATGAAACCAATTTTACTGAAATTGTTTCAAATGACACATGTAATGACATGTGCAGCAATAATAGCTTTTCTGGCTGCAGGGGAGGTAAACACCATGACTGAGAGTGTATGTTTCCGTCAGCTCATGTGGGATACGATGAGTGTGTGTGATTTCCAGGGTCTCACAACAGGCCCACTTGCTGGCTTTGCCTCTCAGATTGCTTTTGCTTTCTCCTCATCCTCCATGGAGAGATCTGCACCGAAAGCACACAATGCACAGCCTTCAAAGAGAATAAAGGATCGCTTTTGTGCATTGTTTGAAACGGAGACGGACGAAAAAAGCTTTTGTAATTTGAAACAACCCTTTTAAAGTGATTTCTGGCAAACGGAGAGGAGAGGCTCTCTGAAGCTAACTGTGTGTGGTGAGGGAGGCCAGATGGGATGAGGAAAGTTTCAGCACTGAAGCGCAACACATGATTTCCCCTCAGATTTGTCAGTTTCAACGAGGAGATGGACAGAGCTCATATCTCCTTCCTCCTGCTGCCGTTCCATCTTCATGACGCCTGCATTATGGGTAAATGTGAAAAGCTTCGGTGTGATTGGCTCCCTGGGGGATTTACAGTATGAGGTGGTAGTGGAAGGATGTCTGATATGCTGCGTGTATCACATAAAGCCTGAAGAGGCACATATCTTATTGAACGACATAAACAGTCTCTGTGGATGAAACATACTGCAGTGATTTCCCTTTACAGAGAGTTGATATATTCTAATATAATGCATGAACCCAACATGTAGGCTATATGAAACGGCACAAATACAAATTATTTAGTTAATTCACTTGAAGTCCTAAACCATGTTATGCCCAGGGGAACTTAGGCGCAGCACCAAATGTGTACTCTCCCCACTCCCAAGAACACGGACACTGAGTCAGAGAATGCCGTTTGGTAAATTGAATTACCAAAAAATGATTACCAAACAGGTGTAACAAAACCATAAAACAAACACACCTTTAAACACAAACATCTATACCTATCGAAAGAGAAAATAAACATACAGGCTTCTTACCTACTCTACTGTAAAAACAGGAGAAAACGAATATTCAAAAGAAAAGGGTTGCACTCCTAAGAAAAAAGTAAAGCGTGTCTACAAAGACAGGTTCAGTCGCTTTTCATACAACAGTCTCACGACACAAGAGAAGAACCGGTATAAATAGTATTTAGCACAACAGGACAGATATCGTACGCACATTTGTGTTGGGAGAAGTCAAGTCAGAGAGTGCGGCCGAGGAACTGCACGGCTGCAGCTTAATATCCTCCCGTCTCCCCAGGTGGACCAATCAGCATGCAGAAGGTAGCTAATCAGCTAACGGGCACACACACACACACACACACACACACACACACACACACACACACACACACACACACACACACACACACACACACACACACACACACACACACACACACACACACACACACACACACACACACACACACACACACACACACACACACACACACACACACACACACACACACACACACACACACACACACACACACACACACACACACACACACACACACACACACACACACGACCCAGGGTCGTAACAACCATAACAAGAACATATTTCCTACTTACCCCTTACATGATTTGGGTAGAAAATTGTTTGAATTATATTTTTTTATTTTTTGAAGGCTACATTCTGTAACTTGTGGGATTTAATTGTGATTGACAGAAAACTCTGCCTGTTGCTAAAGTAACGCTAACTGCTAGCCACCTTTAGCTAATTAGCTGTTAGCTCAATGAGATGGGCTGTAAGGAGGACACACATAATGTAGGCTCATCATAAGCAATATGTCAACTTTTTAACTTCAGCAATGTGTATTTAAGTAAATTGAAACTGTAGGGGCGTTACATCACACAAATACAGAAAAACCTACAATACTTTGTTAAAGGTGGGGTAGGTAAGAATGGAGAAACCAGCTCGAGTGCGCTAGAATTTGAAAGTACTACAGAGCCCCTCCTCCAACACACACGGACGCGCACATGACCAATGAGGGGACGAGATAAGTTTGTGCACGAGATGTAAGGCTGACAGGCAGGTAGGCCATCCAATTATTTCAGCCGGGCCGGCTAAAATAATTGGTCGTGCTTTTTACAGTATTACGGCTTCCACAGATGACATTTTTTTATGGATTTTCAAAGCACTTAAGATATTCATTGCTATCGGGATGTTAAGAGCATTCCATGGAATATAACAAAAAGTGTATCTCGAGCCGGTTTCTCAAACTTACCTACCCCACCTTTAAGTTAAGTCATATACTCTAGTCTAGAGCAGTGGTTCCCAAACGGTGTGCCGCAGCACACTGGTGTGCCGTGAGGCAAGTCCGGGTGTGCGGTGGGATTTTGTGACAACCATACGTTATTATTGCAATATACAACTACACAAAAATAATTATGTTTTAATTTACTATATCAGTACTTTGTAGGTTTATATGTACGTAATCTGCGCGTCCACATCTCCACGTGCAGTGCTGCATAAACATGGCTGAGTCAGCGATAACTCTCGAGGGGTGGAGTTATGCCCATTATTTTGAGTCCGTCCGAAGAATAGACAGGAATGTGACGGTGAGCTGCAAACTGTGTCCAGGCCAGAAGCTGTTATCCACTGCTGGAAACACCACGTCAAACCTCAACAAGCACCTGCAAAGAACACATGCTAAGGTGAAGCTAACGCATAGCTATTTGTTGTTTGTTTATATCACGTGGTCTGTTCTTCTTCTCTGTCTTCCGGTTGTTGTCTGTTTTGAATGACAAATACACACTATCGCCGCCTGCTGGTAAGGAAAGTTATTGCCACTCACGCGCAGTTCGTACGTGCTCGGCGAGTAAAGTAACGAGTTACTTTATATAGATAGTAACGAAGTAGTGTAATATATTACTTTATAAAAAAAAGTAATATGTAATATATTATATTTTTTTAGTAACGACCCCATCTCTGGAGTTGGCGTTCTCTACTATGATTTACATGAAGAACAACAGGAGGTCACGGCTCTCTGTTGAACAGGACTTGCGAGTGGCCCTCTCCTCAGTGCCACCAAGGATTCAAACAATTCTGCGCCTCGACAGGCACATGTATCTCACTAATTTGTAAGTCGGCAAAAATATTTACAATAGCACATGTTTCAATGCTGATTGCTGAAATGTTACATTTATAATTTGTAGTTCAGGACCATGGACAATGCAGCTTCCTTGCATTGACAGTTCTCTGTGCTGAATATCTGCTGAGTTTCCTTTGCCTCATTTTTAATGTTGTGACCTGTCTGGTTTAAATGAGTGTGTTGCTGCTTTGATGAAGCCTAATTTGATAAAGTTTCAAATTAATTTCTGAAATATTTCGTTAATAAATATTTCATGAGTAATATAGTTGTCTTTGTCACATTTTATTTGGCATTAGTAAATAATTATGCACATTTACAGATATTTTACATGATATGAGCTATTTTGCACAATAGGTGTGCCTTGAGATTTTTACTTGTCCTTTGGTGTGCCTTGGGCACAAAAAGTTTGGGAACCACTGCTCTAGAGTCTATGTGTTAGTAAACGCAGCCCAAGGCATGACTCCTCCCCCAAACATTTCCCTAGGTGAGGCCAGAGTAGAGGCCCCTTCTGGCCTTAGTTTACTGCTTTGGCCCAGACCTGGTTATCTATTGTGGCTGGTATAACAGGTAAGCACTTACATTGATCTCTTGACATGCACAAATCAGCCTTCTTTCACTGCATACTCAGTAGACTGCGTTCTGTTACAGTGTTAGCAACATATTGACTGAGCATATTGTAGTTAGAACCCCATTGTTGTCCTGACTTGCTGTTATCACATTTGTTATGCCATGCCAGATGTGGTGAGTGAGTGTAGGGTCCTTACAAAGCATAATGTTAGTATGCAGCATGGTGAGCCACAACAACATGTTCATAAGTGAGCTTTAGAGGTGTATTTGCTAGGCTAGCTGCCCCCATGTTTAATGTTAAGCTAGCTAGGCTATACATGTATTATAGCTCCATAATGTCCATATGATATATTTATTTCTGAGTATTCAGACGAATTGAAACATATTTTAAAGCCTTCCCTTGATATTGTCTCTCAGTGAGTTCATGTCAGTGTATACCTGCCCTCTGCTCTGTGCTCTCTGAGTGGGTGTGTAGTTCCTTGAGATGCCTATAAAGCTGTGGGAGGGTAAGAGCATCTATTCTACCTACTTAACAGTTTGGAGTGATTATGTCAAGCTGTCAGGTCGCTTTTCCTGGAGAACAGCAGAGAGCACGGTTCAAGTGTTTTGAAATGGTCATCATAAACCGACGTCTCAGAGATGACGAAGCGCTATCAGCTCACAGGATTACTTTGAGAGGAGAGTTTCCTCAAGGGCTCGAGTCCTTTTTATAAAGAGAAGAGTCGAGATGATCGCATTGGTGAATAGGAGTTGATGTGAGTCAACATATACACAGTATTTACACAGTTACAGTCTAAACTGAGCATATTCGAGGCCTATGTATCCTTTAATAACTTCAAAACCTATTTTAAATGAGTGCAAAAGGCACATCTTAGCAACATTTTTTTGTACAACGGTAAAGTTGGTGCAAGTAGTTTTTGACCTATGGACTTTCTTTACTAATATAATATGGGCCATTTTTGACTGATAACACAACAGATGTTATTTTGTGCCACTATTTAAAAAAATTAAAAATGGTTTCAAAACACATTCCCCTGTTAAACTTTGACACAAAGCATTCTGTGATAAATATCATACATTTTCCTCTTGATTATTTGTTATGTCATTATTTTTTAACGAGAACACAAAATGTATTAACATAACACAACAGGAGGTTTAAAAAAATGAATATTTCAATAGAAATATTGAGTCATAAAGCTACTCTGGGGCTGTACTGACAAACGGACAGCTTAGCACCGGTTCATTCTCAATGGAGTACAATAGTGAAGGTCTTTGTTTCTACATTTTCAGTTCCTCACTCCTCCTTCAGCGGAAGGTAAACGCCTGGCCGGTGTCCTGCTGCTCTGCGGCTCCTGAAGGATCCCTTCTGTCATCCAGACGGCCAATTAGGGGCCGGCCACGGTTGGCCACTCCGGACCGAAGGTAGGAGGGCAGCATCACTCAGTCAGTGGACCACACTGACTTTTGGCAGTGCAGCCAATCGGTCACCTGACGCAGTAACAAAAGCAACTCTGCTAGTCCTCTCGAGAGCACTGACGAAGCTTTAACCAAAAGTTTATCCCAACTCCAATATTTTTATATATTTGTAAAAGAGAAGCAAAATGGTGGTCTTGTGTGGCTCAGAGGCACTAACGTCTGCAAGGTTGGGGGTTTGTTTTCCACTGGGACTCCCCCACACCCACTCAGGTGTATGAACTCAATTAAGCAATAACACAGGGAAGGTCGTGCTGTGCCGTGGTTACTGGCAGCAGTCAGCTGCAGCTGCAGGAAATGTAGATCAGCCAGCAGCCGCAGAAACACGACCTTGACTGTTACTGCTCTTACACAACGCTGAATACATTTATACAGCAGCTACAAAATGATCAGGCTTTAATACAGTACACGGCCAAAAGTGTGCGGTATGTGCATTTTACAACAGTAAACAGGATTTTTATAAACATGTTTTTTATGTTTGCTGTGGCATAAAGATTCCCATAAGTTAGTATTAACAGGCCTTTAACAATAATCAAAATTACTCGCATTATATTTTCATAATATAATATATTTTCTCATTTTAAACTGCAATTTATGCACAACAATATCCTTGTATGAATATATTTTATCATTATTTATTTGAATTTTGGCTCTTACTGTCTTCCCGCTGTTCATAAATAAGCATCATCCCTGAAATATAAACAAAAAAAGCTAAATAAAATGAAGGCTTGAAGGAGTTTCTGATGCGTTTAATCCGATGTATTCTCCTTTGTATGAGCTCACTGTCTGGACATGAGAGGGAAATTAATAACTCACGAACCACTTCTTCCATTATTATTTTCAAACATTCAGAACAAGTGTTTACCGAGAAGGTCAAATTGAAAAACCGCTGATGCACGGCTGCTCATGATCTCCACATGTAAATGTCAAGGGTGCATTTGGCCGGCCCCCCCCCCCCCCCCCCCCTCATTTTGGTATGATTCACCCTATCATGCAGCTCTTAGCTTGAGGAGCCGTGCCCTTTTGGCCCCACTTGTACACCAGAGAGCATCAGAACAACAACACAGAAAAATCCCACCTGACCGCCCTCTGCGACTCCAACCAAAACGGAGCGTGGCCTTTGCCGGATATTGAGTCAGTGTAGTGTGAAAAGGAATATGGTGTCGGGTCTCCAGGTGTCATGTACTGTAATAGCTATGAGCCCAGAGGGGAGCAGAAGCTGCAGAGTTCAGCGTGTCCACTTGTTAGCTGTAAAACAGGTCCATCACACAGTGAGGCGGAGAACCGGCCCCCGCTGCAGGCTCAGCATTTCTCCAGCCGAGGTGACGGTAGATAGATCAGCTCATGCTCTGCGGTCTTAATACCTGGGGCTTTTACACTTTAATGTCTTTCACTTGACAAATGACCTGTGTTTATAAAGTGCACCTCGCAAGCCTCGGGACTTGTGGAGCAGCCATCGGTGGTGAATGAATCCTGAGAGAATGGTTTTTAACGGAAGCGAAAGCAGCCGTTGGAGAATGTAATGGTTTATACCAGAGGGTGGTGCTGATGGTGTGAGGGGAAAGCAGAAGGTTTAAAGTGAATCTGTTACTGGTGGTTTTACATGCTAATGCAAACAAGGGCGTACGTGAGTTCCCTGAGCACGAATACAGATTTATTCTACTCTTTTTAACTTGCATACTTTAGCAACATGTAGCAATGTGGTCATGATGTATCTTGGATATATCATTTTTCTTATATCAGAATGGCGAACACACAGATATAGACATGCTCAGCCGCTGAAATTCAGGCTGTGCTGTGGGAATAATCGTCCACTCAATGTTCACTTATTGAACACATCCGCTGAGATGAGGCGCTCTGAATTGCAGAGCGCTGAGTTGTTTTCCTGGGTTGAGTTCTTGGCAGCGCTACAACCCCACCCGGAGGTAATCAGCACGCTGTTTGGGGCTATTCAGTCAAAGCTCTGCAGAGGGATGGGCTTGTACTCAGGGCATTTTACCTAAACAAACACAGCGGGCGAATGTCAATGACGACCAAATTCAGGAAGAGGGAGATTGCAAACACATGTACAGAGGCCCTGCATGAAGGAATGCCGTGTTCCCCTACGGGCCTAATTGCCAGAAACATGCACCAGATGTGGCTGAGCATTCATTTGCAGAAAAAAGGATTACAGGAGAGCAAACAATAACATGCATGATGGCGAAATAACTTAATCCTGGTTATGTAACGTGGATTACAAGCGGCCGAGATGGGTTTTCTCCGCAGGGTGGCTGGTGTCTCCCTTAGGGATAAGGTGAGAAGTTCGGTCATCAGGGAGGGACTCGGAGTTGAGCCGCTCCTCCTTCGCGTCGAAAGGAGCCAGTTGAGGTGGTTCGGGCACCTAGTTAGGATGCCACCTGGGCGCCTCCCTAGGGAGGTGTTCCAGGCACGTCCAGCTGGGAAGAGACCAAGGGGTAGACCTAGGACCAGGTGGAGGGATTATATCTCTTCGCTGGCCTGGGAGCGCCTTGGGATCCCCCAGTCAGAGCTGGTTGATGTCGCCAAGGAAAAGAAAGTTTGGGGCTCTCTGCTGGAACTGCTACCCCCGCGACCCGACCACGGATAAGCGGAAGAAGATGGATGGATGGATGGATGGATGGATGTAACGTGGTGGAAAAAAGGTGGGGTATAGCTGATACTTCTTCTAGCGTCTCCTCTGCAGGTTTAAAGAGGCCTTATTATGCTTTTTGGGGTTTTCCCTTTCCTGGAGCGTGCTGTATAGGTTTTAGTGCATCTAAATAATCTGCAGTTCCCAAGTTTCCTCAAGAGAGAGTTTCTCTTGTTTACTTCCGTAACATAATGACATCACTATGTAAGAATCGTGCTTCTATAGGCTAGCGCTCCAACACATTGTACGTGATAGGCTAAGGGGCGGGAGATCTCTAAGCAGTTGACCATCACAACAGAGCTGGCTAACCAATCAGAACACACTGAAAAAATATACAGTATAATTAATTATTTATCAATGCAGTAACTTTTTTATGTGTTAAGTGTTTCAAAGTCTATTTTTCATCTCAAGAAATAATCCCAAACATGTCAACTCAACATGTAGAGATGCGAGAGGGGTTTTGTGTTTTTAAATATAAACTTCACTCTATAACTTTATATAATAAGGCGACACATTGCTGCTTTGCTCCATGCAGCCTTCATACTGTCAGATACCATAATGTCCTCTTCAGCTGAGTGCTCTTCCTGTGATCACTCCTGTTATATTTCCACTATGAAACTGACGCACAGATGGCATGAAAACTTCACATGTTGTCTGAACTAAACACTCTTCCCAGACGTCCTTCTTTTTCTTTTTTTAAAAACTCATGCTGTGTGCGGGCATCGATATTTCCACAACACTTTTCGCAACCTAATTAAATCTTGACACTCAAACAACTTGGAGGATTTATTTTGGAGAGGCTCCTCAGCTGATCAGATGGCAAAGTGAAGCTGATTGTCAAGGTAACCCTGCCAATGTAACGCTTTCCCATAAAATAGGCTTATCTCCTAAACTACCATGAATAAACCTCCACATGTGGAAACTTGATCTGCTGCCTGCTTTTCGTGGCCTGTTAACACAAGATATGGAGGTTTTTTTCTTATTTTTCCTGAGGGAAGTACAGATAATCCCTTGTGGATAGGACATATCTGACCCGGCCACTGATTGCTGGAGACCCCGCTGCGCCTCTATCGTGGATTAGTGGAGCTGAATTGGAGCTGAATTGGAATCAGAGGTGGAGGAGGAGATGGAGCCGATGGGCAGAGGCGGCATTCAGGTGTGAAAGTGCACACATTTACTGTCATGGTTTGGTTAATCTCAAAATGCATAACATTTCTCCCTGGATATCATCTCATAATAAGGTCATTAGACCTCAGGGCGCTGTGGGAGGCTGTGCAGACATTTCCAAAAACCTCTGCGGAAGGGTATGCAGCGTGTGTGTGCGGGCTGTTTCTGTATACACAATATATAATATATTCATCCATCTCCATTTAATGTTAGAATTGAAGGTCAGCCTTCTGAAATAAGAAGCGGCCGGCCTCAAAATTCTATTTCTGCTTCATTTCCGGGCTGCGACAGAGACGTTAATAGAGCCTTCTATATATTCGCTTAATTTCATACACAGCAGACACGTAGCCACCACCAAACTCCCCCAAGATAGCGTCCAACTTTGCACCGTGCCAACTAAGTTAGTGAGAGATCATTGATCACCCACGGTCATGACAAGACGAGGGAATTAATTAGACCGACAGAAAGTGAGAAAGATGAGAGGATATTTGGCGGAGAGACAAAGATGGAGGGGCAAAGTGAGAGCGAACGAGTGAGAATATGTACTGGAGCATGGAGGAAGTGTGTGTCTGCAGAGTGAGATACAGCAGGCGGGTGACAGACAGGAACTTTGTGGATTTACAGCTTTTTGAAGAACTCCCGCGGTTTCAAGTAATGCTACGATCATTGGCACTTTAAAGGCAAATGTTGCACTGTCATCACTGAAAATTCACTTTAGGAAAGACGCAGAAACCGATTGTAAATGAGATATATTTTATTGATCTTTGACAAACATAGTCAAACTTCAAGAGATTCAGTTACTCGTTTGCACCTCATCAGATTTAGCTTGAAGGTGTGTGTGTTTGATCTGACCTCTCCTAAAATATCCCCCTCAATTCATATTAACTTCTGCTGCTTCAAAGACATAGATGCTGATTTAAACTACATCAGAGAATGGGTTACTGAGCCATAAAACCAAACTTTAGAATATATCAGGATATTATTAATAATCAACCAAGAACAGTTCGTTTTATCTGTAATTCTGTTATTCACAATGTATTTATTCCCACTCGCCATATAGTGAGCCAGAATGGTACCTCTATTCATACAGATCTTTTAAAATGATAAGTTAGCCTATATATGGTTCAAGAGGGGAGAAAGAAATAAAGAAATTACAAAATGTCAAATGAGATAAAAAAACAAAACAAAGCAACTTGATATTTAGAATAGGAATATGTCACACTCTTTGAGGCTGTACTTGGGCGCAGCGATGCTTGAAATGCTAACGTCAACAAGCTAATATGCTGATGTTATGCAGGCATAATATTTACCATGATTAGCATATTTGCTTATCATGTTAGCATGCCAGCACTTGAACTAAACACACACAAAAGCACATGTGTTGTGCTTCTGTATGTCCGAGTAACACCATTATAGGAGCAGGTTAAGTCATAGTAGAAATATTTCCGTCCGAAACGAATTGATGGAATCCCTAAAGCAATGCATGTTTAAATATATGGATGCCGACCCATGAATACGCAATAGGAAGTCGACCTCTGGTGTGTTTTCCTCGCTGCAGTTCAAACTGAGTGTTGCTTCTGAGCTGCATCTCAGTCTCTGATCCCTCTTATTTACAAACATCCATCTCAGAGCAGGAGAACAGGTCAGTCTGAGACCTGTTTCTTTTTTTCTTCCTGCGATAAGCTCAATCTCATGTCAGTGTATTCAATTATACAGCCTCGCCGGCCGCATTCAGACGAGGTCACCTTAAATCCTATCTCCTCCTCATCGAGCGGAGGTTGAAAGGGGGATTTGATCAGGCGATAGCGTGTGAGGCGGAAGTTGGAGGGGGGTATATTAGCTGCATTTTCATTAGCCCCCCTTTCCATCTTTTTTAAGAGAAATGCTTTGGGTGGTAAAATGTGAAGCAGGTGGTCAGTTGAGGGATGAGTCAGCAGATGCCTTATCAATCCTCAGCCTGTGTGTGTGTGGTTGCATTTAGATATGTGTGTTTTCCTGGGTGTCAACATCAACAAGAGACTACATTATGTAGAGTAGTGTCTTGTAAATGGTGATACAGCACTCTTGTGATTATTTAGTTAGACATTTCTCCTTATCCTCCCACCCTCCTCCGATGTTGAGCTGAAGGTGATGATAGGTGGGGCAAAGTATTTTCTTTGCAGGGCTGATAATCCGGGAAACAGGTTAGTCAGCGCCGCGGATATATCAGCATGTAAATATTACATATAGAAAAGGCTATTGCTAATCTAATTTAGATAATCCATCCCAGCAGGTTAGGTTTATGTAAAGCAACAATTAAGCTGCATGAGCATTTTATTATTCACTCTTTAAAAGTTACATTTATTTACAATAAAACGTACTTATCCACATTGCTCATGCATGTATGACCAGTAGGGATATGCATCTCCATCACTGAGGCCGATGCGATGCGCATCTCGATACGTTGCCACGATACGATACATTAACGATACATTTGAAACACCAGGCGATGCGATACGATACGATTCACCCCTGTTGCGATACAGTTCGATACGATTTGATTCAACATTATGCGATTCGGTGCGATACGATGCGATTCAACACGATGCAAAAATAATGATACTTCAATTTGGTACGACAGAGGATTTTTGTTTTATTCCTTATATGCAGCAAATCATACATTAACAAAAAAGTGCTTTACATATTTGGTACTGCACATCCCATCATGCCGTTTATTTTTTTACCTTTAAAAGCTCTCCAGAGTACAATTGTATAACACCTCACAGTTAAACAATGTAAGGATGCATTGCTCATGATTAACAATGTGAAAATAACAGCTACCATAGTGCAATGCCCATACAGCTGCCAGCCTGATGTGCTTAACACTCATTCATAGGCTAACTCACCAGTGAGCAGAAAGCGGTGGGTTCTATATGAACAATAAATAATACAAATAACCTTTCACAAACAGGTATTTCATAACTGCTTACAGTGAGGAATACATTTAAATTATTATTGGCCGTCACAGGCTGCTGTAAACTAAACACCACTCTCTCTGACAGAACACCTCACTGAGTGATTTAACTCATATGTCTAACTTTGAGGTTTCTCTTTTCAGCCGCAGACCCCATGTCGACTCTTTATGTGCGTCGCTAAGTTCCTCGTACTACTTGTGTACTTTAAATCGGCTCGGCATCGTTAACAATTTGCGAGCGATTTTTCAAGTTGACCGTCTGTGCCGCGCACATATACCATCAGGACGTTACTGATGGGGTGCGGCTGCGGAGTGATACTGTGTGTATGCAAGCCCGCATCTAGGACGGATCTATGTATCATGGCTGTAGACCTGTTAAGTAATAAAGATACCTCATACAAAGGTCTACGGATACCTTATTACTCTCCATGACCTGCGGTCAACTATATAGCCTAGCATAAAGGACTATTACACCGTCTTTCTTGAACAATCCGAAGTGTTGCCAAACGTTTGATTTGTAGGTATTTTTCGGTGCGCTGTGTTTCTCTTTCTCCTCGACTTCCGTGTGTGTTGATAACTGAGACTCTCGGTCTCCGTAGTGGCGAAGATATCAAAGATCGTATCTGCTGAGCGTTGACAAGATTAGGGAATTTTATATGAATGAATCGGTTTTTTACCGATGCAAAGACGCTACGCAATCGATGCATCGCGAGTTCAACCCGGTTCAACCCAAACTGTAGCCGATGTGCACTCTTTCAACCGGTGCACTCGCATCTTGAACGTTTATGCCGGTGCACCGATGCGAATCGGTGAATCTTAACATCTCTAATGACCAGTGGTTGCTGTTAGCTATGAGGCTACTGTAATAGCCTTTCAGACAAACAAATATGGCGTGCCGTTGCTATTAGAAATAATGGCTTTCGGAGTGCCCATGTTGCATTGTGTATCTGAAAGAACTATCATGTAGAACAGCCAATAGGAACACCCACTCTCTGAAATGACCTTTGATTCGACAGTGTCCCATCTATGGCTATAGTTTCCTTTTGTGTAGTTATTTTTTGGATCCAATAGCAGCTGCAGTAGGTTTTTTTCTCTCAGACTGCTTGAATGACAATGTCCATACCATAGCTTCAACATGAATTGTGATTAGAAGGATCTTTTGCACAGCTATTTATCCGTTATTAACCACTTTTATCTACAAAAATGGATGAACACACCCAACAATGTGCGCTTATTTAAAATGAAAAAGGAGTCCTTTTGGATTATGCATAGCTCATTGAATTATGTATACGATACGATACGATATTACTTTATTGTCAGATCAAGTCTGAAATTTGACTTGCGTCACAGCAGCTCCATGTCCAACATCAACAGACAAATATGCATACACAAATACATGAAACACAAACATTTAACATAACAGCACAATCAGTGAGAGAAAAACATGCTCAAAGAGCCTTCAGCGTGCATTTGGTCTGGGATTTAGCTCTGTATTTACTGTGAGGACTGACTGATGCACAAAGGAGTGCTTCAGTCTGACTTTACTGAATCGTGGGACCCTGTATCTCCGATTAGATGGTAGCAGTTCATATTCACTGTTCAGAACATGGTTTGGGTCGGAGATGATGTTGTTGGACAGCCTCACTAGGTTGTTATGATAGGCTGAGTCATAGAGTCTCTGACAGGGTTGACCAACAATCTTTGAGCAGATCTTTAACAGGTGGAGTAGTTTTGATTTTAACGCTGCTGACAGACATTTGTACCAGGTAGTATTGCAGTACTGTAGAATGGACATGATCACAGATGTAAAGAACAACAGAAGAATGTCTCTGCTCGCGCCAAAAGACCTAAGACGGCGGAGAAAATAAATTCTTTGTTTTGTCCTTTTGCTCAGATAATCAATGTGATCCTTCCATGACAGCAGATGGTCAATAATTACACCCAGGTATTTGTATGACACTCCCTGCTTGATCTCATCTGTATGGATGACAATGGGGACTTTATGGGAGTCAGATGGTGAGCCAAAAATGATTTCCTCAGTTTTCTTGGTGTTGATCTCAAGAGCATTGCTATCAGTCCACTCGACCACCTGATTTACAGCCTGTTGGTGCAGCTCAGGGTCGTCTGTGTTACTGAGCAGAGATAGTATTGCAGTATCATCAGAGTACTTAATGATGAATTGATTTGGTGTGTTGGTATGACAATCATCAGTGTAGAGAGTAAAGAGCACAGAACTCACGCAGCCCTGGGGGGGGGGGCCCCTACATTGGTTGTGATGGCAGATAACAGGGTTTTGTTAACCTTCACAAGTTGCTCTCTACTGGTGAGGAAAGCAGCATACCAGTAAATCAGGTATGGATTTACTTCCATTTTGGCCATTTTTGACACCAAGATGTCTGCTTGTATTGTGTTGAATGCTGATGAGAAGTCTAGGAAGAGGGCTCTTGCATAAGTGTTACGTTTGTCTAAATGTTTAGTGATGATGTGAACCAAAGTGGCCACAGCATCTTCCGTACCGCACCCTTGTTTATAGGCAAATTGGTATGGATCAAATTTGTCTTGTGTTGTACTGATAAGGAATCGGAGCAGAATTCTTTCTAGTGATTTCATAATCACTGATGTGAGGGCTATTGGTCTGTAGTCCTTATGTTCTTTTGGGCATGGAATAATAACACTGTATAACACTGTTTGTGCAGATTAAGAGGTGCTGTAGTCACTGGTACAATCTGAGAAAGAACAAGGACTTACACTTTGTACACCAATTGAATAAAGACATCAGGCTGAAGCAGTTGATTCATTTATTCTAGAGATACAAAGAGTTCGGAACATAATATTGTTGTGAGAAAGCTCCCGCTCCTCCTGATAACAGTGAACACACAACATGAGTAAAACAAAGGAGCAGTGATTCACTCAAGGTCAGCCCCTGCCCTCAGGTCCTGCTGACTGTAAATCACTCTCGATAGGAGCATCAGCCAAATGCTTAAAATGTAAATATCCTCATGATGGTGTCTGAACCCGGCGCCAGGCCCGCGGGTCCATCAGCCGGCCGGGCAGCGTTGGCAGGGAGCAGATGGGGGGGGGGGGGGGCATCCTCTGATGAGCCATTGGGAGAGGTTCACTGATTACACTAATTTAACGGATGAGTTTCATTTCAGTCTGCTGGATGCGAGAACCAGGACAAATCATGGCTTTTGTACAGTTTAACTTTACCTTTCATCTCTTTGTGATCACCAGTTCTCTCCACACTGCTGACTTTGAGTTGTTATACTGGAAAATGTGTTGCATGTTATCAGCAGGACTTGACATAAGGGATAGCATATGCTACTTTATAGTCCTCTACATTTGCTTGTTACCTTGTAGAGTTGTAGTATACTCCATTGATTAACCTTTCTTGGAGTCAGTTCTGGAGGTTGTTGTTTTTCTTGATCACAGACAGATTGCAGAGAGAGCATTACTCATCTCTGGTCTCTTTAATGATGTGTTTAGGGGGCTCGAAATTTGCAATTTAAAACATATAAAGTAGAAGAGTAAAACAGATTGCTATACGGAGTTTCTTATCTAGCCTTTTTTATCCTTTGGCCTGTCCTCGTTTGTTTTACAACGTTTTATGTTGCCGTCTTAGTCAGGTCTTTAATAGAAGTTTCAAATGTAAATGGGACTTATCTAGTTAAGTTAAGGTTAAATGAACAATTATCCTTATTATTTAGAGTATAATTGTCCTTGAACGATAGACTGTAAAACTCTGAAGTACATGGAAATGTCTCTATTATTCCAATCAGTTGTTAATACATGCTTCATACGTTTGAAGAACAGGTTGTCATTGTAACTTGATCTTTCATGTTCGTTTTTAGATGAAGTTAAAGGGGGCACATTATGCTAATTTTTTAAGATTCATATTTTATGCCTCTGAAATGTTTATAAGCTTTCATATTAAAAAAGGGATTTATATTCTCATACTGCCTGTAGTGAATAGCCCAGTCTGCTCAACCTCTTAAAGCTAGTAGCTGTAGCCAATAGAAGCGTGAGTGTTACATAATGATGTCACTATTTTCAGGAAGTAAAAGGAAATGAGTTCAACGGAGGCATTTCAGGGAGGGGGGGGGGAGTCTGTTGGAGAGAAACTCCACGGGGGTTGTAGCCTTTGCAGACTACTTGCATGCACAAAAACCTACACTACAGGAAAGAGAAAACCCGAAAAAAGCACAATAAGACCCCTTTGAGGAATACTTGTTGTGCAAGATGTAACAGTGCCAACAAATAATGTAGATTTTGATATTTCCTGAGTAACATGGTGCAGTGAGTTGTAGAAACAGCTTCTAAAACCTCCTTTCCATTTTCCAACCTGAGTATATCCTCGACAGCCTTCTGCGGAGATAATAGAGAGCTTATCCCACACTCTTTTGTCCTTCCTTCACAGAGCGGCTCACAGCTTCTGAGCTCAACTTTTCAACAAACTTCTGTAAGCAACTGACAAACTTTTTTAAAATGTGGGTTGCCCTGGGAACAAGGCATGCCTGCTCACTTTCCGCTCAACATAGATTATGCTTCCACTTGACATACAGACTTTAGTATGTTACAGGAGACACGAAGTGGGGGGGGGGGGATTTCTGTGGGAGTGAAATCATGTGAGAGACAGATAAAGCTCTTCCCGGAGAACCTCGGGAGCACACATCACTTTTTTTTGAGGATGCGGCTTGTCACTGCGCATCACCCAGACAGCCGAGCAGCAACTACAATAGGCAATTAGAAGCTCCCATGGAAGCACAGGAACACACTATATAAAAGGGAGAAGGGGGGAGGATGTGGGGGAGAGGGGTGAGACTGGGATCCTTTTGAAGAGTCTGATCTCAGCAGGAGAAGAATCACAATCACCTTTATTTACTCGCTGAAAAACACTGCACTCTTGAAGAATTTGTCTTTGTGCTGTCAGTGCTTAGGAACGCAATCACACAACAGTCGCACACTCGGCTCTGATGGCTTTAAATTGTGCAGAGGAAGAAGAAAGGCCCACCCCTCCTTCCTCCAATTACCCTCTTTTTCCAGCCTGAAGTAGTACCAGGTGGTTGATGTTTTGTTATGTAAAAGTTGACAGGAAGTGGTGAAAATATCCAGAGAAGTGTGCCGCCTTTACCTCAGCGCCCCCGTCCCATTCTCCATTTCGACGGCTGACCTAATTTTTCAGGAATGTAAGTGCTCAGTTTTTATCCCTCATTTATACGAGGCAATGAGGGGAAGTGCATCGTGGGAGAAAGGGCAGCCGTCATTCTTGTGGACCTGTCAACGGTCCAAGTTGACGGCTGGAGAATCCCGCCCCCTGCCCCCCCGATTGACAGGATGCAAACTGACACACTGTCCACCTTAGTCTGGTTACTTACATGTGTGAAAACAAACATAGAAGAAGACAATTGTTGCACAGATGACATGCTATGAAATACATTGATAATCTTCCAGATGTTTTATTTGAGCAAATAGTACAATCTGGAGGGAGCACAGCCTTTGCAGACCATTTACATGCACTAAAACCTATATAGCACTGTTAGAAAAATATCACTCGACACCAGGTTGAGAATCAATGATCAGGTAACTAATTTATTCTTGCAAGAAGGAGCAGAGTTAAATCACATACAAAGGATATGGGTTAACTCACACACATGACTGGTTTTCGGACCCCCCCAGACCCCCCCAATAAAGCAAAAATGCACGTTTCAGAGTGGCCTTTTATTGTGGCCAGCCTAAGGCACACCTGTGCAATACTCATGCTGTCTAATCAGCATCTTGATATGCCACACCTGTGAGGTGGGATGGATTATCTCGGCAAAGGAGAAGTGCTCACTATCACAGATTCTTTCAGATTTGTGAACAATATTTGAGAGAAATGGTTATTTTGTGTATACAGTATAGAAAATGTTTTAGATCTTTGAGTTCATCTCATGAAAAATGGGAGCAAAAACAAAAGTGTTGCGTTTATATTTTTGTTCAGTGTATCAACAACCTGAAATGCCCTGCCTCCTCCACCGCAAGGTCATACACAGTTCAGAGCCACACATGATATCAGTGCATTAAAACAACCCAAAGAGTGGAGAAAACAGTATTTCTCCAACATATCCCTCCTGTTTATACTACGGAATAACATAGAACTTGGAAAAATACAAATGATTATAAAAGATAAAAAATTCATATACAAAAGTACCCACACGGCTGAGGTAGGTAGATTGTATAGGCACATGTTTTAATGTAATCCGAATGGATGCCATGGCCTAATTCTTTCTCTGTACATCGTCAGTTTCTATCACTCAGACCCGTTACTGTTTCCCTGCTAACGTCCACTCTTTAAATTCTACTGGGTTCTGTTGGTTTCTTCACTGGTTTCAGACAAGTGCCCTTATTGGAATCACCTCCCTTTGTAGCCAGACTTCACCACAGTAGAGGCGAGTTTCTGTCTTTAGGTTTAAACAGCTTCACAGTCAGATGTATCCAGGATGGTCTCTCCGCCACTCTAACTGCAGTCGGTGTAGACAGGAGTGCTTGGTAGGGACCCTCCCACTTGGGCGAGTGCCAGCTCTTCCTCTTTATCGCTCTGGTGAACACTCACTCTCCTGGTTTCACTGTCTGTGTAGTGTCAGGTACTTCCTGTGCAGAGGGGACAATAACATTTGTGATCTCTTTTCTTCTCAAAATGTTTGCCATAAATTCTGCTGTGTTTTCACTTATACTCTCGTCCTCTCTTACAAATGGTTTTAACTCAGGCAGATAATATGGTCTATATAACATTTCAAAAGGTGATAGCCCTCTAGCAGTAGGTAGAATGTGCATGCTTAGCATCACTGGTGCTAAGCATCTCATCCATGTTTTCCCTGTCTCGGCCATCATCTTCTTCAGTTTAGCTTTTACTGTACCATTATTTCTTTCTATCAACCCTGCTGATTGTGGATGATAAGAACAATGTCGTTTTGATTGTATTCCAAATACAGCTGTCAAATCCTGAATTACTTTATTTACAAAGTGTGTGCCATTATCACTATAGATCTTTTCCGGAATTCCAAAACGTGGGATTATGTGATTTGTCAATGCTTTAGCCACTGTCAATGCATCCGGATTCCTAGTTGGAAAAACTTCAATCCATTTTGAGTACATGTCAATGATTGTTAGACAATATTTCATTCCCTCATATTTATTTAGTTCAATAAAGTCCATGCAAATGTGCTGAAACGGATACTGGCTCCGGTATTTTACCTCTCTTTGGTTTGATCTGTCCCTGAGGGTTATACTGTGCACACACAGAACATGCTAAACAATTTTTTTTAGAGTAGTTTGTAAAGCCATAGGCTGTGAATATCTTCTGTATTACTTCCACCATCCCCACTGTTGAGCCGTGGTCCAACCCATGGCTCAATATAGCTGCATATCGAAATAAGCTTTTTGGTAATACAAATTTGCCTTCTGTACTTTCCCACAACCCCTCTTTATTCTGTATACACAACTTCTTCTTCCAGTATATCTTTTCTTTGTCAGGTGCATTCGCTTGCATGTCTTTTAGGATGTCATGATCAATGTGTTCCATATTTTCAGAAATATATTGGTCATTGTCCTGTCACTGTCTTTGCGCTGCTTTCTTAGTCTCTTCATCTGTCTTTCGGTTCCCTGTGGAAATTGGGTCCGTCCCTGTAGTGTGTGCTGCACACTTACAGACCGCCACTCTCTTAGGGAGTTGTACTGCATCCAAAAGTGATAGGATTAAATCTTTATGTGTAATAGGTTTGTTTGTGGATGTTACCATCCCCCTATTTTTCCATTGTTGTGTAAACACATGTATACATGAATAAGCATAGTTGCTGTCTGTATAAATGTTAACAAGTCTTCCCTTTTCCCAGTTTTCATGCCTCTGTTAGTGCGATTAGTTCTGCTGCCTGTGCTGATAAGTGAGACGGCAATGCTGCGCCCTTGAGCAGTTTCGTCTGTGTCACTACAGCATAACCTGTTGCATTAGTTCCATCAAGATTCCTCTTACATGAACCGTCAACATACATTGTTATGTCTGCATCTGGGAAGGGAATGTCCGTCAGGTCTGTCCTTGGTAACACTCTGTTCTCAGTTTCTGCGATACAGTCATGTGGCTCCCCATCTATCTCTACTGGCAGTAGTGTAGCTGGATTTAAAGTAGTACATCTCTCGATAGTAAGATTTGGTTGTGATAACAACGTAGCCATGCATGCTAAATGTCTAGCTGGTGACATATAGGTTTGTTTATTTTGTAACAATAGTACGGACACTGCGTGAGTTACTTTTAGAGTCAAGGATCTAAAAAGCACTATTGTTGCAGATGCCTGTACTGCCATGGAGGCTGCTATTACTGCTTGTAAATAAATGGGCATGGCTCGAGCTATGGTGTCCAACTGTGAGGAGTAAAATGCCACTGGTCTATTTTCCCCCCCATGTAGTTGAGTGAGTACTGACGTCATAAATCTGCTGTTTGAACAAACGGTTTTGCATAATCTGGTTACATCTATTCCCATTACTTTTAAGGTAACAAATGGTTTCTCTACGTGAGCCAGCATTAATTCTACTGTACCTAATTCTAAAATCTCCACTTCCTCATCGGATGAGCTGATAGACACGTTATCTGAACTTGCTTCTGTGTCACCGTCAAGGTCTGAGTCATTTTGTCTTAGGTCATCTTGATTTGGGTTATCTTGTTTTGTAGTTGTTTCTGTTGTTTGACTTTCTACGTTAACCTTTTTAATCTGTTCAGGGTCTATGTTTGTGTGTGATAATACATGACCTGATTTTGCAGATGCACTTGGCTCTAGTCATGCCTTCTCCACCCAGTCCTCCGTTCCTTCCTGTGGCCTCTTTGCTCTGCAGTCGTTTTCCCAATGTCCAAATTTGCCACACAAAAAGCAACTTCCCTCCGGGAATTTTCCTCCTCCCCGTCCTCCACCTCGTCCGTCCCTTCTGCCACGGCCCCGTCCACACCCTCTTTGATCACCTCGGAAAAGCAATTCAACAGAACATACATCAGAAGTGTAATCAGCAGATTCATCCTGTGTTAAAAACACGGCAGTTTTCTTTTGTTTCTTTTTTTTCTTTTGTTTGCCAATTTCACCCCATTCAGCTTAAATGCCCCCCTTAGAAAATCAGTCACATTCCCTGATATATTCATAACTGGCATAACGGGCATTCTGAATGTCTTACCTGACCGTGTGTTGCTGGGTTCCTCCCTCATGCCGGCTGTTCTCTGCGCGGGAGCATGAGGGTCGGTGTGTGGAGGTGGTTGGTAGGGCGGAGCGGCTGGCCAAGGCAGCGGAGTCGGTGGGGGAGCAGAGGGGTGAGACGAGCAGGAGGCCAGGGGTCCGAGGAGATCCCCGGGGTGTTGAGCTTGTGCATGGTTTTCATCTATCCATTGCTCCTGCATCACAGCAGCTCCCACAGGAGGGAGATACGGAGGAGGGGGCTGGCGGCGTCTGCATATCACTTGATCGTCAAGTTTCTCGGAATAGGGGAGATTAGGATACAAGTTATACAAACCTCATTTTCTGATTTCTTCTTTTCTGATTCTAATTTCTCTTTTTCTGATTTAGCTGTTTCCTTAGCATTTTCCCTTTCTCTTCCTTGCTTCGGCTAACCACATCATGTTTCTATCTTCTTCCCACGGGTCTTGCTGCAGCATGAACCCATGATTAGACTTCTATAGTTTTCCCCAAAACTAAGTAAAAATGCCCTGTAGTTTACGCATAAACTATAAAACTCACAACGGTTTTAGCAAAACCCAGAAAACTAAACTGTCCTAGTTTTCCCCAAAACTAGGTAAAATACTCATAGCCGTACCTCGTACTATAAGCTCGCAATAGTTTTAGCAAAACTAAGAAAACTAAACTGTCCTAGTTTTCCCCAAAACTAAGAAAATACCCAAAGCCGTACTTAGTCACCCACTATAAAGTCACACAATAGTTTTAGTAAAACTAAGAAAATGTGCCCTATAGTCCACCCACGAACTATAAGATCCTTTAGTTTTTTAAGAAACTAAAAAAACTGGCCTCATAGTTTGAACCACAAACTACTTATACCCAAGGCCTCTAGTTTGAAACCACAAACCATTTAAAAGTACTTTAGATAAGTTTACCTGTGTCTTTCTAGGACTTTTTTGGTATCCTTCCGCGAACCAAGGGGTTGAAACCAAAACGGTGCCTGTATTGACTTTCTCTCCTGTGTCGGTAGTTCAAGGATCCGTCACTCCTCTCCTCTCCAGCGTAACTTGGCCCCCCTATTTACCAAATTGTTTCTTTGTAAAGGAAACAAGGTAGGGGTCTTTTTCTAAGAGTCTCTCGACTCCCTGTGCACAGTGTCAGGCTCGTTTGCCCGGAGAAAAAAGGAGATCTTGGATCCGGCTCGAAGGACCAATATGTTAGAAAGATATCACTCGACACCAGGTTGAGAATCAATGATCAGGTAAATAATTTATTCTTGCAAGAAGGAGCAGAGTTAAATCACATACAAAGGATATGGGTTAACTCACACACATGGGGTATGTTGCTCAAAGGAACAGCAAAAAACATCAGGCTTATATCGTCCAAAACACAGGAGATAACAACAAAGTCGTAAATCGAGGTGGCGCTAATATCAGCCGCGGGTGTCGGAAAGTCGGGTCATCTGCGATGGGTCATCTGCGATGGGTCATCTGTGACGTCTTCTGGAAAGAGTCACGTACTTCCTTCACGCTTCATAGAAATTAGATATTTAGGAGACAGCAAGTCTGTCTTCTCATAAATATCAACAACCTGAAATGCCCTGCCTCCTCCTATCACAAGAAGAGGCAGCTGCAAGGTCATTTACAGTTCAGAGCCACACATGATATCAGTGCATTAAAACAACCCAAAGAGTGGAGAAAACAGTATTTCTCCAACAAGCACACTACAGGAAAGGCAAAACTCCCAAAAAGCACAATAGGGCCTCTTACTTTGGATGGAAACTTAACTGTCCCTCTGAAAAAGTTTCTATTATTTTGTTCCCTCCTCTGTTGTGAATCTGTAATTGTGTGGGTCAAACCTGCTCCGTCAACATAAGAGATACAAAAAAAAAGCTCCTTCAGTTGTCAGATGTGGTGTGGCAGTGTTATTGATCAGGAGAAACGAGGACTGAAGGTTGCATCCTGCCTTCCTGTGTGTTTATTTAGCCTACAGTGAGAGAGAAAATGTCCTCCGAATGCCAATTAAGCCGGTGATGGTCAGATCATTGTCACGGCGCGCTGATGACTGGCAGGCCTGACATGCCGGCTGAGCGGTGCATGTGGTTCCTTTAATTAATTGCCAGAGGCTCGGATACACGTGGGCGGGCTGAGCGAGTATGGTTGTCGACGGAGAGCAGAACTCACGCTTCATATCATTCTGTGTGAAACAAAGGGTGAGAAATGTAGGCAGAGTGAAGCTTTGCTGCCCTCTGACAGAATGAAGTGTTTTTTTTCCTGCACGATTGATCTCCCAAGCACAATTTGTTGGTTTCTGTAGAGCAATTTGTCTTTGAGCAAAATGTACAGCATTAATCAGAGGGTAAGTTATAGGTCAGCTTTTATCTCCCTGTTACGGTGCGTGTCTGTATTTGCACCAGTGGGCCTCTGCAGCGATGTGTGTCCCAGGGGTGGCAGCCAAATGTAGGCACCAAAAGTCAACATTAGCATTTCAGAGGCCCATCTATTTCAATTAACTCGATCTTCTTTAAGATTTCCCAGAAATACCCAGGAGCCTGAAGCAGTATCAGGCATTGGCGGGCTCCAGAGGTGGGTTGCCATTTCAGAGCCTTTATGCATCAAACATTTAAATTCATTATCCTCCATAATTAAAGCAAATATATCAAAGACTGCTAACACTGTAGCGATACTATCCGTGATCTCCAGGGGGACCGAGGCCCAGGCCTGCAGCCCAGGTGGCTTCTAAGATGTTCAAACAGACAGATATATAAATATAGCGTCTTGTTAAAGGCATCCTCAGGGTCCCCTTTAATAATTTAACCCCAAAACAGTGAGCCATCTCAGCCTACGTCATTGTCGTTTTCCGGGGAATTATAATAGCCACTCTGATGGTGGTGACATCATTTTTAGTGGCAATACAGTGCTTTTTCCCAGGTAGAAACTGGTATAATACTTCTGTGATGCTTTCAAAGGAGAATTAAGAGTGTGTCTACTCAGAGAATTAAACCTGACACTACCATAATTGTTGGTATATTTCTTCTCCTTTCAGGTATATAGCAGTATTCTAGCTTTTTAAATGGCACCCTTTTTATTTTTGATCATATTTATCCACAGTGCTTTATGTTTTAAATGGTTTATATGCCTCAAGGCAAAAATAGTATTAAGCCTTGCCTATGCTTGAATGATAATTGGTACAAATAAGGCCAATCTGTCCTAACATGACTTTTCAGAGGAAACATTTCTTTAGAGAGCTGTCTGAGCAGCCACACTGCAAGAAATGTCAACAGCAAAAGGTCATTAAAGATAAAATAGCACTTTTAGATTACGAAAGAGAAGCTACACAGGGCACTGGGATATGTTTCCTCTGGTTTGAGGCCTTTGAGCTCATGGGACTCGTATGGACTCACTTTGAAAGCCATGAAATACCTGCACCAGCAAAGGGGATTCTCAAAGGGATCAAAGGGGATGATCAGCTCGTGGCTGTGGGTGACAACGTTGACCCCTTGGCTAACCTGAAGGGCAACCGGGGGACCAAATGGACATTTCGGGTAGTTTTAGCAACAAGAAAGGACGGGGGTGACCAGAAGGACACTTGGACCAAACACAAAGGCAATAGAGTGGTTCCAAGATGACTAGTCACGGAGATTAGTTAGCATTTTTTCACTTCCGTGTTCCCACGCATAAGTCAATGATTTTTTTGAAATGATTTTTGCTTAGATGCACGAAATAAGGTCTATGGTTAACACAAGCCTCTGAGATATTTTTGTTTTTATCTACGACCTTAAATATGTCGGTAAATACCTGAGGTCAGAAGCTTTAACATGTCTTCAAAAAGGCGGTTGCTAACAAGTGAATAAACAAGTCCACGCCAAACAATTGTTGCCTAAAGGTCGATGTACGTTTTTTTAGTTTGATCGCCCAATTATGAGGAAAACAACATCTAAAACCTAAATGGAATGCTTAGTGTGATGTAATGCAGCCATGATGTATTTTGTTTGTAGCATTCTGTTAGCTATTTACTTCTGAAGGGGGGCATTTGGGTAACCACAGGGGAAAGTGGGTTAACAAGATGGGAACCACCTGGGCCTCCCGCGTGCAGGACATGCGGTGCCCCTCTGCACGCGCCTCTGTCGCCACTTTAAAACTGTGCCAGGGACAGAGCCATGTGAACAGGATGGACATTTTTTGCAGTGCGGAGCTCAGCGGTGCAGCAGTAGCGCTGTCTGCTAGCTCGGGTCCGCTCACCGCCGGCTAGACTCACATCACATCCCACCCCCAGCCTGTGGTGACACGGTTTCATCCTCTGCGAAGCCTGTAATGTGTGGTTCTCAACAGTGAGAGGGCGTACGCTTTCAGAGGGAGGCCGAACCTGTAAAGCGGCAGTGGGAGGGCTTCTCCGTGTTTTCGCTGGTTTTAAATATGAGAGCAGCCTCGACGCCCACCGAGCAAGGCGGAGCGCGCATCAACATTTCGCCACCGCCGCTGCCCTGATTAGATCCACTGAGAAGCGGAGGAGAGCAGACACCCACAGACAGACAGGGAGGACTGCTATCTTACTGGAACTAACACAAGGTGAGCTCCACATTTCTCCTTTAAAAAATGTGCATGTATTCTATGGAGTCTGGCAGGCGAAGCATTGAGGCAACACAACAAAGTTCTTTCCGATAGGGTTTTGCTTTGTTTGGCTGTGAAAAGGTGGCAGCCGCATCCTCCTGTTTGGCTTTGTCTGCACACTTCTGCATGGGCATTGTGTCCAGTGAATCTGGCAATACGAAATGCATGAATGTACCATTTATTTATCACATATTAGAGTCTGCACTTACAAAAACGCTTCTTTTCATTGTTTTGTTTTTTTGGAGGATTTTGACATTTGAATTCCCATTTCTTAATTTCCTGATATTTCACATTTATTCACAATAGGCCACAGGCATTTTTTACTGCTTTATCTGAATCCTTTGTTGCTTCACTATCAGACGTCCTTTGTGTTGTTATCTGAATTCCTGTAGCTCCACCACACATTTCCCATTTTCTCTCTAATGTCATTGACACCCATTGTTACAGTGATTTGTTCAAAACCAATAAGGTTAACTTTGAGATGAGATTTACCTTACTCTTGCAATCCTACAAACAAGAATGTGTGCTTTTTGTGGGATAAAAACACGTTGGCCACCTCCTTATATGTCCTATGTTCTTTTTAGGGTATATCATTTTGTAAAAAAGCATCTTTCCTGTAGTGGGGAGTGCAAGGCGAGAATGAAATGTAAGTGGCTTACTTCCTCTCCCGGTGTGTTTTCAGTTGCACAATAAGAATTGATAAGTGCTCCTGCTGAGCCGTTCTGCCTGAAGAAAGAGCTTGTTGTTGTTTTCCGTTTTGTAAAATGCAATAAAAAGAAGAGTCCAAAGACGATTCCCAGCTATCTAAATTTGAAGTTTGGTTGCACTCTGTAAACGCTGCATTCTTCTCTTCTCATTAAAATTCTTCATCTTCCTCCATGAATTAGAAAAAGCCCTGTAATCCCCCTGCTTCTTTTTTTGTGTGTAATGCCTGATTTGCTGCTGCTGGACTTCATCCAACATTTAGGATGTGTCAACTCTCACTTAATTCTCTGCTAACTTAATTGCCTGCAGGATTACTGCGTTAGAATGAGAGTTTATGCCAGTTTGATTTCTTGTTCTGCTAGCTGTAAACCTTGACTGCCTTCTGGGCTCCTTCCTCCTTGTCTATAAAACCATTTCCCGCATCTTTTTTTGTCTCCCAGTACACTGATGATCACTTGCAATAGAAGACAATTGGGTTATGTATAGGCAGTGTATGCTTGTTTTGGGGGGAGCTTCGAGCACCCACTTTAAATTCAATGTAATCATCCGTGTATGTTGTCACGGCTTTGGCTTTGAGAACGTTTTTATAAAAGCTTAAAGATGTGTAAATGGAAGAGTGTGGACATTTACAAACCTTGAACGGTTTAACAAAAGATGCTAGTGAGTTGCATTATGGGAGATGTAATATCGTGAAATTGTCATTACATACAACCCTTGTTTGGTTGTGGAATTTTGGAGATCTTCATCTCTTATCCAGTGTTCAACAATTGATTTATGTCAATATGTGTATTGGGCTTACTCAATAGGGATTA